CCAGTTTCGAGCAGCCCTGACACCAGTACCCTTCCATGACATCTTCTCCTGAAGGTGAGGAAGATGAAGGAGATGTAGATGCGGAAGTGGACGAAGGTACCGTGTTGGCATCAGGCCATGGCAACGGCACACTCTCCCTGCCCACCACACCCAGGTCATCCAGCAGACGAGCAAGGTACTCTGATATCTCCTCCCACCAGCCCGTCGAGGCTAGCAGGAACGGGGTGAAGGGCTGGCAGGGTGCGTCTCGTAGGAACTGCATCAAGTAGGCTTCCATCAGACAGGAAGCGTGCATGCCGCCCTTGGTCTGCAGCCGGTACACTTCTTCCATGGAGCCATGCACCTTCTCCGCGAGCCGGCGCACATCACGAAGCGACACGCACGGCTCGGACTTGCGCTTGTGCTTGTGCTTGCGGTTGCCGGAGATGATGGTTCTGGTGGTGGTGTCAGGCCGGAAGTGAAGCAGGGGAAGCTTTGCGGTGGATGAAGCGCTGAGCCTGAAACAGCGTCTGGCGAAGGAGAGCGGGATCAGCCATAGGCCCGGGTTGAGCGTGCGACAGGAATAGCAGATTCGTTGGGCCGAGGGGAGGTAGAAGTGCGTTGCTCGCGAGGGCTGGAGGCAGGAGGAGCAGGCGGTTGAGAGCAGCGCCGTGTAGATCGAGCGGGTCTCGTGGGCTGCGAGGAGGTTGGCGAGGGCGAGCTGTCTGAGGGCGTCTGGGGCGTGGGCGAGGAGGAAGTTGTAGGCGTGCAGCGACGAGAGGACGGATCTGGCGCGCAGCGAGGTGCGGGCGAAGCGCAGCAGGGAGAGGATGTCTGTTTGCTCGAGGATGAGATGCAGCAGCTCGAGCGGGAGGGCGTCGAGGGCGCCGATGGAGGAGGATGAGACGGCTGTGGCTTCGCGGGCGAGGCGGGTGGATGGGATGCGCTGCGGGGGCGGCAGGTCTTTGAGCGAGTAGCCGTAGGAGAGGTGCGAGAGGAGCGTCTCTCGAGTCCAGTCTGTCATCTTGATCTATATCTGTAGACGTGTGTATCTATCGCATGGTGGTGGTGGTGGTGGTGATAATGATGGTGGTGGTGATATGGACGAACTGGTGGAGGTTGATATCAGAGTATACGACGATGCCTGATCCCGGCCATCTCAGCCTCATTGCTCGGTGACTCGTATCAAAATGAAAGGGATTTTTGATCTGATTCTATTCCTACTTCTGCCCTACATACGAGATCTACATATTATATACTATAAACACAAGGAAAGACGTGAGTGAATGTCTGCCTATAATATATGTACATAGATAGCCGTGAAGGGTAACTAAGTATATGAATAAAAGTAGTAAAGGAAAGCAAAAAGGGGGCCGGCGAGCAGGCAAGAAAGGTATCAGCGAGTAAAATAGGTAGGGTAGAAGATGGCTAGGTTAGTACGTAGTGTTTAAAATAGCAAAAGGAGGGTTGAAAACACAGGCAGATCGATATTTGAGCTGGAAGATTTCAAAAACATAGGAAATGGGTAGGGAAGGGGATGGGAATGGGAATGGGTATTGGGGTAAAAGGGGGCTGAGGAAAAGGGGGTCAGGGGGTACTGAGCTGGTTTGCTGGATAGTTGATGTCTGCGTCTGTTGAGACTGTCTTTTTTTTTTTTATCTTCGAATCAAGGAACGTGTGTTGGTACATTTAAGTAGGCAAGGAAGCAGGCAAACATAGGGAACAGAACGGCATGGGCTGAACCAGAGTACGCGTTGGTGTTGCTGACGGGGACGGGGACGGGGACGGGGGGAGGGGGGAATAGTGAGGATATCCAGCTGTCTATAAAAAGAAAAAGCGTCGACACGTAAAAGCAAGGACAAAAGGCGTATGTAACTTAGGCAGACGGTAGGGAAAAAGAAGAAGAATTAGAGGAACGGCACGGCATGCATAGATGGGCGCTCCTGGGTGGTGGTGGGAGTGGTGGTGGTGACAAGGCTAATTCCAGCCAAGGGAGTTCTCAGCCATGACAGGCGCACTGATCTGCGCCGTCCGACCACTGCCAGCACCCGAGTACCGATCGTTCATCGTTGTGCCTGCGAACGAGCTGCCGGCACGCTGCTCATCGTGGTAAGGCGTTGGGGAGCCCATACCACTGGTCAGAGAGTCCGATCGACGATGGAGATTGCGTTTCTTTCTGTAGCGGCGAGCAACGAAGAACATGGCTGCTCCGTACAGGGCAGCTCCACCGACGACGCCTAGACCGATGCCGACTGCACCTGGTTTGATGCCAGTTGCGCCAGCCGAGCCTCCGGGGCCTTTTCCTTTGTTTTCGTTACCGTCGGGACCGTCACCGTTGCCGCCATTGTTGCCTGAACCGGGAAGACCACCTGGATATGGAGCACTGCCTCCTCCGGGCATTGGTTGACCACCGGCAAGTAAGGGGATACTTGGGTCGATCATGGACATGAGTGTGAAGGTTGATTGGTCCGGATTAGTGTAGAGCCTGGACTGGGGCGTGGTGAGACTGGTTGCGAGAACTTTGTAAAGATCCCTTGGGATGTAGAAGAAGGCGAGGGCGGTGGTGTAGCCCTTCTTGGTACCCCTGTCGTATTGACCTATACCTGAGATGGGGGTCTCGTCCTTATCGGTTTCGACAGCATAAGATACTCCACTGGGCATGAACGTAAAGATTTGGGCGACCACATCAGTGTTCAAGGCGATAAACTCGTAGGGTAGAGAGCCATTGAATCCTAGTTGGATGAGGACTGAGTCTTGTGGTGGCGGCTTAGCGTTGGGAGGGGAAATCATGTATGGCAACGGCTTGGGGGAGTGGGTTGCAGTGGCCGAAGTGGTGGTGGTAGTGGAGGTCTGGATGATGATGGAGGTTGGCACGGACAGAGTGGTCTCGGTGTTGGTAGAGATGGGAACCGTGGAGGAGGGCGTAGTGGAAGTTGGGGTTGACGTGTGGGGAGGACGGGTGGTGGTGACGGTCGTCATCGTCGAGGGACGGACGGTAGAGGTATCCGAGCCAGAGGTGGAGGTCTCCGAGGCAGTAGAATGGGAGGAGTAAGTGCTGCTGCCCATGGTTCCGGTGCCGGTGGGAGTGGTGGTGATGCCAGTTCCAATGGTGCCGGTGGAAGTCGAGGCGGTGCCAGTAGGAACTGAGAGCGATGGGAAGGTGACTGAAGTAGGCGTCTCTGTCCCGGTGCCAGTTGTAGCAGAGGTTCCAGTTGAGGTTCCAGTAGAAGTTCCAGTAGAAGTTGCTGTGCCTGTAGTTCCGGTAGAAGTTCCAGTTCCCGTCGGAAGAACGGTAGGAGTAGTGGCTGTTCCGCTGCCAGGGCCGGTCACGGTAGCTGGGTCACCGGTGGGAGAGTAGGTAGGGAAATTGGTGACACTGGTGAGGTCGGTTGGAAGAGAGATTGGGATAGAGATGGAAATGGGAGAGGATGGGGAGCTGGTGGGAGTTCCACTAGGGGTTCCCGTAGCAGTTCCAGTCCCAGTAGCAGTTCCCGTTGCAGTGCCAGTCCCAGTAGCAGTTCCCGTTGCAGTGTTGGTTCCAGTAGCAGTTCCAGTGGAAGTACCAGTATCACTACCAGTAGTGTCCGAGGGAATTGGGAGGAGAGTGGGCAGAATGCCTGTTCCCTCAGTCGAGGTCGGGCCAGAAGCAGTTCCCGTGCCCCCACCCGGGTAAGTCATGCCGCCCGTGGCAGAAGTAGTAGGGATAGTAGGTGTTTCTGGCGGGGTAGGCTGCATTGGCTGAGAAGACTGGCCGGGCTGAGAAGGTTGAGAAGATTGACCGGGCTGGGTAGGGGGGGAGGACGGAGCAGAGGCCGAGGGGAAGAGAGTGGGCAGCGGGATGAGAGTGCTGTCTCCAGTAGGCACGCCGGGGAGACTGACTCCCTGCGAGGGACTCATGGGAGGCATTGAGGGCATGGAAGGCATGGAGGGCACTACGGTTGTTGGCACAGTAGGCTGGGGAGCACCGGGGGGAGTGGTGGACTCAGTTGGGGGACTAATTGGAGCCTCTGATGACGGTGGAACCTGCGGAGGAGTGTAGGAGGAGCTCGGGGCCTGGGGAGGCTGAGAAGAAGACGACTCCTGAGGGGGAAGCAAAGTAGGGAGCAAAGTAGGGAGCAAAGTAGGGAGCAAAGTAGGGAGCAAAGTAGGGAGCGAAGTAGGGAGCAAAGTCGGCAGCAAAGTGGGAGCCGGAGAAGACGTCTCAGGGCTGCTGGGAGAGGTAGCCGGTGGACTAGGCAGGATAGGAGGCAGCAGAGTCGAGGAAACGGGCTCCTCTGGTACGGTGGGCTTGCTTGAAGGGACCGTTGGTATCGAAGGCGTAGGCTCACCTGGCTCACTTGGTTCGGCGGGCTCAGAGGGTTCAGACGGCATTGAAGGGACCGTTGGCACCGTTGGCACCGTTGGCACCGTTGGCACCGTTGGCACCGTTGGCACCGTTGGAGGCGTTGGATGGACCGTTGGAGGAGTCGTCGTTGCCGGCTCACCTGGCGTTGGAGTTGGAGTTGGAGTTGGACTTGGACTCGGGCTTTCACCCGCACTCGAGCTCGCACTTCCGCTCGAGCTAGAACCCCCCGTAGAGTCGGCGGTGGTGACGCTCGTCGTCGTGGAATCGGTCGAGGCAGCGGTGGGCATGACGATGGCGTTGAAGTAGTGCGGCATCTCGCTGGGCTCGCCGTGCAGGGTGTGCAGGCTGCCGTCGGCGCCCTTTTGCACGGTGACGGGCACGACGACGACCTCGCGCCTGTCCATGGGCTCAGCGGCCTTGACCATCTTCCTGGAGGAGCCCCATGAGGTGCGGTCGAGGTCTCGCCTGACGAGGCGCGGGAAGTAGTGCTGCGGCCGGTGGGCGGCAGGGAGGTCGCCCAGCGCCTCTACGGCGACGGCCGCGAGGAGGGCAGCGGCAAGGCGCATCTCTCGCCCGTCGAGAGGCTATTGATTAAGACGTATTAATGGGATTATAACTGGGATCGAAGGGTTTGGTGCTGGCTGTCGCTGGCTGTTAACGAGTGTGGTGGACAGGCGTCCGGTAAGGAGTGCGGCTGCGGTCTCTAGGTCATAACAGCTGGACGGATTAGCAGTGAATAACGAGATAATCAGTGAAGACAAGCAGTGAATAACGAGGGAATCGACGAAGAATCGCAGTGAAGAGGAATAAACGAGAGTCGAGTCAGGCTGGAGGATGAGCAGGCTGAGAGAAGACGAAGACAGACAGCAAGACAAGGAGAAAGAGAGAAAAAGACAGAGAACAAGACAAGGAGAAAGAGAAAAAGACAGAGAACAAGACAAGATGGGATCTTCTATCTCTTGACCGTCTCTTGATCTGCTTCTTCTCGTCTTTGATGCTGGTGCCAGAAGATGCGGGAGGATGCGCGCTTACTTGCGACCCGTCTTTGTCGGTGACGGCGAGACAGCAGGAGAAGAAGCCAGCGAGAGGCAGCAGAGACAGCGAGAGAGCGTAACGTCCGAAGACAAACGAGCGTGACGAAGACTTGAGAGATGAAGAGATGAAGAAGGGAAGAGAGTAAGATGAAGAAGACGAGGAGATGAAGCCGGGAAAAGCAACGAAAAGCCTTTTTCTCTTAGTGCGGCCGGCGGCGCTTCGAGTCGAGACAGACAGCAAAGACAGTCAAAGATGAAAGAAAGAAGACGAAGACGAAGAAAGACGGTTGAAGAAGAAGAAAAGACGGCAAGACAAAGGCACATCCCAGTCGCCAGGACTCTCTCTCACTCTCTCTCTCTCTTGCTGTGTGTCTTTTGTCTTCCTTCGCTGTTGTACGGAGAATACGAAGAGACGCAGAGGAGCCCCTGAACGGGCCCGTCTGATCCCCCCCCCCCCCCCCTGGCACTAAGTGAAAAGACTTGCTTTAGCGGCCCCCGCAAGGCGTGGCTGGCATTTCGGTTGGCCTGTCGGACGCAGCGCGATGGGGAAGGGCAATTTTACGGAGTCGCACAGGGCGGGCTGGCTGGCTACGTGGGCGTCGTGGGCGTCTAGAGAAGCTGGAAGAAATTGAGGATAGTAGGTGATGGTGAGAGTAAGTGATAGTGAAGTCTACAGGTCGGAGAATAGGGGTGAGATGCCGGGATATAGCAGAGTGATATAGCAGACAGGGCGAAGGATGCGGCATGGATGGGCTAATAGACTCATGTACGAGCCAGGCTGCCTGACGATGGATGGTGGATGCCCCTGGTGTTGGCTGTTGGTTTCCTCCCTGCCTTCCTGTACATAGATCAGCCACGCAGACACACAGACGGCGACAGACAAGAGGACAAGAGGACAAGAGGGCCAGATGAAAGAAGGCCGGGGTCGATGGCTAGAAGTGGTTGAGCCAGAAGCGGAGGCCCTCGACGCCCTGCTCGCGACACAGCAGGCCCCTTTCCTCAGCCATCTCGAGCTCCTCGCTGGCCACCCCGAGACTCCAGCCAAACCGCTCGCCGGCTTCCTGCGCAGTCACGCCCCGGCCAAAGCAGGAAGCAGTCGTAGAAGTCGTAGTAGTAGTACTGTGTAACTGGTTGAGCCAGGCGGAGAGCTGCTGCAAGGTCTTCTCGTCCGTCCAGTCGGCCCGCTGCACGACCAGCAGACCACTCTTCCTGAACCGGCGCAGGCGGACTGGCAGGCGGAGCACCTCCCACTGCTCGGCCGCAGAGTGGAAGTCTCGCGGACTCACAAGCTCGACTCCGTTGCGGGCTCGGTTAAAGGCCGCCCACACGTCCACCAGGCTCATGATGCCGCCCGCTCGTCGCAGCAGCGCCTCTCGCTCGTCGGTCAGGTACTCTGCCAGGTTGCGAGACAGCTCGGTCACGTACAGGCTGGCGCTGGTCGAGGACGAGGACGAGAACGAGGATGCAGAGGCTGCGGACTGGCCCAGCAGCTGCTTGGTCGTGATCATCCCGAGGGCGGCGGCGGACTGCGAGACCTCGTCTGTGACACCGGCGTCGTTTCGTCGCTCTCGGGCAAACGTCTCGGCCAGCGCCACAACCTCGCGGGCAGACGCCATCAGCGCCTCGAGATCCTCAAACGCTCCTCCGATCACTGCCTCGTTGTTGCGTCGGGCCTCCAGTCCACGGCGCTCTAGGCCTGCGATGCCAGCAGCCGTACCACTACTAGTACTACCACCACCACCACCACCACCACCACCACCAACGTTACTATCAGCTGTGCCAGCAGTACCAATTGCGCCAGGAATCATGCCAGTCGCACCAGTCGTACCAGTACCAGTACCAGTGTTAACACCAGCAGAACCGGCTTTGGGCACCGGAGGAGCGTCCTGGAGAATCCACTTGCGCTGGACAAGAGCCCCCCTCAGTCGCTCGTGGAACACCTTCTCCCCGCCTGATCGAAATGAGAGCTTGACACAATCCCCAATCTCCCTCCCTTCCAGTCGCGACGCTGGCCCAAACGGCGCAGGCGAGTCAGTCCGGGACGCCGCCGCCGCCGCTGCTGCCGCTGCTGCTCCGGTCAGGCCACCGCTCCCGCTCCCGTTCCCACCCAGCCCGGCACCGCAAATCTCGCACCCTTGCAGCCACGGATGATTGGCAAACGTACACCTCGGACATATCTTAGATGATGAGGAGGAGGAGGAAATATTAGAAGTAGCAGTGGCAGTGGCAGAAGTCGAGGCGGTGATGGCTGCTTTGAGAAGAGTGGTCAAGGGCGGCCTGATGCCACATGCCAGACACGGCGGGATGGTCGTCGACGCAGCCAGCGCAGGGTCAAAGTTGGATGGTACCGGGTTCGCAAACGAGCAGATCGGACACACCCACGTCGCCGTCCTCGCTTCACACTTGATATTGGTAGATGCTGTAGCTGTACCTGGGCCCGTAGGCGTTGTAGAAGTAGACCCTGGAGCCGCCGCCCGTCTCCGCGGCAGCAGACTGATCTTCGGCGACGAGCGCAGAAACCTGGCCTAGCAGTTGAAAGCATGTTAGCGGCCTATCCATCAACCCGTCCTGCCGTATGCTGGGCGAGAGAAGCTACCTGAAACTCAACACGGTCGATGTCCTTGAGGTCGATGCCCACTGAGCACCCGCGGGGCTCGTCCAGGTCGACATAGCATATCCGGTGCGAGGTCAGGTACGCATGGCCGTTCTGGCACCGCGGAATCTTGTATTTACTATCATCGTCAGCCGCTTATTCTCTATATAAACGAGGGATAGAGGAGTACCCATCGTAGAGCCCGATGGCGTCCTGGACGAAGAGCAGCGTCTCATCCGGCAGCAGGCACGGGCGGAGGGCGGTGGTAAGGTCGACTGGCTGGAAGAACATCGAGCACCATCTTCTGCGCCAGGAGAGCCACTCGAACCATCAAAGATCGCAGTATCAGAGCGAGGATATCAGAGTGAAGAAGATATCAAAGTGAGGCCGTGAAGCTGTTGGCGTCGAAGTCGTGAAGTCATAAGGCGAGGCGACGCTAAGCCGAAAAGGTACGAAACCACAAACTTCGACTTCTTCGACTTGACTTTATCACAACGACATCTCATCTTCATCATCTTCATCATTTCTCTTCATCATCTTCTCATCATCATCTTCTTCTTCTCTTCATCGTACTCTCGTCGTATTCACATTGTATTCACATCGTATTCTGAGATGAACACGGCATGGCGAGCGTCCGCTAGTGGTAAGACGCCCTCTGACGGTGGTTGTGCAGCGCTGACCGACTCTCCAGGACCGACTGCTCCTGCGTACACCCCCGTCCACGCCCGCCGGACGCTGGCTCGCAGCGCCTCCTCTACTGCTTCTACGACTTCTACCACTACTACGACCATGACTGCGGCTCCGGCTTCTTCAACAGAGACGAGAAAGCGGGTGGAGTGGCCCCCGGCAGTGCGAGAGTACGTGCAGCGGTGCTTCGTGCCCGAGCAGCAGATACCCGGCATTTCTCGCGCGGAGATGGAGGCCAGGCTCAAGCAGGTCATCACCGGCGCAGCAGAGACCAACAGCCTTGAAGCCATCGACTGGGCCAGCCTGCCCTTGCCGCAGCAGATGATCCAGGCCGAACGCAACGCCGCCCTCCCTTCCGTCACCCACCAGCTCTCTCTCCACCCCACCAGGACCTCGCCCAAGCGGAAGTCGACTGACATCTCAACAGACACATCTACTTCTACCGGAACAAGCAACCAGGAAATACCGCCGTGGAGGGCCACCGCAGAGGACAAACGCAGGCGCCTGGAGAATGCTGCTACTACTACTAACAACAATAACAATATCAGTAATAGTGACGGGTTAAACAGTAAGTCTAACAGTAACATCAGCAGCCATCACCACCTGGAGAGCAGGAAACGACGGTTTGAAAGCACCTACTCCCCCGCCAAGGTCAAGTCCCCCCAACCCTCTTACACCCAGACATACACCAGCCAGAGCTCCAACCAGCACGCGGGCCCCATCGTCGGCCGCAGCACGCAGCTGGAGAAGCGGTACCTGCGTCTGACCGCCGCGCCCAACCCGGACAACGTACGCCCGCTTCCAGTCCTGCGCAAGACCCTCGACCTGCTCAAGCGGCGGTGGAAGCAGGAGAACAACTACGGCTACATCTGCGACCAGTTCAAGTCGATGCGGCAGGACCTGACGGTGCAGCACATCAAGAACGACTTCACGGTGCTGGTGTACGAGATCCACGCGCGCATTGCACTCGAAAAGGGCGACCTCGGTGAGTATAACCAGTGCCAGACGCAGCTGCAGGGCTTGTACGCGCTGAACCTGGGCGGCGGCCATCCGATGGAGTTCAAAGCGTATCGTATTCTCTATTTCATCTACACCCGCAACCAGACGGCGATCAATAGCGCCCTGTCAGATCTAACCGCTGCAGAGAAGGCTGATCCGGCCGTCAGCCATGCCCTGGCCGTCCGCGCCGCCCTGGCCATGGGCAACTACCATCGTTTCTTCCAGCTGTATCTTGACACCCCCAACATGGGCGCCTATCTCATGGACATGTTTGTCGACCGCGAGCGTCTCGCCGCCCTAGCATGTATTTGTAAAGCGTGAGTCTTTATCACTCCCATTCCCCTTTCTCCTGACTTTCTCTCCTGCTAACGAACGTCTAGGTACAAACCGGATGTGAATATCAGGTTCATCACGGAAGAGCTGGGCTTCGAGTCCGACGAGCAGAGCGCCCGCTTTGTGCTGGACCACGTCTCCGAGCAGCTGCTGCAGGAAACGCAGGACGGCGTCAGGCTGCTAACCGGCAAGTGTGGTGCGGCCTTTGAGGCGGCCAAGCAGGAGGCCTTCCGGCGCATCGACATCAAGGGCCAGATATAACCATCCTTCGTACTCCCCCCTTAGACTTCACCCAATTTCACCTTCTCTACCATCCCTCGACTTCTTCCTTCACCTTACCTCTTAAATTCATCTGCACTCATCCGGCTTCTTTTCTTCATCTGAGCGAGTTATCTTCTTCTACTTTATCTTGGTCTTGGTCTTGGTCTTTGGTCTTTGAATAGGGGCGTTGCGTTGGGACACGGATGGTATCTCGGTACTATTATCAGCATCTGCATCTGCATCGCGGACCGGAGAACAGAACCGAGCAGAAGAACCGGCAAGGGTCAAGAGAAGGAAAAAGCAACGAGCTTGCCTTCTCTTGCCTTCTTCTCCTCTTCTTCTTTGCTTCTTCCTCGTCTTTCTTCAAGGCTTTCTTCAGGATCTTCTTCTTCAGGGGCTGGTGGACTCTGGCAATGCATGCAGGCAGCGGGCGTCTAGTTGCGTATGTATCTTCCATAGCTGGCGTAGTTAACTCATCTATAATACATCTTCTTTCTATATCTTCATGCTATGTCTTCAATCTCTATATCTCGATCTCGATCTATATATCAGCTTCTACTCCCCTCCGCCCTGGCTATGCTTGCTTTTTCCCAGCCTCCTAACGGCCCTGAACAGTCGCACAGCCGATCATCTCTTCTAGTCTGCTGCTCTTCTCATCGTCTTCACTCCTCTTCATCGTCTTCGTCTGCTCCATCTACTTCTTCTTCTTCTTCTTAGTCTCCTTCTGCTTCGTCTTTATCCAATATCAAAATCTCCGCCAGCCAGCCCATCCCTGCCTATAAGACATCAGCTACCCGATCTCACTGCAACCGCCCCGCGATCGCCTCTAGCCATCTAGAAGTAAGTAAACAGTCCTACTCTATCTCTTGTCTATCCATCTATCTACTTCTTCTTCTTCTACTCCCTGCCTGTCTGTCTGTCTGTTTGTTGTCTCTCTTCTTGCTTCTTCCCTGCCCGGCGTCGACCCCTTTTCTGCTCGAAACACTCATCGTTACAGAACACGGCGGCCTCGACTCGACCATCTCTGTCTCTATCTCTATCCTACTAGTTATTCGTCTTTTGACGTCTGCATCTCCATCTCTGCCTGCTATTCTCTGTCTGGCCAAAAGTCTGCTGGCTCCTTCGGTCCGTCCTTATTAACTTGCTGGGGGCGTCTTCGTCTTTTTCTTCCTTCGCCACTTCTTGTCCTTTTCTTCTTCTTCTTTCTTGTAACTCTGACAGCGCAGAAGAAACAAAGTCACAGCCATCGCCATCGACAGTCTCAGCCAGCGCCATGAAGGTAGGCCGTCTCTCTCTCTCTCTCTCTCTCTCTCTTGCTGCCTGCCTGGCTAACTGCTTTACTCCAGGCCATCCGGCGCTCGCTCAAGGGCGACAAGGAAAAGTCGCAGCACCACCAGCATGTCTCGATCACGCCCAAGTCAGCCCTCGCCATCTTGCCGCCCAAGAAGGTCAGACAGCCTCTTTTCTTCTTCTTCTTCTCCTGCTCATCTTATCCTACTTTGCTTCGAGGACGCGGTCATCGCTTGCTCGCTTGTCTCGCTCGCTGCGTCGCCCGCCACCAAGCACTGCAAGGGTCTGCCTGCCTGCGCTTGCGGTGGATTCTCACGCCCGCCCGCTCGACCCTCCCAACAACCTCACCTCATCCCACAACCAGCAGCAGCAGCAGCAGCAGCAAGCGGCGACACCACCAGCAACACATAACTGACCTCTTGACAGGTGATAAAAGCGCTGTACGACTACCAGCCGTCGCCCGAGAACAGAGAGGAGCTCGCGTTCAGCAAGGGAGACTTCTTCCACGTCATCAGCAGAGAGGACGACCAGCACTGGTACGAGGCCTGCAACCCGCTCTTCCCCAACGCCCGCGGCCTCGTCCCCGTCGCCTTCTTCGAGGTCATCGGCAAGAACCAGCGGGACAGCGGAGACTCCGTCCACGCGCCCGCAGACCTGCATCACCACCAGCAGCAGCAGCCTCGCCTCGCCCACGACTCCGGCTTCTCGGACAGCAGCACCATCGTCAACACGACCAGCAAGCCGGAAAAGCCCTCGCAGTTCAGAATGTCGTCTCTCGGCAAGGCGGGAGCCACCGCCATGGTCTACGGCATCGTCATGTACGACTTCAACGCTGAGCGGCCGGACGAGCTCGAGGCAAAGGCCGGAGAGGCCATCATCGTCATCGCCCAGTCAAATCCAGAGTGGTTTGTCGCAAAGCCCATCGGCCGTCTGGGTGGGCCGGGCCTGATCCCGGTCTCCTTCATTGAAATCAGAGACATGACGACAGGGAAGTCGGCGCCGGACCCCCTCGAGGCTGTTCGACGCGCGGGCGTGCCCCGGGTCGAGGAGTGGAAGAAGATGACCGCCGAGTACAAGAACTCCTCCATCTCTCTAGGCAAGTTCGAGAACGGGCCGCAGCAGGCGGCAGCCGAACTCGAGCGCATGAGCCTCAACTCTCGCTCTGTCAGTATTTCTTTGCTTTTTACCACTCATTATTTTAGTTCTTTTCAGTGCTAATGCTTTGTAGAACCACCAACGATCCCCAAGCAAGCATGGCTATTCACAGCAACCACAACAGCAACCGCAGCACTATCAAGTACCTATACCCGTACAAGCGTCAATTCCGCGGTACTGCTTCGACAATGACAAGTACTGGTACATCGTCGAGGTCCAGATGGAAGACGGCCGGTGGTGGGAGCTCTCTCGCTACTACCACGACTTCTACGACTTCCAGATCGCCCTACTCTCCCAATTCGAAGAAGAAGCCGGCAACAGAGGCGGCCAGCGCACTCTTCCTTTCATGCCTGGACCCGTCACCCAGGTTACAAACGCCATCTCCAACGGCCGTCGCCAGAGCCTAGACGAGTACGTCAAGCAGCTCCTCGCCATGCCCCCGCACATCTCCCGCTGCCAGCTCGTGCGCCAGCTCTTTGCGCCGCGTCCAGGTGACTTCGAGATCGATCCCGCCGTCATGTCAGATGACTACCGCCTCTCCAGCGGCTCGCAGCAGTCCTCGGGCCACAACCTGTCTCGAACCGCTTCCCGCCAGTCCTCCCAGGGCCAGATGAGTGGTCCCAACCAGCAAGCCCACTACCAGCCTTCTCAACGACCTACCCACCAACGCAGCCAGGGTTCCGTCTCCCAGCAGTACCATCAGCAGCCACACCAGCCGATGCCACCCCCAGGACAAGCACAGGCCCCGTCCATGTCTCGCCAAGGAAGCTCGTTCAACAGCCAGATGCCCTCCCAGGGCTCCGGTGCGATAAAGATCAAAGTCTTCTTCCAAGACGACATCATCGTCATCCGTGTACCAGACGATATCAACCTACGGCAACTAACCGATAAGCTGCGGGACAGACTCAAGGTCGACTCCATGGTCATTCGGTACAAGGATGAGCCGTCAAACTCGTTTGTCGAGCTACTCGGAGACGCCGACCTGGAGACTGCTATTCGTCGAAACGCCAAACTCATGCTCTACGTCAGCACACCGTGATCTCCTCCATTCATTCCCCATCCGTCCCTTCTCCTATTCTACGGCCGCGTCTTCTCCTTTTTCATTTTTACCATTTCTTATCTCCTCTGCTATCTATATCCTGGATTCCCTTATACCACCTTTTCTTCCTTGTTTTCTCGGCGTTCTCTGGCTTCACCTCTTCTTTGTCTGTTTTTCCATATATCCCCATCTACGTCTACCTGTCTGCCGGTCTCGCCATATGGATACACTCTTCTGTCACATATACCTGTCATCTGTTTCCTTTCTTATTTCTGTTTACGTCGGATATCCCCCCAAATACCTCATGCAACCTGCTACGCTACGTTTCTAGAGTCTACCATGTCTTACGTCCTTATGTCTGTTCCTCATTTGCTTGCGTTTTCCGTATTCCCCTATGTTAACGGCCGTTAGGGTCTTGTTTTCCCACTTCACGCTTTGCTTTTCTTTCTACTGGTCCTTTTTATATCTGGTCCTCGCGTCTTGTTTGTATTTCTGAGTATTCGTCTATCTGGACCGGAGCAAGGGGGAAAAGTCTCTTACTGGCAGTCATGAATCGCATGTGTATCCTCTACCATCTAGTAATCTATACCTCCATCTTAATCTACCTTAATCTACTGAACGATAGCAGAGAAGCCTTATAGTCTTGACTGCCTACACTTGAGTACTGCAGGCTTTATGCCTCGGCAAAGTGGATGTCGCGCTAGTCCTGAAAAGGAAACCAGGACTTTTCATCTTTTTTACCGGCCAAAAGACGAAGAAACAACCGTCAACCTGCAACTTATAGACACACAGCTTGACGCTTTCGTTGATGACACTAGAATAGAACGCTCGTTGGCTAGAGAGTTATGCCTGCAGCTTGATTCTGTTTCTTTTCCTTTCCTCTATTTACCCGAACACTCGCCATCCGATGTCCGACGGCCGTTCTATCGTCTCGATCTATATACAGCAGCACAGCAAACTACATGGCTCGAAGCCGGAGTTCGTGATATTACGACCTCGTTAGATATATTGAAAGCATTGAAAGGCGTTACGGTGGCGCCCAGACAAACATGACGCCTGTGATTCGGCCGTTATCTACCCTGCGACTGGCTGCGCGAACCCCGAGACACACCATTTGCGCATCGTGTTTGAACAGAGCTGTTCGAAACTATGGTAGCTCTTCTGCATCCTTGACATGTTCGAGTGGGAACGGCAATGTGAGGAGTCTTCAGCATGTAACCCGGTTGAAGAGGGGCGACGTTGAAGGGCAGTGGGGCGCGGGAGGGAGCATGAAGATGAAGATGGAGATGTCAACGGCCGCAGCTGTCGGCGAGAAAGAGAAGAAGGTCGATGCCACCCATGGGCCACTGCAGGAATATGAAAGTCGAGTCGAGGCAGGCCTCTTGAGAGACGACGACCATCAGAGAGGTAGGCATTCTCATTTCACCCGTTTACTTTCAATCGCAACTTACAATCAATACTAACCCGTTCCCGCGCCAGCAATAATACAACACCTACAGGACCTTCATGACATGCTATGCAACTACAAGGCGCCCACCGTCGTCCACCCAACCCTAGAATCACTCAACCCGCAGCCACCCAAATCCTCCTTCTTCGGCATGCTATTCAACAACGCTCCCAAACCAACCGAGACAACCAAGATACCCGCCAACATGCCTAAGGGCCTATACATGCACGGAGACGTAGGATGCGGCAAGACAATGCTCATGGATCTATTTTACGACACGCTCCCTCCCTCCATCACCTCCAAGACAAGAATCCACTTCCACAACTTCATGCAAGATGTTCACAAGCGGTTATTCGCCGTCAAATCCCAACAGGGAGCGGACATCGACGGCGTCCCGTTCGTGGCGGCAGATATAGCCGAGAAATCCAGCGTGCTTTGCTTCGACGAATTCCAATGCACAGATGTAGCCGATGCTATGATTCTGCGGCGTCTACTTGAATCTCTCATGTCCCATGGCGTGGTGCTGGTGACTACTTCCAACAGACACCCTGACGATCTATACAAGAACGGAATACAGCGCGAATCGTTCATACCCTGCATTCACCTGCTCAAGACAGCGCTGACGGTAATAAACTTAAACTCGTCAACGGATTATCGCAAAATTCCTCGTCCGCCGTCAGGCGTCTATCATAACCCGATGGATATAGCTGCGGAGCACCATGCGGATAAATGGTTCCGGTACCTAGGTGACTTTGAGAACGATCCTCCTCATCCTGCTGTGCATGAAGTTTGGGGGAGAGCCGTACATGTTCCGCAAGCATCGGGCAAAGCAGCTCGGTTCGCATTCAATGAGATCATAGGCCGTGCCACTAGCGCGGCGGATTACATTGAGCTTATGAACCATTACAACTCGTTCATTATCACTGATGTTCCTGCCATGGGTCTGCATCAGCGAGATTTAGCTAGACGATTCATCACGTTTATCGACGCAGTGTACGAGAGCAGGGTAAGATTTTTTTTCTTGTCTTATTCGTAGAAACATGCCACGATGTCCTTACTAACTTTGTAATAGGCAAAACTAGTCCTCACATCTGCAGTACCCTTGCGAAATCTTTTTCTATCGGAAAATGATATCAAACAAGCCTCTTCCAAGGACGGCGATGCCTCGTCTAACGACGAACTACAAGCAGACATGCGCAATCTTATGGATGATCTAGGTCTGACCATGGATCAGCTCAAGGCAAGCTCGATATTCAGTGGAGACGAAGAGCGCTTTGCATTCGCTCGAGCTCTGTCCCGTTTGGCTGAGATGGAAAGTAAGCAGTGGGTCGAGCGTGGCCTGGGTGTGGGTATGGATGAGTTACACGGCCAGGAGGAGAAGGCGGCCTGGGATAAGACCAGAAGTAAGTGGAGAGAGGATAGCATGTAGGTGATGTGGTACTAGTTATATATACTGAGCGTATGGTTGTTCGATTCCCTGTTTGCTGTGACTTGGCTATAGATCGGCATTGGTTGATACATTTGCACATAGTTGATTTTTGTTTACTTCAAATTAAAAGAAATAGAACAAATCATTAATGTGATAAATTCCTCATTATCATAAAAAGCATTCACAAAACATAAATCATACATAAACACATCCAGTAAACACCACAACCACACATTTGGGTATGTATACTTCCCATCAAGATTCAACAACATGCACAAAAGAAAAGGAAAAACAATCAAGAAATTAATAAAAAAAAGGAAATAAGAAATCTCCCAAACACGCCCCTCTTTTTTTTAAACAGCTGGAACAATAAATGGAGTCAGGCGAGACCAAAATAGACCGTTCTCATCTCCTCCAGAAGGCTGCCTTGTAGGCTACCTTGTTGAAGTGCCGCTGAATAGTCCAGCCAGTTTCGGTAAAGAAGTCAGTAACTTTATGCTTGATACTTCTGTGCGGAATCCTCTTTCCAATCGAACTGGGAGCACTTGTGCTTCCTGAACTACTACCGATAGTGAACTTGCCAGCGCTGAATTTCATCTTGCCCTCAGCAATCATCTGGACGAGGTTGAGTATTGCAAAGGCTGTAGAACCAATGCCACGGAACACGGCTAGACCAGCAACACTCCAAAGTACAAAGGCTAGGTAACCGTTACTTCCAATGTGCTTGCTGCTGTACGACTCTGTCACGGCCATGCCTAGTATAGCGTTGGCAATCAGCCATACAGAGACCATGTATGTTCGGACAGCACGGTAGTAATCTTCTTGCATCTGAGACTCGGATAAGGGTGGTTTCTCGACTTCGAGTCTGTCTCGAAGATTGCGCAATGCTTCGTCGTATCCACTGTCGATATCGAGTTGCTCAGAGGGCATTTCAAGCTCGACTGTTGAGGAGCCTGTGATACGTGCTGCACCAAGGTCAGTGTGTAGGACGTTGTCTCCCTTTGTACCCCAGGTAACATCGTGAGTGTTGCAGAAGGCATAGACCTGAAGCGTACAGATGTAGCTGGGCAAAAGGGCAAAGTATTGGGCAGATGAGGTAAACATGTGCCAGGGGTCAAGGTAGATGAATGACATGACAAAGTATAGACCAATTGTTGACAGGGTCGATACAATCACGTTAGTGAATACGTTTTGTCCCAGAGTCAGCTTGCTTTTGTTCTCCTTTGCAGTGAATTGACGAATGACGACGTATAAACCAGCAAAGGTGGTGTATATCATGATTATACTGTATACGATCATTCCACTCAAGAACATTTTCCTCGCACTATTAATGAAGGTAAGTATATTTCCAAATCGACGAAGTGAAGCGTTCCTTAACTTACCCCTGGGGTCGATTACCCATGGAAAGGATAAATTGCAGACAAATAAGCAAGACACAGGCATATCTCAAGATGATGAAGATGATGTTGGCTATTCCATGTCCGAACGGATCTATCTTTGGATCCGCAACAGCCAGTGCAACGAAGTAGAAGGTGATATAGAAGTTGGCCTTAGACGGAAAAATTATATCAGCGTTTTGCAGGTTTCAGAGACTGAAGTCATTGGTTATTTCAACTTACAAGAGAGAAAAATGTAAAGACCAAGCTGACGAATTGATAAATAAATTCAATATGCAGCAATATCTTTCGAGCAACTGTGTGGTCCGTTTTCCAAACCTGTCTGAAATGAATCAGAGAATAAACAGCAGCGAAAAAGGCACCATTAAGCCATCGTCGACGTTGAGAAATAAACTCAGGAACAGAATCTGAAACCATTCGTCAGTCGAATGCTCTAGTCAATGCTGCTTGAAATGTTGAATAACTTACCTGGAACATCAGTTTCACCAACAGCGCTCTTGACGAATTTCAAAAGCCATTGTTCATCCCTTTTAGCAACCAATTCCCAACAGAGAATACGATCTTCGGCAAGATACATGTTAGCCGTGAAGACATCAGCATTCTTCCCGTGCAACATCTCTCCCTTAAAATATTGACTAAGAGGGCCATGGCCAGTGGAATCATTCTGCAGCGCATGGTATCGGTAAGCACTCAATGCACCGGGTAGCACAGTGATATATCCAAACAGAGATTCCAACGGTTTATCCAAAATATTGGACATCTTGTACTCGAAATTCTGAGATGCAACCAAAGGGTTGAGTAATCCGACCCATCCCTTTCCTTTGCCAGCTTTGATCTCTCCAGCAGCACCGGCAACGTTAGAGTCCTGATCAAATGCTTTCCAAAGATGGTACAAGGCAGTTGGCTCCGGCTTTGTTCCCACATCAAGCAAGATGCAAACATTGGGATTCAATGCACGGCCAAACCCATTGAAGAACCATCTATGAGAATTGAGCTTCTTCTGGTTTCGTTCCTTGAGACAAAATATCATCTGACAAGGCACGATACCCTTCTCGGCACCCTTAAACTTCAAGTCTGGGTCCAAAGAGACTTGGGTCGTGTATTCGTACAAATGAGCCGTAACCTCCTTCTGGTTGACTATGTTCTTTGCAATACCGTCCTGATACACACCAATGGCACCTAGAGCGTTCAAGGTGCGAGGATGAACTTTGTGTCGTCCATCAGCAATAATGCAAACGACGATTTTCTTCCATCCATCTTTTCCCCAAGTTCGTGACTTGGTTCTGGAGCAGAAGTGAGAAATGTTCCTCATGATCCCATGCATCGAACGGGTGAAGTCAATTTCGTTTTCGTTGTACATCGTAACGCATATAAACAGTTCCGTTTCTCTCATAGTACTGCCGATGTTTTGACGAAGCTTGTATCCCTTTGCTACGAAGTCATCGGGATCGCAAGTGACAGCAGTGTACCTCATATGGGTGAATTCTCGGTCGTCTCTCCGTGGTAAGAAGCTGTGCAAGATAGTAGGAATCTTACATTCCAGGATAAGCTCTCCGTTGACAAGCTTGACTTCCTTCTTCGTCATTAATGCCTGTCTCACACCTCTTCTGTCTTGACGGCCAGTGGGGGCTGGAGCATAGACTTCTCCATAGCCTTCGTCGTCATCATCCAGGTTACCCTTTTTCATATGTTCCTTTTCCTCCGTCACCATGGTAGATTCACTGAAGTATGATCCGTACGATCTAAGACTGCCATGGGACGAACGTTTAGGGCTTATGGTTCTACCATTACCTCCAAACACGTCGTCTGTTCCGTCATATTGACCACCTTCTCCGATATTTATAGTGGTCTCACTGGATAAAGCAGGAGCTGGCGCAGAGAACAACGGCGCTGGGGGCAGTGGGCGTCTTGGGCTTCCTCCGTATCTTGAACTCGGAGTGCCCGGGCGTGGACTGCCGTTGATGTCTGGCGGCTCATAATGAATGCTCGAAACAGATGATGGGCGCCGTTGCCAGCCAGCAGTGCTACGAGAAGGAGTCCATGGCCTGGTAGGCGAAGGTGGACGTGTAGCATACTGGGTTCCATTGACATTTGGTGCTCCTGGGGGTGGGATAGCTGGAGCCTGGTCTATGGCAGAGGCAGGCTGTGAAGTTGGAGCACCGGCTATTGAGGGTTGATGCTGGAGGGGACGATAACGCTGGGATGATGATCGTGAAGGAGATACAGGAGAGCTAGTTGATTTTTGGTCAGCCTCTAGTTCATCAATCGTTTCCTGGATGGATGGCAGTGCTCCTTGATTAGTGGTTTGGATTGAGGGAAGAACCAAGTTGTCAAGGGCAAGATTATCATTTTGACGCTTGGGTCTTGAAGTCAATGGTGGCCTTGGGCTTGCTAAACGTAGTGGAGCAGGGACAGCAGGATGAAATAGTCGCAATGAGGATGTAATACCCCTGTGAAACTTTTGATAGGGCTGGTGCTGGAGGAGAGACTAGGGGCATTCTGCTTTGAGAAGTTCATAAGGGGAATGTCATGGGGCAAGGTAAGGAGACGGGGATCAGGAGAGGCAGAGGAAGGGGAGTTGACTGGTGCTGTAGTTTTGAAAAGTGTAGCAGGCGACTGTTTTGGTATCTTGCTGCCTGAAGCTGCGTCTGGCGGTGACTGATGTGTACTGCTTTCTTCTGGCTGAGATGCTACATACTGTTGACGCTGTAATGTCGAAGACCTCTGCATTCCAAACTGCGCGCTTCCAAGGTCACTGCCGGCAGCATAGGTGTCGTAGGTCCCATATCTTTCGTTCAAATCACTTCCGGAGCCAGCGGGTAGTAGGCGCATCGTCGCAGAGGCATTCGCTCCAGCCGCAGTCATGGAGGTTCTCATATCATCGTTATCGTCATAGTTGTTGGGTAGCGAGTAAGACGGAGGCTCCTCACTGTAGCCCGGAGGAGCCGAATGGCCTCCTGTCTGGTCCATCGTGCGTTACTACAGTCGTTGTTGGCTGTGCTGGCGGGGGATATGGAGGACGGAGATGTAGAGGATGGTCGATCTAGATCAGTTATATGGCATATTAGGTAGAACCAGATCGGTGAGAATGCCAGCAGGCAAATTAACTATGGGTATATCAGAGGCAATAAGTCCTGTATATGTACCAGACGATCAACCTGAAGCTGGAGTTGCAGTTTTGTAGAACTTTTAGCGCTCGCGTTGCTTTCATCTTTGCGGCTTTCCGATGTAAACTCGACGTTGTCATGGCAACCTGGCTGACTAAGCCGGGAGGTAACTCTAAATTAATCTACACGAAGAAGCGAAGGAAACATCGAGAAAAACGACGGGCCTTTGGACTGTGCAAGAGCTACAGAAGGAGGTTGATGGTAACTCTCTAAATGCTCTCAACGGTGGTGTCCGGTATGACATATCTCGCCGGCAGCAAATCCTGCACCTTCTCGACCCTGACTGACCCATCAGCAACCCGTACTATCGCCTTGATATCTGGATGCAAGTCGCCCAAGACCTGTCTGCAGCGGCCACATGGACTGAGAATCATTCGCCCTTGGTTTCCTACGGCGACGATGTGTGTGAGTTTGGGCGGCCCGGCCATAGCAGCGACTCCCAGGACAACGAGCTCAGCGCAAGGCCCGCCGGTAAAGTGATAGACATTGATGCCGGTGAATATACGGCCGTCTTCTGCGAGCGCAGCACTACCGACGCTGTAATCTTCGGATACTGGGATGGCCTCTATAGTCTTGGTTGCCACCTCGATGAGGTTCTGCTCTGCCTTGGAAAGATGAGAGTAGATGGTAGCCATTGCTGTGCTGTTAGTAGGTCTATTATGATGAGGCACAGCATACCTAAAACTTACTGTAGTTTAGATAGTTTCTGACTGAAAAATTGGTGGTAGCTATTCCCGCAAGGAAGTTGTGAACTGCTTACTCCTCATACTTGAGCAACGGCGCTTTATATGTATAACCGTCTGGATCTGAAAATGGTAACTGATGGAGATCGAAGAAGAAAAAGAAAGACTTGACTCCACGCCTTGGCAGGGCGAAACCCAGATCAGGACTCCGACGGCGAAAGCGGCAAGCTCTTTGGCCCGTATCCAGATCCAGGGAGATGGACATCATGCAAGCGTTTACCAGAGCGAGGCACAAAAGACAATGGACTTGAGAATGACATTGGCAATTTATGTAGGAGATACGAAATAAAAAGATAGACATTACCACATAGGAAAACTTGCAGTAACTACAGATATTAGGACGAGATCACGAACACGCCGGCTAAGTAGAGAAGCGGAATATTATGTGAAAATAGACGATAATTTCCGAGACACGATCACCTGAATGAAACCTCCAGCCTTGGAGCAGAGCGGCATTTCTCGGGTCTCGTCTTGCCTCGTATACGTATTTGATGGAGCGGTGATGTATAGTTGTATGTTTCTGCTTAAGTGGGTAGATAAACTCGCACCAAAGAGATATTGAAATATTAGAGTCAGGGTTAGTAGAGATATGGTCCAGGCAGTCAAGAGAGTCCGGTTGAGAGACAGATTGGCACTCGAGTATTAGTCACATTTACGATGGTAGAGGTCAACTATGTTGCCTACTCGTTGGTGAGAAGAGGCTCACGCTCACGGTCGCCTTGTTCTGGCTCCTCGTGGGGAATGAGGAAGAAGTTGAGGCCGAGGAAGTTGGTAACAGTACTGTAAAGTGATGAAGCAGCGAAGATACCGAAGATGATAAAGGCAAAGATCCACTGCAGAGAGATGATCTTGATAGCCAGTTGCTTGAGCGAGAGAGCTAGAAAAGTCAGCACATTGAGTCTTGGTTTGAAACTGGAACGGGTGGGGGAAAGTTACAGAAGGTCAGCAAGCTGAGGGCGTATCCAAAGAACTGATCGTTACGGATAACGATGTGAGCCTGTCCAAAGACAAAGAATACCCAGATGAAGACATTGGCCACAAGTCTCAAGGGGGTACTGTTGCCGCCAACAGCTATGGCACCGTTCCAGAAGAGAGTGAGCAGAGACCAGGCATATGGTCCAGCCGCAACTGGCAGGTGGATGAATGGGTGCAGGCCTGGGAAGCTCCAGTAGAGAGTGGCCTGGTTGATCAAGCTGAAGATATCAAAGACCTCAGCCCACCAAAACTTAGCATGGGTGAAGAGCAAGGTAAAGGCCAGAACGAAGAGGTTGTTGAGCACAAAGTACGGAGCCACATTGGCGGCCGTAGTAACGTGCTGTTCATCTGAGCTCCAGAGCTGACCGATATAACCCAGCTGAGAGATGAGCAGAATTATCCTGTCAAAGGGCTATCAGCGAGACCTTTTTATCATCCTCTCTTTCCACATTGTTTCCCAATAGGACAACTCACCAGTATATACCGGTGACGACCTTGGTCTGAGAGAAGGCATTGAGGTGGTCGTCGTGTGCGAGGGCGTGGAGGGCATCACCATCTCCCTTCTCTGGCGTGCCGTGGTGCTTGCGATGGGTGCCCGAGTAGATACCAATACCAACGACGAGCAGCCAGGAGATCGTGCTGGCAGCCTGGTAAGCCCAGATTGAGCTACGCTGATACGACGAACGCTTGACGAAGGGGTTGTCTAGGGTGAAGATGAGTAAACCATGCCAGCTCAGCGGCCGATAGGCCAGAACAGCGTTGAGATGATGCTTGTCTTTGCTTCACTTTCTCGTCTCGGGCTACTCACAAGTATGAACCGTCGAGTCTGCCATGTTTGTCGGAGCTGCTGCTATCTGCCTCTACTCGCTATCTCGGATGTAAGTATGGATGCGATGTTCGATGTTGATGTGCCTCGCTGGCGAGTTGGGGGATGGTCTTGGGGATGTTCTTCAGAGGTCCTCCTGTCGCACCCCCGCAGCAGCAGCAGCAGCAGCGCAAAAACAAGGTCGTCAGGCAGCTAAACCCTTCTCCTGCTAGCGAGCTTGAATTGGCTTGCTTGGTAAACTCTTCCTGCAGCGCTAGTTGGGATAGTCCGAAGGCTTGACGCTCTTCTCATCCTCTCCTTTTGCGTCGTGTCGGCGCATGCTGAGCAGACAGAAGCAATCAGGGCAGGGCAGCAAGAGGCAGCTGACGTTCCTGTGCGCCCATGGCTGCATGAGAACTTGCGGCATAGTTGGTACTTGGCTTTTGCGGGGACTCACACCAAAAATTAAGTACCAACTATGGAGCTCAGCCCAGCTTGGACCGCGCCCCCTGTGCATGCATGTCCCATTTAGGCAAGTTTGCGGGGTCGGTCACATGGCACGCTTAAGCACGGGATTAGTCAGCGAATTTAAATTTATTTCCTTAGTCATTATCTTAGTCATCACCTTATCTTGACTTCTTGTTTTTATTCCGACGTCAACAGGAAAAAAAGATGGAGAAGACAAGATAAACAAGATGGAGACGGCGACGCCGTTCCAGATACTAGGTGTGTTATCGCGGGCTCATGACTGGATTTGGTATATGTCCGAATGCCACTTCACTAGCCTTGCCTTGGGGTGCTGGAAGATACAGACACGGAGACAAGAAACGGGACATCAAACGGACTACGCACGCTCGCTCTTCCTGATATCAAAAGACACTGGTGCGCTTCAGACACCCTATAGTGCACACTATATATGTTTATATATAGCTAAGTCGAAACAGCCAGGATGATACATTTCTCCCGAGGGATGTCTTGGTATTAATAAGAATAATACCTTCTTTCGCCTGTCTGCGCTGCCCATTGGCTAGGGCACGGGACAAGCGCAGATGAGGCCTGTCCAACTCAAAATGAAATATGGAACCAGGGAAAAAAACAAAACAAAACCGTAAAACGAGGAAACGAAGGCACACTGGAATGTTTCTCGAAGGAGGGTCACCCTCGATCCCGCTGGTCGATCACAGAGCCGGTCGATCAGGTTCTCCATCACCGGGAAGCCGACGTCTCGCCAGGCCCAGATCACGCTCAGAAATGTTTCTTCTTCTCCAGGCGAATGTGAGACGCATTGAACCTGTGAAAACATACCCCCTATATAACATAAGATGCCGTGAATCATTGATATATAAGCTGGGCGCTGCACCCCATATTCTGAACGGTGAACTGCTGCGAACTCACCCCGCGTTGCAAGAAAGTTATCTTACATTCTCCTTCAATTTGCTTTCTACTTGGCGTACCCACTTCAGGATGTTGACTTGTTCGATCATCTCTGGGGTCGCGTGGCTAGAGGTGGTATCATCATACCACAGACAAACTAGCCGGTAAGCTGGCTTTCTTGGGGGCCAGCTGCTCTCCCCTTTTTCCCTCCCCCTTTCCTTACCGCCGCCGTCAACCCTAGGCAGGGTATCTCTCTTGATACCACATCATCTTGCCCGGATATCAATTAGGCTCACGACACTATCATGGGGTATCCTGGGTGTCCAGCTTGTTGCACATGGGCGGAAGTCTTCAGGTAGGATTCCGGACCGTCTGCCCAAATACTCACGGCGTGATGCGGGTCTAGAAGGGGGCAAAAGATGAAGAAGACCTATCGTGCTTCCTATCTTTTTCGGCCGCCGTAATCCGTCACATAGTTAGCCGTCATGATACGGTTGGGTCATCACCGCTGTTGCCGCCGCCGTCAGATGAGGTCTTTGTAGGGGATGGAAACGAATATAAATATCCCCTGAGGCGCTGCCGATCTGCTCTGAGATTCCTCGCACGGATCGAACAGATCTTCAGAGCTGATCTTCGAGAGTATCTCTATCCCTTCCTCTCTTTCCCCATACTTACCCCTGATAGACTGTCTATCTCCCGAAGATCTACCTAACAGTTAGTCACAACAGTTCTCCTATACCAACTACTCACCTAAGCCCAAATAGGCATCTTGCTCACTGCTCTTCTCTAGCCATGAAGCTCCTCTCTGTTCTTGCGCTGAGCGCTACCGCTACCTCCGTCCTCGGAGCTAGCATTCCTGTTGATGCCCGGGCCGAGAAGTTCCTCATCGAACTTGCCCCTGGTGAGACTCGCTGGGTTACCGAGGAGGAGAAGTGGGAGCTTAAGCGGGTATGTACCACTATCCTACGCAAAAGTTGTATTTTCACTAGATAATATTGGTTATTAACACCCATTCTAGAAGGGTCAAGACTTCTTTGACATCACTGACGAGGAGGTTGGATTCACTGCTGCTGTTGCACAGCCAGCCATTGCCTACCCAACCTCCATCCGCCATGCTAATGCTGTTAACGCCATGATTGCTACCCTCTCCAAGGAGAACATGCAGCGCGATCTGACCAAGCTCAGCTCGTTCCAAAACCGCTACTATAAGGCTGACTTTGGCAAGCAGTCTGCCACCTGGCTCCAGGAGCAAGTCCAGGCTGCCATCAATACCGCTGGTGCCAATCGCTACGGAGCCAAGGTCGCCAGCTTCCGACACAACTTCGCTCAGCACAGCATCATTGCCACTATTCCCGGCCGCTCCCCTGAAGTCGTTGTCGTCGGTGCTCACCAAGACAGCATCAACCAACGCAGCCCCATGACCGGCCGCGCTCCAGGTGCCGATGACAACGGCAGTGGCTCCGTCACCATCCTTGAGGCCCTCCGTGGTGTTCTCCGGGACCAGACCATCCTCCAGGGCAAGGCTGCCAACACCATTGAGTTCCACTGGTACGCCGGTGAGGAAGCTGGTCTTCTGGGCTCCCAGGCCATCTTCGCCAACTACAAACAGACCGGCAAGAAGGTCAAGGGCATGCTCAACCAGGACATGACCGGTTACATCAAGGGAATGGTCGACAAGGGTCTCAAGGTGTCCTTCGGTATCATCACCGACAACGTCAACGCTAACTTGACCAAGTTCGTCCGCATGGTCATCACCAAGGTAAGCTTCAACTCTTGATAAATATATTTTTCATCGATGAAATGATGTCCTAATAATGCTTAAGTACTGCTCAATCCCAACCATCGACACCCGCTGCGGCTATGCTTGCTCTGACCACGCCTCTGCCAACCGCAATGGCTACCCATCTGCCATGGTTGCCGAGTCTCCCATCGATCTCCTCGACCCTCACCTCCACACTGACTCTGACAACATTAGCTACCTCGACTTCGACCACATGATCGAGCACGCTAAGCTCATTGTCGGCTTCGTCACTGAGCTCGCTAAGTAAATCCGATTACTCTATCCTGTCAATATTGTACATTTACTGTGCACCAACCCTGTACATAGCCATATTCCGTACATATATTCTTGATATATACTTAAAAAATTACATGTATCTCTTACTCCGGCTCTTGCCTTCCTGCATACGTCGTGACCTCTGCGCATCCTTTCGCATAGTTGGCTGGAATATCGCATACTAAAGCTGGCTGTGTGTCCCTAGCGAGCGGTGCAAAGGCATGCTGTGGCCACAAACGACGATTGGCCCGGGCGATCTCGGCGGCGGAAATAAATAAAAAAAAAAAAAAAAGATGATTCACAGCGAGTCATCGAGATACGAGAACCCGACCTCCGTCCTAGCAGGCAGAGAACCTATTAATATCACTAGCCAGCCTGTTCCTTATCGGTATACATCAGTATACACAACTCCATCTTTGGGCATCGCTGCGATGGCCGTCCATCCAACCCTCAACGCTAGCCCGGCACCTGGATCCACGGCAACAACGTCGAATGCTCTCACGCCGCAGCAGGTCTACGCGATCTCAAGCTGGTCGGAGCAGGCCATCGAGAGTCTGTCCCTCGAGTCCTCGCCGATTCCCTATCGCAATTCCGCGCCCCTGACCATCCCGCTGGATGATGACGTGCCGCAGTCGCCCACGCCTACTCCCGTGCGGTTGAGACGCAGCGTCCGCGTTGCAGAGGACACCACCGGCACCGGCGCTGCTACTACTGCTGGGCCATCGACATACAGACGCAGAGAGCCACTGCGCCGCGATAGCCTGAAGCGTCGCGAGTCGTTGCTCAAGGGCAAGGAAGGAAGCCGACGACGACAGCGCTGGGAGAACGGTACGTCGTCATTTTTTTTTCCTTTTTTTTTTTTTTTTTTTGAACGGTACTCTAGCTGGGTAGGTAAAATGACTGACCTCTTAATAGACCGTCTACTGAGCAATCCTTGGGCTCAGCCTCCATCAGCTAACGACTGGGAAATCCAACCTACGTATCCTCGTCATAACCCGGTCCCCTACTATCTCGCCTCTCTCTGGGACTCTCATCAAGCCGCAAAGGAACAAGCCCGTCGCAAATCGAAGAGGGAACAGGGCATATCCGAGAATAAGAAAAAGAAAAAGACACACGGAGATGCGAAGGCCTCTCATTCCAACGCTGAGCTCGATAAGATATCCAAGGAGTTGCGGGCTAAACTGAAGCATGCTCGAGCTGCGCGAGGACTGGTTCAGGAGCTAGAAGAGGAAATCCGGCTGTTTGTGCAAGAATGGATTGAGACCCAAACCTGGCATCAGCCGAGAGAAGCTGAGAGTGAATGCTGTAGCGATAACAGCTCGAGTGACAATGACGAGGTTGTTTTTGCCGGCCGCAGGGTGAATCCCTCTACTCGGAAACAGAGACGTTCATCTCGAGTGGTATCTGGAGAGAAGATGGTGTTTGAAAGCCCAGCGGAAGATCGAGCTGCTGGTTTCGGGTGAGTTTTATTCTTCTCGGATACAAACCAGTGTATAGAGAGTGCAACTTAATTGGTTAGGCGATGGCTTGTTCACTCTCTGGCATCCTACTACGGCCTTCGAACATGGTCCGTGACTGTCGGCAATCCTCCTCGCCGTGAAGCGTATGTGGCGATCGATGAGGTCTCACAAGGCCTCCTGGCTGCTGCTGGCCGGGGATTTCCAGGCAGCAAATTTGACGGAATTCTCCCTCGGCCTCTATGGGTATCGATGTAGACGGCTTTTATTATCCATCTCCCCCCTTTTTCTCTCTCCGTAGTATTTTTCCTTCTTTGGTCTCCATTATTCTATCTATCCTATTGCCAGCCACAGTCTGCCTAGATGATAAAATAGAAGGAAACCGCATTCTTCATCTCTACCTTTACAAATAACGTAAGTATTTACTAATCCAGCTAACTATACAGATCAACCATTATATGCTAATCCCCTCGAGGCCAAGAAAGAGGCCTACACCAACGATCATGGAGCACTCCTTGCTCTATTTCAACTCATTCACAGCCGCAACTTACCTCTTCTCACGTCAATGAGGTCTTTCCGGGATAACTACATATTACACAACACGGAGTACCTAGATCCATGATACCCCTTATTACCGATACTATATTGCAATCTTTGTAGCCAGAAACATCCTACAAGTTGGCTGTTTCCAACACATAGCTCTACACCCCTTTTCACTTACCCTCAAGGACCCTGCAGGGCTAGGTGCAAGCATATAATGTGCTAGCGGCAAGGTCCCGTATTCCCGATCCTTGGGACTTAATGGAGGCAGAGCTATTCATCTTCAAAGAACTGATGGCTAGTTGGTCCCTTTCCGTGATCGAGCTTCATCATCCTGAGCACAAAGTCCTCATTGTCCCGCAAATCTCCTTGACAGTCGTAGTATGAGAGAGCTTTAGAGTCTCTTAGTTTACTGCGTTGCATTCATTCATGTAGGAACTGCAGGGCCTTTCCTGCGCTGCATCTCCTTCATGATCATCGTCACAATAGGGGGTCTCCAGGGGGCTCCGAAAGGGGTTGTTTGTTGTGATGTACGTCACTAACCAAAAGAAGCTAGTATTATTCTATTTATAACCAACCAGAGGCTAAAGAAATCAACCAATCAGAAATTCTGCTACAGCCCAGATATTCAGATGAGCTGGACTTTGTCTACAATAGCAGCCATAAAAAGTTGTGACTTCCCATCGGTGAAATATTAGTAAATAGGGTAAGATAATGGGTGATATCCAGAGTAAAAGTAAGGGGAAGGACACCAGCAGAGAAGGTGTAAGTAGATGTAGAGTGACAGCTGACTAAGCACCTTGACAGGAGGTTAACTTTCGCAACGTCTATAGATGTGGATGTTGTTGTTATTGACTCCAGCAACAAAGACCACCTTGAGGGACAAGACAGAGTAAGTGGAAATCCGCACATTTTAGTAGCAAGCTGATGCTGATGGTGGTTACAGGACAATAGGAGGTGAATGAGGCTCTACTCTCCGCCATCATGGCCTCGCCGCAGCAGCGTTCGAGCCGGTGCAGTGGCCAGGAGGAGCTACTTAAGAGCTTCAACAGGCTCGACATTACCTCCCTGAATGATCACAACAAGAATAACAACAAGACACCTTCACCATCTCTCTCACCCTTACAGTCCCCGTACCACAAGCCAGAGACAACCCATAACGTATTAAGAAAAGACCCTAGCGCCCGTCCGCCCTCGAGGCAGCAGCAGCAGGAGCAACGCGCCCCTCGAAGGACCACTAGCACGACGTCCCTGCGTGACGAGAGACGCAGCTCGACACAGTCATTACAGAAGCGAGCATCGATCAGCTCCCTCCGATCGGTACAGAATCTGGCCGCCTCTTCATCTTCTCCACGTCAGAGTCTCTCGCGGCGCTCGTCGGCGCAACATCTGGCGTCATCCCCTGGCGCGTCAGGGCGGCCTATTACACCGCTCGCAGAGATGGCACCCCCTCCAACCCCGACGGCATCAGAAATAGCTGCTCAGTATTGGGGCCGAGAAATGGCCCTTCATCAGACTACGGAGCTGCACTCCCGCACTGTCGTCATCATTCAGGATGCCTGTTACGGCCACCGATTCTCGCGCCCGCGCACCACCCAAGATGACCTGAATAGCATCGTCGAACGGCCGGAGAGAATGCATGCCAGCATCCTTGGTGTGGCTGCTGCATTTATCCGCATGGGCCTTCGTTATGGCTCTAACGAGTTTGCGCCCCACCCAAACCTCGACCTACAACGGCTCCCGGCTCCTCCGTTTCAGATAAGAAAGTCTGTACGGACCATGCCCCTGGACTCACCAGCAGTAACGCACATCCATGGTACCAAATGGATGGAAGAGCTTCGGTTGATGTGTGATGCTGCTGAGGGAAGACTGGCAACGAACGGCAGAGAACTCGTTCGTCCCAGCAGCTCTGGTAGGGAGACCAAAGGCAACGCCGTTCCAAAACTGCATGAATGGGATCTATATCTCTGCCCTGAATCTTTGAACGCGTTTGAAGGCGCATTGGGAGGAGTTTGTGATGCTGTTGACTCAGTATTTACCTCTCCGTCGATACGCCGCGCGTTTGTTTGCATTCGACCACCAGGTCACCATTGTTCAGGCAGCTACCCGTCCGGCTTTTGCTGGCTCAACAACGTTCATGTGGGTATTTCATATGCTGCCGTGACGCACGGACTCACCCACGCTGCCATTATTGACTTTGACCTTCATCACGGTGACGGGTCTCAGGCCATTGCTTGGGAGCAGAACGAACAAGCAACCAATGCTACTAAAAATGCTGCCGCATGTAAAAAGACCGCAATTGGATACTTTAGTCTGCATGATATCAACTCTTACCCATGCGAAGAAGGAGACGAAACTAAGATCCGGAACGCTAGCGTCTGTATCGATAATGCTCATGGCCAGAGCATATGGAACGTTCATATGGAAACATGGGAGACCTCCCAGGAATTCTGGAAAATATACGAGACGAAGTATACCATTCTGCTCGAGAAGGCTCGTGCGTTTCTACGAGCTCATTCGCTTCAACTTCGTTCTAATGCTTCCCCCAACGCACCCCAGCCCAAGGCTGCTATCTTTCTCTCTGCTGGCTTCGATGGAAGTGAGTGGGAGGGAGTCAATATGCAGCGACACAAAGCCAACGTTCCAACGGACTTCTATGCCAGATTTACTGCCGATGTCGTTAGAATGGCAGAGGAGGAAGATCTCGCTGTCGATGGAAGAGTGATCTCAGTTCTGGAAGGTGGATATAAGGACAGAGCCTTGGCCAGCGGTGTCTTCAGCCATCTCTCCGGTCTCTCCGACTGCCCCGAAATCAAGATCGAGAGAGATCCCAATAGCAGCCGGCTTGCCGCTGAGATGTACAGAAGACTGAGCCTGAATGAAGACAAGCATGGAGTTTCTGCAGATGGCACATCTAAATCTAATTATGACCCTATATGGTGGGCGCCAGCCTTACTTGAAGAGTTGGAAGTCCTTGTCAACACTCCACCTACCACACCACGAAAGCCTCGCGGGAGAGGGCCACCTACTTTCTCTGCTCCCACCCAAGCATCTGCCGCAAAGGCAACCACACCAACTCGGCCACATAGGTCCCCATCCTCTAATCACACTCGGGACCCTTCCCCTCCGCCACTTCCACGAGTTGAGTGGGCCACAGCGGCTTTTGAGCTCTCCAAGACTCTCATCCCTACGGACCGTCAGACTGCCAGTTGCCAGCATGCAGACCTGAAAGTGGTTCCAAGCCAGTCTCGACCGGGTAGCCGTCTGGCATCTGTGGGAAACAAACAACAGCCACGCTCCAGTGAGAGAGGCACGAGCCATATGCAACTTAGAGAGAGAAAACAGAAAGCCCCCGCTGTGTCTACAGGAAATCTCGCAAGCTCCCGTTCTTCTACCGTCAGTACCCGTCGGACCACCATCGCCTCTAGTAATGATTTACCTGGCCCAAATATGACCGGTAGTGGGGAACCTGCAAATTCGCCTTCTGTTCGCCGTTCTTCACGAAGAATCAGCACGACGTCCACTGCATCTACATCTCCAGTATCTCCAGCTGGAAAGATAATCCAACCTAAAACTCATGAACCACCCTTGAGACCTTCACCTTCGCGAGCAAGCTCGAGGTCTGAATCACAGAATAGCGCAAGTAGGGCTAGAACCGGAGTCACCAGCGGAGCTCCTACACCAGTTAGAAATATCCCAAAGAAACCTCAGGGGAATGGCGGAAGCGTCGATAATTTATCAGCCAGCGTGAAGAAGCTGAACATTAAGCTGAACCTGCCCAGCCCCGAGGAAAATGCGGCTCGAGAAGCCAAGTTGACCCAGGATCGGAAAAAAGGGTTACAAGCAGCATCACAGTCATCCCAACGCAAAACGGCAAGCAGAGCTACCCCTGGAGCCAAGGCTTCTGCAAAGGAGGCTACTGAACGACAGTCACGTTCGAATCCCCGTTCAACTACTGCGACGAACGCTAAAAAAGCCAGCCCACCAGGAAGACCAAATCTTGGCTTATCCTATGACGGGGCCTATGACGAAGACCTAATCACCGGTCATGAACAAGAGTCGGCTGCATCGACACCAAACGAGGCCGCAGGCAATACCAACACCATGCCCTCTCCTCCATTGACGCCAGACACGGCCCTTGAGCCCGAGACCCCTACAATCACAGTCCGCTCACCGCCAGCTTCAGCGCATCAGCAACTGCCTGTCTTCACAGCAACATCTACCATTCCCTTTGCACCGTCTCAAAACCCTCCTTCGAACTCTTAGCTCCTTTCGATATGTTTCTTTTTTTTATCCCCTGTATCTTGTTTTATGTCTTGTTTATCCTTTCTGATTTCTACCATCTACCCTTTGTCCTACCCCAGGTTCTTTTCCTTTTTCTCAATGTACAATGCGAATGTACCTGCTTGTCTACCCTCTATTGACTGAAGTACTACCAGAACAAATCATATCACCTATTCCCCTCTTGTCCGAGTCACGGCGACTGTTGGCGTTTCCCTCCCCCCCTTGGCTTCCTGTCTCTTTTTGAGCTTCATGCTGCAAGTTCTGCTTACTTTGCTTGTCTCAAGACAGATTAGCCTTTATACCCCATATTGTATAATGTAATTCCAGTAAACTTCAGCTGCTTCGTATCGTGGGTCTGGAAATACCCAAACCATACTGTCATTCTTTTGCCCCCGAGCAGCAACAGGAGCGCAAAGATATCATGTATATTTAATATTATCATATATACCTAATATTAACTATATCAAGAGAAGACTCTACATGTATGGAGTAATGTATCGGCCATTTCAATCCTTTTTATCATCTAAAAAGGCATCTAAGCTGCACTTCGTCAAAAGTGCCCGCCAACTATTAATAGGCTTTTGAGGCTGATACAAATAATACGAATATTGACCAATTATAGTTGTAGTATTATGTTTTTTTATTATTAAAGTTCTGTACCTGATTACTAATTCCGGAACACGGAGTATTAATGATCCCCGAGATGGAAGCGATAAGGATCAGCTGGAAACTTCTTATCGCAGATGACAAAAAAGCGACGTCAACCAGTTGTGGCCTTGCAGGCCAGTTTTCGTTTATATTTTACCTCCTCCGCTACTATCCTAGAACCTATAGTCTCATTATAGTCCTCCCATCTACCTATCTACCTATAGCCTTCGCCATGTCGTTCTCAACTCCAGACCAGCATTCTTATACCCAGATGGCCGATCGTGATCTTGAAGACATCGGCAAACACTGCGAGTTCGAATTCTGTCGACAGCTAGATTTCCTGCCTTTCAGATGTGAATCGTGTAAGGGAACTTTTTGTCTTGACCACCGAACGGAAACGACTCACAAATGCCCGAAGGCTGGAGAATGGGCTCGTCGACGGACAGGGCAAGGCATCAGTGAATCTACAACTCTCTCCCCGAAACCTACGGTTTATAACTCTACACAGTGCTCTCATCCATCATGCAAGGCGCTCATATATACGATGGCGAACGCTGGCGTACACTGCCAAAACTGCAACAGGGAATACTGTCTTTCCCACCGGATGCGAGAGGACCATGACTGCAGCAATCTCACGCCACTAGGTGCCAGCCCGGCCGCAGTGGCCTTCACATCATCTGCGGATAAGGCACGACAGGCATTCTCTCGCCTACGAAGCTGGGGCAAAGCCAAAGCTTCGACTACTACCGCTCCTCCGTCCTCCAAATCCAAAGCAAAACCCTCGGCGGCGTCGAGAATGGCGCAGCTAAATGCCCTAAAGAAGAACTCCAAGGGTGATCCGAACCTAGACACATCCAAGCGATTTTACCTTCATGTTGAAGCATCTGCCGATACGACTACGGCGAAATATCCTACCGGAGATTTCTACTTCGATGCAGGATGGAGTGTCGGCAAGATACTTGATGATGCAGCACGGAGGTTACAAGTACAAAACGTCAATAACCGCTCTGCTGGAGAAGAAAATCGATTAAGGATATTCCATGTCGAGGGAGGCAAGCTGCTAGATTTCTCTAACAAGATCGGTAGCTGCTCCGTGGCCCAGGGTGATACTATTGTTCTTCTCAGGGGAGTCGGCCCGCCAGTCCCAGACTTGATTGAGATGTAGAGTCATGTCTTTCTCGTACTTATTAGCGCCTCCTTTTTATACCAATATTGGCATCGGTGTTTAGGCGGTCAGGGTTGGATATAATCCTAATATCATTCATAATGCACATAACATCCATACATAGCATATCCTCCATGGTCTAATACCAAGTATATATCACGTAGTCTATGCAATCATACGCTCATCTTCATCTTAATCAGTTTATGAGGTTTATAATCCAAAACTTCGAAGTCAGAGTCCTTCCAGCCGTCCATCTCACCGGATCCCCGGTCAGTACGATTGATCTTGAGTGTAGGGAAATCAGTTGGCTCCCGAGTAAGCTGCTCCTGCAGAGCTTCAATATGGTCAAGGTACACATGTGCATCCCCCATGGTATGAATAAAAGTTCCAGGATGCAAATCTGCTGCGTGAGCAAACATATGCGTCAACAGCGCATATGATGCGATGTTGAAGGGCACCCCCAGTCCCATATCACACGATCTCTGGTATAACACGCAAGACAATGTGCCTTTTCCTTTCTTACCCTCATCTCCCGCCTTCTGTAGTGGAAACGACACGTAGAACTGTGCGAACATATGGCACGGTGGAAGAGCCATTTTCTTCAGGTCCGCTGGGTTCCAGGCGCTTAGAATTATCCGCCTATCATACGGGGATTCCTTCAGCTTCCTGACAACCTCAGCGACCTGATCGACTCCCTTCCCGGTATAATCTGTTTTCGCATCGATGTACTCTGCGCCAAAATGGCGCCATTGAAATCCATACACGGGACCCAAATCGCCGACTTCACGATGCGACAAGCCAACACTGTCGAGAAACTCTCGGCTGCCGTTACCGTCCCAAATTTTTATTCCACCTTCACTTAGCGGTAGCGAAGATGTGCAACCTGATACGAACCACAAGAGCTCTGCGATGACTGCGCGTAAAAAGACGCGCTTCGTGGTCAGGAGGGGCAGGACAGGGACGGGATCTGGGTTCGAAGGGTCAGACGACGGCTTGGACAGCGAGAAGCGAAGCTGTGGTGGTGCAAAAATAGATCGAGTCCCTGTTCCAGTGCGGTCTGGACGATGCTCGCCTGTGCCGATAATGGTGCGGATGAGGTTGAGATATTGATGCTCTTCGTGGGAGGGGTCATGGGACGGTGTGGGTGAGGGCGAAGGACCCTCTAGTTGTGAAGGCGGGTTGAGGGCGAGGTTGGAATCCGATCCGCCGATGGATGGAGTTGTGGCCATGTTGCCGTTTGTCTTGTCACAGTGGTATTTGTGTTTCCCTGTGGTTAGATATATCGGTGGTTGTAGTTGACTTGAGCAAGGAGCGAAATATCGATTTAACTGTCGCGCCAACCAACTTAGTTGAGACGCGTCCCGTAACTCAGTAACTAGTTAGCTAACTAATTTACCTTTAGGCCACTTGAACACCCACTATTTATCTCACAATTCTAGAGTCCCCGGCTACAGACATCATTGCAAATATAAAAACCAAACTCTTGCATACACTAACTCGTTCAGCAGTTGCCCTTCTCCCTCCTCGGCTCTGTGAGGAAAGAGAAAAATAAAGAAACTACTTGATTGTCTGGGGAACAAGGAACGGATTATTTATATCTAATCAAACGACTATCCAGCTATATATATGGAAGGAGTCACTGAGTGACGCAGTGTGGTCTCTCCTCGGTTACTTGGTATGACCTGCAAGAATAAAGGAAATACCCTGGGCCGTATCTCAGCACTAGATAGCAGAGAGATATCGACGTCTGCCCTCAACTAAGAGCCTAGAGGCTTTGCTATATATGCATTTTAGTCAAACACACAAAAATAATCTCTAATGGTCCGGCAATCTGATAAGATATGTTTCGGCACGCGTTATAGAATAAGTGCGGGTTTAAATAACTAATTAGCCCTTCGCCCGAATGGCCATTGGATATTCATGTCTATTCTTGAAGATCTACTAGATATATGCGCGGAAACCCCTCAACAATTCGAATTATGGTATTTCTATTATCCCTAGATTGTCTGCCTTTCCTGGCGTTACCCATTCAAGATATCGATTAGACTTAGATTTGATATTACCTAGACAGCCTTACAGTGATAATCTCTATTGAGGATTACAATTTTTTTGCGTAATATAAAAGTTTACGATGGCAATAAGTTATATCCTTAGAAGCTGTTGTAGTTAAATAATAAATGCCCTGGCTGCTATTTAATTGCGTTATTCATTTCAATTTTTAATGGAATTACAGCATGACAATAATGTATACCATACATAGTTTTTGTGATGGCCAACCAAATAATCACATCGGGTGAGTATATGTCTGTTGACAATAACTTCGAGAATACTTGAATTCCAGGTAACCAACTCGATAGTATAGAGTGCAGCAATAATTATAACATTTGATCTTATCTTATCAGATTAGATGGTCACAGTGAGATTAGGTTGATCAGCGAACTTTAAATAGTTTAGAGTTAGAAGGCAAATATCACAAGTTAAGCACCCTGGGAGGCGCCTTGCTGATCAGTGTAAGGGTCTTGCAGTTCTGAGTAACTTCTAGATAGCTACAAAGGCCCAAACAAAAAGTGGAGTGTGGGTTTCTCAAACACCTAGTTTGCGTAGTTGATAACTTGCTTTGGCATTGAGTAACCCTGGGTAGTCATCTGTCACAGTGGCAACTGTAAGAGTGCTTGTTAGTGTTCCACTACTTTTCACGTAGTACAGAAAGACATCATCAGGAGACTGGGGATGGAACAGAGTATCATCACACTTGGAAAACGCCTTGTGATAGCATGATTTAGCCTATTAATCTTCCTCCAGGTTTCGTTAGTCACACTGTACTAATCACACTGGCGCCCAGAGCAATATAAAAGCTTGGTACCCCAAACCCCCCCCTTTACAGAAATGATTCAAAATCCCTGATCCAAGCAAAATACAAATATGCGATTCACCCCTTTCCTCGTTGCCATCACCGCCTTTTCTGGGGTGACAATGGCTGTAAGTTGTTCTTCCTGGGGAGTGATACGTATGAAGATCTGGCAGCTGACCAGGTATCCAATTCTCCTGAATTTAGGACTACACCGCGGTAAGCAGCACATATTGTTTCCTAGAGGGGTACACGCATTTCAATACTGATAGATGTGTTGTATAGTACAAAAAATGTATCATAGATCACTGTGCTGGTCCAGGTGCAACTGCTGAGGCCACGACATTTTGCATGGTAAATATTCCCATCCTGATTTCGAAACATCCGGCTAATACTATCCTCTAGCTGAGATGTGTTAAAGAGGTAAGGCATTGAGTAGATATTCTCTCTTCCACGGCGAGGTGACTCACTAACAGAGCATCGGTTGTAGAATTGATGAAAGCAATGTCTAAAATCACCTCTCCGGAGTTGGATTTTTTGCCCCTGAGGAACCCACCACAGTATACAAGTCTATTCTCATATATTGGGTATAAGTTATATAATTAATAATATATCTCTTTGTATTCATCAGTGCATCTATTGAGATAAAAGATATTAATTACTCAAAACCATTTCTATTCCATTATATCCACTCCAACTCCACGAAGTGCAGTAACCGCCCACTGTGGTATCTTTGACTTCTCGCCGTAAAGGTTTCTAAAGAATTCCTTTAAAAATTGAGGGTATCTATCTTCGAGAATTGCTTGTCTAGCTGAGTCCATCAATGCAAGCAGGTAATGAACATTATGCATGGTTATACTGTCAAGGTGGTTAGTAAGAAGCATAAAGGAAGGGAAGAATAGAAATATAGGTTGCACACGTACAAGTGTGCTCCAACGGTCTCTTTCGCCGCAAGGTGGTGCAGGTATGCTCTAGTAATACCAAGACCGCCTTGCTCTTTAGGCCGACAAGTTTTGCATTTGCAATTTTCATCTATTGGCCTAAAATCACGAGCGAAGCCGGCACGGCGAAGGCCTAGAGTACCATATGGTGTCAAGGCATTTCCAAAACGCTATAGCATAAGTCAGCCTTGTTTTAGATTTTGCAGGCAACTACAAAATGCATAACTCACCGCTGTTCGAGTCGGGAAAACGCAATCAAACATGTCGGCGCCTAGAGCAACAGCTACTACTAGATCTTCTTGGTATCCCTGAGAGACGTTAGACAGAAGCTGCCTTGGGGTTGTCAGGAAACCGGAAGCTCACCACACCCATAACATATCGAGGCTTATTCGTTGGTAGCATATCAGTGCAAGCGTGGACCCTGTTCACTCCTTAGTCAGATGGGCCATCACCCAATGCAAAACAAGAATGGGAGGTCACTAACACTTTACAAAATTCATCCTTCGCCTCTCCCCCAGATAGACCGCCAATTGCGATTCCAGGTGTGTTCCGTGCTACCATCTCCTCGCAGCACTGACGGCGCATTTCCAGGTCAAGTCCTCCCTGGATTATACAGAAAAGGTTTTGCCTTTCAGGGTATTTATGTGCATCTATGCACCGGTCCAGCCAACGTACTGACCTTTCCATTGCCTCCTGCATCCTTGCGTGGTCTGGGGACGTCGTAGCAATGACATCATCTAATTGCATAATTATGTCGGAGCCTATGGAGTTCTGTAGGGAAATTGAGTGCTCGGGCGTGAGTAACCTATCGAACCGGTCAACGCTCATCCAACGAGAGAGAATAACGTTGGAAGTCCGATAGATGGAGTGCAGTGGCGTACATTGGCGATCCATCGTGTGGGCTCAAGAATCGTACACCCTCCTCCGTTACTTGTGCAAGCTTCAAGAGAGAGACCATCTGGAACCTATACCAGGGAGGGTAAAACAAGTTAGTCACGCAAAGTTCCAAGGCAGGATTCGGCCCGAATTTTCTGTACCGACAGGGTAAATGTTAAAGATATTCAAAAAGACATAAACCTACCCACCACTATCGGTCAAAATGTTACCATTCCACCCTTGAAACCTATGCGCTCCCCCAACCTCATCCAGCACAGCTTGTCCTGGCTTAAGACCCAGATGATATGTATTGTTCAAGCAAAGTTTGCACCCTGTCTGTGCAAGTTGGTCCGGTGTTAGGCCTTTTAATGATGCTTGGGTTGCAACTGGCATGAAAATCGGTAGTTTGACTGATCCGTGGGGGAGGTGGAGGGTACTCGCGCGGGCTTTTGTGGTCTAGGGCAAGTGAATTAGCACATGCGGAGTTGAAGAGCTGATACACGGAAGAAACATTGAAACAGGGCATAAGTGTATATCTCACAGAGCATTTAGACTCAAGATCAAATGTTAAGGCCGAGGACATTGGCTTTCTCTCCTTCCCTTCTGTGGAGAGGGAGGCCTTTGATGAAGCCATGACAACTTGACCATACAGCTCAAGCAAGGTACTTTTCTTCGGTAGTGGCGAGAATACAGTAGATTTAGCGGCGGAAACTATGCGCCGTATGTATCTCATTGATCGTATGCAGAATATATATCATGAATCCATGGCAAAACGCGTCGAGTCCAACTCCATCTCATTCGGCCTGAAAGCCTTTGGCAAGATACGTTTTATGCTTTTTTTGCGGTGTTCTGGCCCTTCTTATCTCCACGTGACTTATGCATATTCTATGCACAAAGAAGGTTTATGCTCTAATTTAATGCTGGGATGCGCAAACTATCCTTGTAGCCGAAGAGATACAGATTCGTTGGAAGAAAGATGTGTATTGTGATCGTCTATATATAACAATACTTATCTCAAACTAGGTTTCCTAGCTTCCAACCGACATCTAACCAGTAGTTGCCTTGACCCGCCTTAAAGATAATTGATATGCATCCAGAAAAAACCCAAAAATCGCCAATGAAGAATAGACAAGGTCCTGAAAATAGCCTATTGGTACGATCGAGGCCACAATCCTCACACAAGGAAAATCATTAATGTCGTAGGTTGTATTGCAGTTTCCGGATGTCGAGGCAAGCCGCATCGAAGTGAGCGTATATAGGGCGTCCCATGGTTGGGGGTTCCAAGCCCATATTGATTCCGTCAGGACTGTAGAAGAGCTCCCAGGCAATTACAGTCATCACCAGGGAGCTTTGGAAAAGACGCTAGAGCCCCGGAGTTAGTAAGTATAGTCCATTACTGCACCGTGTTCATTCACCCCAAACATGAACCGCATCCAGGGCCATTCCACCAATCTCTCCGAGCCAGTCCTGCGAGAGACGGCAGATTGGATCATCTCCATAGCTATACTCATTCATGTGCTGGAGGTCTCTGAAACAGTCTCGCAGCACCGAGTCAACTGCTAACTGAGGACTCATACTGGTGTCTGGGATAGGCCATTGGTCCATACCTGCGTTGGCCATGGGCGAAAGATGAGAAGTAGGTAGACTTGTTGGGGAAGTCATTGGGCCCATCTTCATGGGTGAGACAAGAGACTGGGTACCCGAAGCTGATGTTGATGTAGTTGGTGGTGGGTTATTCAGTAGCTCAATTGCATCTGAGAGCACAGCATCGCTGAGACGGTGGAAGACTTCATGCGAGTGACGAATGGCGCTCCATCTTTCGGAAACAGCGACTAGCACGGTCGAACAGGCCCGGGTTTCGTTGACAATTTCGATTATCGAAGGGTCTTCGTCGAGCATTACCCCGGCCGGTCCGCCCATTGCTAATCTCCGCTTTGCACGGAAATGGCGGCCAACAGCATAGATGTATGAGAGGCCTGCCATGAACACGGCATGGAGGGTGATCCAGGTGTAATTGATCCGCCTGGAGCGGTGAAGATGCGCATATAGGGTGATTGACTGCTTGGCCGCAGTAAAGATGGTCTGTATTGCGGTAGGTACTGTGGACGATATCGCCGGCAGCGCTGGGGAAGGGCGGTACAGCATCAGCAGTGCATTGTAATACAGTAGCTCATACCACTCGTGAGCGCGGAAACTTGATCTGTCACCGGGTATTGTGCTGGACAAGTCCACAGCTGGCAAGCTGAGCGAGGCAGTGTCATGTCGCCACTGTTCGAGTTCTGCTGCTAAGCTGTCACGCTTAGACAGGGCGGAGGCTTCGTTTGATTCTTGAGATCCCGACTGGCCGTTATCCATGGAGAATAGGATTTTACCACAGATGATCCGGTACCGGACTATGTGTACGAAGAGGGCAGTGCGAGAGAAACTATCCGTAGTTGGGTGGAAGCTGCTTTCAGGCGGGTTTACCTCGAGGTCATATTGAGGATCAGGCAATGCCGTATCTGTATCTGATAGGCGTATCCCAAAAGGACGACCAAGAGTATTGCTCACGACACTACGAATTGTTAGCAAATACATGGACGTTGTACACTTTTTTGTGTGTGTTTAATTCATGTCAAGAGGACGTACCGGTCCATGGCAATGACACAGAAGAAGCAACGCCGGCCCACCTCCGCACGAACCGTGTTACTCGGCGAGTCAGTCTCCATCCGATCTGACGGTGTCCGGGGAGGATACGTTGATTCTCGATGAAGGCCTTGCTCAATGCATATGCGACAGGCAACTCCTACCAGGTGCCACATGCCTATTTTCAAGTCAGCTCAGTTTTAGTCCGTGTGGGAAAACTGTATGCATGCAGAAACGGTTTCTGTACGTACTCGCGGAGGTATCCTGGATGGGGCTTCTCATCCGGTACTGGCAGAGCAGCAAGATGGCCTGCAGAGGCTTGATTCCTCCCAGCTGTAGCACTTCGGTCAGCTTCGACAGGGCAACAACATGGAAATTCTCAGCATCAGGCCGGGTCTGCCAATCGAATTTGTGATAGTCTACGGACGAGATCGCAAGGATCATGTAGAAGATGAAGCACGAGAAGACATCCCGATCCAAGACGGACGGGTCACTGTATATCTGCTCAAAGGCCGCGAGGACAGTCGGTCGATGCAGGAACGGGTAGCAAAGATAGTCGTGCTCGAAGTATGCATGGTGAAGGTCGCGCGCAAACGGCTCCGGCGGGATTTGATATGTCTCCGACTTTGCAGCAGGCGAACCAACTGAGAAAGCACTGCCAATGCTGCCACCGCGGGCCAGATTCTCTGGATGTGACGCTCGCGGAGTGAACGAGGCCCTTGCCGGCGTCGATATCGGGACTGGAGCAGCATCAACGGTGGCTCTGACGAGGTTGGCGAAGAGCACGCCGCTGCCGGAGCCTAGGAACTGACGGTCACCGCCAGCGGTCAGCGAGAGAAACGAGACCTCATCCGTCACTTCATTGTCACCCTCTTGCTTCGGCCGTTGCTGTTGCTGCTGTTGCTGATGCTGCTGCTGCTGCTGCTGACCAGGGCTGCCGCCGCTGGCATCGAGACTGGGGCTCTGCCTTGATGCTGGGACCTCAGAGCCGTTACCGGCGTTGCTGCTCTCGCTCTGTGCCGCCGCCAGCCTCGCAGCCAGCGCACGATTGGTTGCTTCACACTGTCTCAAACGCCGCTCCAGGCGTTCCACGACTTCTTTGCGATACGTAGGCTCCTTGGACCGGTCAGTGTAGACGCAGGCGACGTTGGCCTTCCGACAGGGACCGCAGACAGGCACCTGCTTGTCACATCGCGATTTGCGGCGATGGCAGCGATCGCACGCCTGCATGCTAGGCCAGAGCTGCTGCTGCTGCTGCTCTGCTGCTGCTTCGGACGAGGGAGACGAGGGCGAGGCAGACGGGGCGGGTGAGATGGGCGTTGCTGTTGGCCGTTCGAGGTTCGCTGCTGGTGTGCGGGCGATGCAAGGATTCGGTCGCCATGGCCGAGGCATCAAAAAGTCTTTGCCGCACGCACTAGCCCGTTAGTCAACAACAACACAACGACGACACACAGACAGACACACCACACACACTCACACACATACACTACCACCAATTAACACACACTACCACTAACTAGCTAACACACACAAACTACACTGCGGTGCACCCCCGGCCTCGTCGTTGCTAGTGGTGGACCGTCGGCGGCCTTTTCCTGCGCCTCCGAAACCATAATTCACAGAAGCAAATATAACTAACCAACTGTCAGAATGGAAAAAGAAACGCAGCAGGCAGGCAGACGTTGCTGGTGGTGGTGGTGAACGACGACGACGGTGGTGGGTGATGTCATGCAGCGTGTCTGTCTGTCTGTTCTACCCTCTAACGCTGCAGACGGAGTAGCTAAGTATATGGATACATCCATGATATCAAGTGACGAGAAGTTAATGCACGGTAGGCAACAATCCCTGGCCTGTCATGCAGCTTCTCTGACGTCTGGACTTGCTACTTATATAATTACACAGCTGGCCATCTCCAGGACGCCGTTGGACGGCGGACTTCCGGCCGGGAAGTTGTACTTATCCGGACATGCTCCCATGAACCTGTGGGGAGAGGACAAGCAGACGACAGGAGAGAGGGACGGTGATGACGAGAAGAGTGTGCATATTGTCATGGGCTGCTTGCATTTTTTGTCTGATTTAATACCTAGGTGGTCATATCCCTCCCGGAGGGGGGGGCAAGAAGAGAAATACCCGTCCACAATCCTGGCACTTCCAACCTTGCATCCGATTCTCTCAGGGCATCCCTCCCCTCGTCCGGATTAAAACATCGGGAGCGGAAAGGAGAGGGCTTCGAGAAACACGCAACCTAAATCTCCATTTTCGAGGTTGCGGCTAGCCGGAGGAGGAAAATGAACAAAATTAGGAAAATCGATTCGAGGGGACAAGACAGGCAGGTAAGAGTCAGAAAGAGACGCAGAAAAAGAAAAGGGGGTTCAGTTAAAGGGTCAGTGAAAATATAAGAAGTCAGTGGGAGTTAAATGAAATAGCCGCCAATTTCCTGCCAAAATAAAGGTAATAATAATAATAATTGCAAAAGCAATGCCCGAACTGTTTTATACACCTACCTTCCCAAGGCTCGGTTGTATATATATATATCCAAATAAATGCCAATAAGAACGTCAATAGCATCGAAATAACGTCTCTGAAAACGTACACCGAGGACAGCATCCTCATGGTTCAGGGTGTTGCGTAATGGAATAAGAAGAAAAAAAGTAAGAGGACATAATCCGTAAATCATTCCGTAACGGTGCCCAGCAGACGTTGAGCAACCAAATAGTTTATGGTGTAAGATCAACACCCGTCCAGCCACCCCTTGAGCTCCCGCTAGCGCCACAAAAACGCAGTGATAGTGGGCGCTCCTAGGGACACCGAATAAAAAAGCCCCGACATCGTGGCTACTTTTGCTGCGCATACAGCTGTCCCGGCAGGGCGGTAGCCAACCGAGGCTGCGAGTTCAGCTGGGTAAAGGCCACTTCGGCTGCGTCCTCTTTGGCGTTGTTGATGTATTCTCCAGCATAGAAGTAGCGGGCTGAAAAGCTCGATCCCTGGATGCTCACGCTGCTAGACCATGCTGTGCGGCCGCCTGGAAGAAGGAGGAAGAAGAAGAGAGTTAACTTGGAAGTTCGTCTCTTTTTTGTCACCAAATTTTAGGGAAAAAGAAGAGTCTGTTGGGTGACCGGGTCGTGCTATCTTGTATGGAAAACAGGAGGGTCATATACACATATAGACGTGTATATAGGAGAGAAATAAGCGGAAAGAGAAGGCGTTCGAGGCTAGAAGAGAGGGTAAATAGTAAAATAGCTACCTCGGCGGTCCGAGACGAGATTGAAGACGGGAGCTTGGAGTTTCGACTGTCTGCAGTGCTCTGGTTTTGATAATCAAGTTAGATAAAAAAGGACGCCTCAAGACGTATTCCAGGACAATTGACGCACCACTGAGCTTCTCTTGCCATGACACACGAGCAGTACCACCGTTGGAAGCCATGGTCCTGAGGGCAGAGAGAGAAAGGGTTCATATTAGTATCGGCTTATGTCTGGACAGCCGTGGCTCAACCCCACAAGCACTCCTCGTAGGACGGGAAAGGTGATATAACTCACTGTGGTGAACGCTATAGCTCGAATCTAAATAATAATGGAAAAAGCAAACAGTCGAAAACGACGTATGTGGTGTTCGTATAATAAACAATTTGTAGTAGAGGTGGGAAAAATGTCTTTGGTCGAAAAGGGCTGGTTTTTGTCTGGGTTTGTGAGAATTTTCAATTCTGGACGGGCGAATATATAAAGATATTTATATATATGTATATGTATATATATATATATCATGGAAACGAAGCTCGCTATAAAGTAACACAGGACAGCAGAGTCACAGGAAACTTGCCAACGATGAGGAAAAAGGGGGGGCATGGAACAATCAAGGATGTCGAGGATCACGACGTTCCTGCAAGCCCGGGGGCCGGGGGAGGGGCGGTTCGTCTTCAAAGCCGTTTGAATGGAGTTGGCATATGCATGGGTGAGGTTTTCTTCTTGAGATTTGTGTCAACCAAGTCAGTAACAAGCTAGGCGGCGGTGCGGTCCACAGGTTTTGAAAATTCTGCTGTTTTGCTGGCTAGCTCACCATTTTCCGATTTTAGGACATGTCGTATGGATGCAGCAAGGAGAAAAAATAGCAAAAGTCAAAAAGAAAATTGCAGAGAAGGAGGGGTGGGATAGGTATAAATTAAAAACGGTACCCATTGAGAGTTGAGATGAACACGGGGAGATGGGCCGGCCCGCTGCAGCTGGTTGTCCACGAAATCACAGAAGGCACGCCAGCTTTGCCATTCTTAACTAGCCAGGGAATTTGTCTGGGGAACAGTGCTAGGGCGGCATGGTACAAGCGGCCGGCATTGCAGCCAGACCCTGTGGTAGGGCCGGGAAGACTGGAAGTAATTATGAGAGGGCAGGGAGAACAGACTTGAGAAGAGCCATGTCAGTCTGTATGTATGACTTATCGGTGGGCAACCCGGTGGGCCCACAAGCGGCCCCCAAAAGGAGGGATTCGCAAGGGAATATCGAACAAGAGAAGGGAAGAGGGACGAAAAAAAAAGAAGTGGAGGGGTAGAATAGATACTGATAGGTAACTTGAAACCCATAGTGAGCAACAATCCATGGATTAGCCAGAAACAGGGTAGGAGGTCCTCGAGGGGATGGATGGGGTTGCTATTTAGCCGTCCGCTCCGTGTTAGGTATTCATTCCTATAGACGGTTTGCGTGCCTTCCCCCATTTTCCCCTTTCACATACGCACATACACATGTATCGAGAACATGGACCATGCCACGGCTCATCTGTACCTAGAGAATTTTCCCCTAGGAACGGGTTGAGTTAGTTGGGCAGCGTAGATCACCCACAAGAGGATCCAGCATGTATCTGCCAACTCATCAGCGTGCAAGCGAATAAGGGAAATAGACCCAAAAGAAGAGAGCCGAGCCGAACAGCGAGGGGGGGAGGAAAAAAAAGGTGAGGCATCGAAGCCCATCTCCAAAATAACTACCAACTTAAAATTGGAGTGCGGACTATAATATGCCTGGGAAAGGACCAAACGAGGCGGAGCGGTTGGGTACACTAGAGCAGAGAGGCAAAGATGCTCCGAATGAAGTCAAATGTATCGAGTAAGCAAGCATCTGGTCAAGAACCAGACAGGATGGACAAAAAAGGAAAAATAATAACCATCCCCCATCACTTGCTGACTGACATCTTTAATCTCGGCGCTGCGTCCAGTCAGGCCGAATAGTGGTAGCTCGCCCTGCGTGAGCACCCAGCATCGAACCCTAGGCCACCGCAGGGAGCCAAATCGTGAGGCGTGAAATGTGGCTGGTCCGTCAGCATCAAGACTGACTAAAATGTGCAATCCAGATCCGGATTGGACTCCTGATGGAAGGGTGGAGCAAGAGGTATGCAGAGAAACCGCAGGGAATATGGGATGGAGGTTCTCACACATCTTGCTCCATCATGCTCAAAAAGAAAAGAAAAGAAAAGAAAAGAAAAGAAAAGAAAAGAAAAAAAGAAGAAGGGAAGAACGCAGTTTAGGAAAAGAAACGTAGATAGAAAAAAAAAAGAAAAGGAAGAGAGATGCACACAAGACAAGACGGCCAAGGCACGTCAAGGCAAACGTCCTTCGAGTAAAATGAAGCAAGTCGCTTGCCTGCTGCAGTTCCAGCCAGGCCGACTTGCAGCGAGACGCGGCACCAACGGGGGGAACGAGAGAGATGGAGCCCTTAGGAAGAGACGTTTGCAGGCCAGGGAAGGCTTGAATGCTTTTTGCTGTGCTGATTCACTGCTTTCTCTCTTTTCTTTGCACTTCGTCTTGGTTGGGCATTCATGCCTGCATCCTCAGCACGACAGCTTTTGAATAATTCCACTGACTTAACCGGATCATAGTTCGGTCAGCAGAGGAATATCTGCAGTTGGACGGGATTTGGCTGCACCCTTGAGTCATTTCTGTTTTCCTCTTTTGCCCCTTTGGGATGGAAATTCGAGTTGTTCCTTTTGGTCAATGTGATGTTTTGACTGGTCGGGTAGGAATTTCACGAGCTCATTCGTTTTGCTAATTGCATTGCATCGTGACATCTGGCTGGTTTTTGTTTTTAGGGCGGATCAAAAAAAAAATTCCCCGATGGATTGGACGCCAGGCAAAGATAAGTAGCCAATGTAAAGGCGAGGAGCCGATAGCTTCGATTGAATAATAAATAGATGGTACAGCGCTTGCATGGATGAGCAATGTTCTTTTTTTTACCCAATTGACATCCAAGTATTTAAATATTCTAGGGGGGACATCCTGGTAAACGATGCACATCATTGCCTGTGAACCAGAGACAAATTGCCAAAATAAAAAATAAAAATAAAAAAAATAAGGAAAGAAAAAAATGAAAAAATCCGAAGGGGAAAGCGGAAGAGGAAAATGAGGACCACAGATAGATCGAAGTCGAAGCGAGAAATGGAACCATGGGTTTCGATGTTCTGATCCAACCCAACCCGAGAAAGTACCATGGCTCCTCCAGGATAATAAGACAATTTTGAGAAGAAGGCGAAGGAAGAAAATGTACAGCAAGGCGAAAGTCGTGATACATCAGTTTTCGAATTATCGTTAGTAAATCTTCGTCAATATGTTGCCCCTTGACTGATCGACTTTAGCATCTCTCTGAGGGAGCCTGCGTTGTTCGATCCGGTTGAGCTCCGTCGGTGAAAAACCTTGTCGATGAACTTCGTCGAAGTGACGGGCTCCACGCTTCTCATGAACGAAGAAGCCATGGGTGATGCATGATGGGAAGTTCGCCTCGAGTGCCATCTTCGTTCAATGCAGTCATCTACAAACGCCACGAGACCAGTCGCGATGATTACGCTAGAAGAGAAGATTAAGCGAGAAGCTATCAGCTAGCAGCTCTGAGGAAGAATGGAGGGTTATATGAAGTGTACCAGGCTTTATGGTTGGGTGGTTGTACTCACTCAGCAACATCTTTCATCTTTTCGTAAAGGGTTGGGTCGTTAATCCACATCGATGACGACGGAACCCATGCACCTTTCCTCGCCTCGATGGAGAGCTCTCTAGGTATCAACGGCTCAGGAATGATGTGTGCGACGGGGTTTGATGCTGCCTGGTGGTAGAGGTGATATGAGACCTCTTTGGACGGACCGTCATTGCGAGTCACCTTTTTCCATTGGTATTTTGCATCCCAGTACTCGAACTCATACCGGCGGGAACCGGTAGACCCGCGTCTCTTGAGCTCTACATGTGCATAATTGGAAAACTCCAACTGGATGACATTGGCAGAAGGGGGCCGGTTAGGAGTATATATCGACCCCGCATACTTCCCACTGCCAATGGGCTCGTCGTCATCCAATCCAGATTTATATCCCGAGTCTGGTCTTCTCAGGCCCTTCGAAGGTCTCGTGCCCGCACCTGCATGAGAAAGGAACCCTGAAATCGGATTGCTCATGTGTTTGTGGCTAGACGACCCCGGTCTCGATTTGGGCACCTGTGGTTTTCTCAGGGAATGACAGACTTCCCTTCTTGAATCCCGACAGTATCGACGGAGTGAGAATTTCTTATCATGGAGATCGTACATGCGCAGGTGGAACAGTATCGTTTCATCCTGGCGCCCCGGGGACTCCGCTGCCAGGGTGGTGACCCGCAGGTTCATATTTCCATCCAGGGTGGTATCGTCATGTCTGACCATGAGCCTTCTGGATGAAGGGAACAAGTTGCCGAAACTTGGAGGAGTGGAAAGGGACTGCATTCGAGGGGATAACCTCACGCCTTTCCTCAACAACTTCAACTCGAGGTTCGGTCGTAGTTTCATGCACCGAAGCATCGCTCGAGACATATGTGTTAACCGATTCTGCGCTGGTGGAGTTGTTGTTTGGAGGCTTAGCGCTGAGATATTCCCCTGCCGCTGCCGAGCCACCCGGTGCCATTGCTGCTATCATACAAGAGTTTGTGTGTGGATGTATACGCGAGATAAGACTGCGAACTAGGAGAGCGCCACGCCTGTCCTTGAAACGCCTCACCTCGAAAGCATCATCAACATTAAGTATCTAAACGAAGCTTGTCTTGGATCATGGAACTGTAAAGGTGGCCAAATATCGTCTGTGAGCTGTTGTAACGATGTCCACATGGATAGAATAACCAGAGCTATCAACTAGGCTGGTAACAGATAAAATCCTTAAGAGCGAGCTCGACGACAGAGAACTGAGAACTTTGTAGCCATGTTCTTCTATTGTGACGTCTTTCTTCGGTGAATAATAGGATGTGAATGAGGTAGCAGAGGTGAGGCAAACTCGGGCAGCCTTATGTAGGCATTGGGCCAACGAAGCGCAGGAGCGATAAGCAATACGGTTGGCGACTAGGACACAGGCATTCCCATACCGAGTAGAATGCCTATGCCAGCTCTCCCCTTGGTCTAAGGGTGATTGTGGCTAGTAGAATCAGCCCTCGAGGATGCCCGACGTCGTTTGAGTCTTTCGTTGACGTTGGAAGTTCGGCGGGTGTTTTTGATTGTTTAAGGCCGTCCATCACATGACCGCAGGCGAGCCCCCTGCCCCGGGGTTACATAGCCCCTTTTCCCCTTTCCCCCCTATCCTTGTTTATATGAGGAGGTACGGAGCATAGCAACGCTTTGTAGGTAGCTTCAGGTGACGGTATCTGGCTGCTAGAGGGCTGTGACAAGCTTGACAGCACGTCCTTGGCTGGGCTTAGTTATTCCGGCCAGGGCGCGACGCGGGTTTTGTTCGTCGCTGGCTTGACACATAGGTTAGCATGACTAGTTAACTAGCTGGCAGTTTACCAACGCCCATCAAGGTTATATGATAGTTACGGGTTACCGGAAAAGCTTCGTTGCTAAGATGATGAGGATATACATAGGGAGTAATAATAGCTGGGATAGCACTAACTATGGGTCCATCCATAGAATTTGGCTTGGGGTATCAACCTGTCGGATCTCCCAGTCCGAGTGGATACCAACCCCAGACTTTGTATAGATAGAAGCTGGCTATGATGCCTGCTGTTGGCGTCATTGATATATAAGTATAGATAGTCAGATCGTATTTCCAGCGTATTATATAGTATCAACAATTATGTACTGCGGCTTATGATCGCAGCAAGGCCCAGGAACCGATAGCAAAATAAATATGGAATACACAAGAAGGAAAAGGTGTAAGACGGTCCAGCAACTGAATCCTGAGAACCAGCGATTAAAAAAAAAAAAAAAAAACTAAACACACAACCCTCCGGCATTATTGAAGCATTATCACCGAATAATGGACGCGATTGTCGGGTTTATTACACCATGATGCCAACAACAATGCCGACAGTAAAGATGACGGCGAAAGCGGTGCTGAAACGAGCGGCAGGAGCAGAGTTGCCAGTAGGTTTTGGAGCGCCAGTCCCGGTCGCGGAGGTTGGAGAGGACGACCCGCTGGGAGAGCCAGTCTCGCTGGGGAGGCTGGTCTGGGTGGCAGTCTCGTTCACGTTTTTGCTGTTGCACCAAGCCTCGTGGTAAGGGATCTTTTTATCGAAGAGGCAGGATGTGAGGTCCTTAGCGCTCTGCTTGTATGCTAGACAGTACAAAGCGCAGCCGTTATCGTAGGCAACGACAGGAGCGCCGTTGCAGCACATCTTCATGAGGTCGCGGTTGTTCTTTTGGTTTGGGACACCGCAGGCGACGTCACTGATTGGGAGGTCATACTGCGTAGGGGTGCCGCAGAGGGCAGTGTTGGACGGCATTGGGCCAGAGGAGGTGGTAGAGGCCATGGCTGGTATATTAACGCGATAGAAAGCGAGAGAATAGATATAAATACTCTGTACAAAGCGAGTGACTGCGCCAGATGAACGATGGTTGCTGATGTTTGCTGGAAAAATCTTTTCGACCGCTTTTAAAATAACGAAACTCCTGAAGTTGTCTCAGCCTCTCGGGCGCTTCAGTGGCTTAATTAACTAGTTATGTAAGCTACGTCCTAATTGATCGGCATTGACCAAATTTGAACGCTCACCAGGGAGTATCTTAGGCAAATTGGTAGTCGATGCTCTGCGCTGGGGTCGGCATAACATGGTCAATTCAATTCACTCCCCGAAATTATTCCTCTCTATATATCATTCCCTGAGAAGTGAAAGAAGTGGTGTCAGGCAACGCTTCGCTGAGTTTCTACCTACTATCTATGCTCATTCATCCTGAGGAGGCTCCCCGACCACGCCCGGAAAGTAATCATCCCATTGTGGGTCACGCAAATTCGGAGGTGCATGGTTAACCTTTAGTGTCGCTTCCCACTGTTCCTTTTTGTATTTCTGGTAACTGTTCGTGCGGATATTGATGAGCCACGTTTCGCACTTGGTCGTAAAAAAGCCTCCTCCCTTATGATTCTCTCCTGACGTGTGACATCTGTCCACTATCTGTCGGAAGTTCTGTCCACACTGGTCGTCGACATCACCACGACCACTAACAACAAAATCCCCCGGACAGCCTTTGCGATCTTTTTCTCTGCCTATCCGGAACGTGACGTAGGATTTGCACTTCCCCTTGCTGCAGTCCCCACGGACAAGAACTGCGGGAGACGTTCTGTCCTTCCATACTCCAACCTCATCACCGGCAAATCTGTACCTGTCATACTTGCGGCAGAAGAAATTTATGCCAAGAATTAATTCTTTGCGATCAGCCACACCGTTTCCGTCATTATCGCAACGGAGATCGCCCTGGTCTTGGACGTGTGCGGTAGTGAAGGTTGGAGGAGGGGTCACTGTCACCGTCCGAGATGGTTCCTCCTTGGTGGTAGAAGTAGGTCCAAACCGAGATTTATCCCGCTTTGTTTGTGCTTTATGAATGCTATTCGCAATGGATTGGTATTTCTCGTTGGACAGAAGCGTATGAACCGGGTAGTGTTCGTTAATAGTGAGAACTTTCTCTTTATCAACGGTGGTAGATTTGGTGACCGTGGTTTCTTCCACTGAGCAGGCCGTCACGGTTGAACATTTAGTCTTGGTAGTGCTGGAGAATACCGATTCACTCCGTTTAAAATTATAGATAGATTCTGTGCATCTGGGCGCGGTATCTGGTCTTTCGCAGTCATCAGTGTCCTGTTTGCATTCAGATCCAGTACAGAATCCGTTTTTGCATCCCTTTCCCTGGCATTTAAAGGCCCTGCAGCGGGGACCTTTACAGACAGGTGGGCATCCAAGGCAAGGTGGTAAGCAGTCGACGCCGGTACAGCCAAAGTTCATGCAGTGAGAGTGAATACATTCTCCATTGTCATTGCATTCGCCGATGCATCCGGGTGATTTGCATCCCGGTCCCTTACACCCTGGTAGACAGTTCTTCCCTAGACAAGGTAGCCTGGCACAGTTCGGGCCGAGACAAATTCCATCATGACAGTCAGGACCAACACAATCGAAGTTGCTGCAAAGGTTCCCCGGTTTACAATTCCCATCTTCGCACTGCGGAACAATACATTTTCGACGATCCATGTCCTTGGGAGGGTCAGGATCATTCGGGTCAATAAAGTCTTTCCCATGGTTAGTGCAGTCTTTGTCTTTGCAGTCACAAAATGCCCCTTTGCATTTCTTTCCACAGTCCTTTGTACATGTAGGGCTAGGAGGCCCACTGGTAAACGACACTGTTGGAAGCTTCCCATTGTCACGAACTGAACTAAGTGGGTATGGTTTTGGTGTGAACATTCGAGATCCCGGAGGAGGGGTTGGAAAACTCCCTCCTTTATGGGAAACTTTGCCACCTGGGAAAGGGATAATAACAATATCCGTGCTGGAATCGGATTTCTGGTTTGATGTTGGGTGTGAATTGTGGCCATTTGTGGGATTATCTGTGGCTTTATCAGACATCCGAGGCGGGGCTCCAGTGGTTGGCCGCTCGGTAGCATGGCCTGTATTTGACGGAGTGCTTTGCCTGTCACCTGGAGAGGAAGTTGGGTTATTATGTGGATTTGGGTTAGGTTGGGTGGTATGTCCGTCAAAAGTGTTTTTGGCAGCCTCACTTGATTCTCGAGAGAGCAGATCTTTGGTAGTAGAGGTATCGGGCCTACGACCTGGTGTAGGCCGGCTATCGCCATGTGTAGGTTGTCCATTATTAGAAAGCTGGACACTACCCCTGCCAGCTTGATCATTGTTATTAATAGACTGCTTATTATCTTGAGTTGGTTGACCGCCCCCTTGAGTGGGTTGATCACCCCCGTGAGTAAGTTGACCACCCCCTTGGGTTAGTTGACTGGCCCCTCGAGAAGGTTGAGTAGTCCCTTGAGTAAGTTGACCGCCGGCTTGAGTAAGCTGCTTACCATCACGAATAGGTTGGCCACTGTGAGGTACCTCGGGTTGTCCAGCTTGATGGCCGCTTCCTGTATTCTGCGGAGGAGCTACAGCTCCTGCGGGCACGCTGTTAGTTATCATAAACGGGGGCGGCAAAATGCTGCTGATTACTGCGTATGTTGTTGAGGATATATCTGTTTGAGTAACCGGCCAATGCCACATATCAAGGACAGATGTTGTGAGCGGCGGAATACTGATAGTCGTTGACTGGATCGTCCTTACGGACCCAATGGAGCTAGAGATCGCACCGCCAGGGAGAGTTATAGCTTGAGCTGTCCACCATAAGACTTCCAGGGAGGTTGTGTAAGGGGGGAATGTAATGGTAGTGACCTCATCAAGTGTTAGCCGGGGCATGATGAAGGTACATGGAGGTATACACGCAATTCCAGGCTTGTCGACCTTGTATATCTCGGGGGAGATATAAACATCTCCAGAGCCGCTATCACCCCCTTCTAGGTCAGCTCCATCAAGGCTTAATGTGTTCCCATTAAGCTCATCTGGTCGGCTCATGGTGCCCGGACCTCCAAGATCTAGAGCCCAAGCAAACGTGCCTCCCAGGCACAAGTTATTTGCAAAGGAAGCCTTTTGCTTCAGTGTTCTTCCATCGTCGAAGGAAACCCTATTTTAAGTCTCTTTCAGCAATATTCCGCACCTCCAAAGGGAGTTTAAAGGCAGTCTTACCATTGATCACTATCCCAGGTAATCCAATTGACTCCCGCCTCATCGTTGTAAACTAGTTCTGGTGATTTTGCTTTGAGAATTCTGTTAATTTCATAATTGGAGAGCGTCCCACTGTTCAGAGTACAACGACCTGGACGAGCTCCGCCGGAATTTTCATCTCCCGTCCTTTTGAATGAACAGCCGGGGCTGTTACATCTGGGATCGCCTAGAGTGAAGGAACGTCCATAAAAGCCGAGTCCCAATAACACCTTTCCCGGAGGAACAGAATTACGCCATAGTAAATCTAGACCGGCAGATATTTCTGCAGTCAATGAGTTAATACAAGCATTAGAAAAAGGAAAAAGGTTGACTATAGTGCCGCGTAGTCTTACCAGTCAAGTTTGTATGTGGGTTGATAACTTCTTTTGTCCATTCGCTATGGCCATCCCAGGTACCGTGAATGTCATAGCTCATGACATTGAACCAATCAACATACTTTACCATGTTCTTGAGATCAAACCCTCTGAGATACCCTATTGAGATTGGTCAGTTTGATAAACTATCTATCCCATAACACCCAGAGGATTCAGTTAGGGCCATCTTTACTAACAGTAGGAAGCTGGGATTGCCATGCTGAGGCCATACTTTGTCCCAAAAGCATCTTTCAGCTCTCTTAAAAGCAAGACATAGTTCTCGTAATCCGCCTTAGAGCCGCCTGTACAGAAAGACGTAAGCTATCTTCAAAGCCACAGTAAGGAGTGCGATGAGGATAGAGAAATTACCGCGATCGTCAGCCACGGGATATTCCCAGTCGATATCAAGACCATCAAACCCGTACATTTCCAATGTTTTAATGACTGAGTCAATAAAAACTTTTCGAGAAGCAGCAGAGCTTGCCATGACGGAAAACACTTTGCCACCGGCATCCCATCCTCCAACGGACAGAAAACATTTTAAGGATGGCTTCTTGGTTTTCAAATTCGTAAAAGCACGGTAAAACTCATCGGCGTAATAGCCCATTGTACCAAGGGTATGGTCTGGATTGATGGTAGCGAATGCATAGTTAAGATGCTGTTTTTATATTAGCTATTATTTTGGAAATTGGGGGGGGGTATGGAGGGTTATACCGTCCAGGGTTTGTAGTTTATATGTGAAGGATGGATAGTATCGCATGGATGCTCATGATTCCAACCTTCAAAGTATCCCACGTAGCGTTTCGTGGCAGAGGCGCCGCCCGCGCATGATCTGAGTCCAGGTCCTATCAGGAACAAAGTTCGGCGTTATTTTATAATAGGTAAGGCTTACGGCGTTTTGACCTTATCGCATCCATTGGCACATCCTTTGCCACAGAACTCCTCGGAGGTACCACAGAACCTGTATCAGTACATATTAGTTTTGCAAGATAACGGAACAGCGAGCCAATGTGTGCCTGGAATAAAATCGCACCCCCATTTAGAACAGCATACATTCAATGGACACTTTTCTTGCCCCTTTGGTGCATACTCTAGTAAACCGTTAGCCTGTGTAGAGAAGAGAGTGTAGATATAAACCACCAGTTGCCTATGTTCTAAGTGAAAAGGCAGGTAAAATGATAGAAAACAAGTGGATCATTAAACACCCAATAAATCTTAAATCTTCGATGTTAATATATGCCGTTGACATAGTACTTACTTCCACACTCTGCCTTTGCGTCACAGCCAGATACGCATACTTTGGGTCCGCAGAAATCAGGCCCAAATCCACAGCTGCCAAACTTGCTACAGCAGCCGACTTTGCATTTCTTCGAGGCTGAACAAGTGCTGTCAGATGCAGGAAATGCATATAAAGTCGTCACGTTTGAGAGGAATAAAAGGCTTGCAAAGAAGTATATTTTCATGATGCCTAGGAGCTGGGATGCCCGACGAGTGAGGATGTCATGGGAATATGGATATGATTCTTTATAGGAATGGAGCGTGTTGAAATTGCATAAGTAAGCCAGAGAATCCAAAAGGGTAGAATTGGAGTTCATATAGGATTCCGTTGGGAATATCTATATACCGTCCAATTCTTTCTTTCTTTCTGTTATTGCGCAAATCGCATAAATGTCGTCGAGGCATCAATGTAACAAGGATAGCATTCATACAGCGCATATTTTAGTGGCTCAATGCAAAAGTACACCCGCCGGATAGTGATCGCATATGGGTTGCATGGCAATGGGGCTACGAAGAAAGAGTCGGGCATATGGTGAGATTGGGTATCCACGTCGCAGCGATAGAGCCAGCATTGTCGGTTAAATATTTCAGTCAGTGCTAAAAGAAGGGTATTTGATATATTTAGAGTGTCTCAAAAGCGTAACCCATGGACTACAATCATAGTAGTACAAAGTACTCGTCGAGGCAGCCCTGTTGTCCGAACATGAAAGTCAGTCGCGAATTTCATTTCACTTTCAGACGGGATAGCTTCGAGGTAGAAGTGGCATCTTTAGGGCTTGGGCCAAGGCAATAATTGTTCCAGGTAATCTCATTTAAAAACTTTCAACTCAGCAGGCCCGCGTCCAGGCAAATTGCTTGTTGATGCCGATGATGTCGAAACTTGCAACCTCCTCAAGTCAGGGTAGGGCTACAGCGGCTAGGCGGCGGCTAGAGCCGCGGATCATTATTTATCCGCAGATTCTTGACAAAATTCCAGACTTCTTCCATTGGACAGCGGCCGCCATGCCAAACAACCTGTAAATACGCGTTACACAGTTAGAGCTGGAAAATGACAGGTGGCAGTACCTGTGAACGGCTCTACTCGAGAAGTAGTCGTCTACTGGGGAATAAATCTCTATTTATCCCTCCGATATAATAGACATAGCCATCAATTTTTACGATCATCCCAGAAATCCCCGAAGTCTGGCCGTAGACTATGGTATGGAGACGGAATGGTGGCCTCGACGCCCTAGTTCGCCGTCCAGTACCTACCAGGTGGAATCGGTTCATTACTTCTCCTATATCTTTCCTTGCAAGCCTCATTTACGAATGGAGATCCTCGATTCCTACTCGACCAATAGCCACGATATCAGATAAAGCCATCACTGTCGTGTGCATCTCTGACACCCATATGACTAGGCCGCATATACCCGATGGCGATATTCTGCTACACTCCGGGGACCTCACCCAGTCTGGCTCACAAGACGAGCTCCAGCAAGTTCTTGACTGGCTGAATACATTACCACATCAGCACAAGGTTATAATAGCTGGAAACCATGATTGTTGTCTTGATCCCTCATTCAAAACGAGCAAGGCATTCTCACATTCAGGGGCGCCGCAGAAGTCTATTGATTGGGGAAGCATCATTTATCTCCAGAACACTAGCGTTACCCTGGACTTCTGTGGGCACAATATAAACGTCTTTGGGAGTCCTGTCAGTCCCAAACATGGAAACTGGGCTTTTCAGTACCCGCGGAAGGAGAATGTATGGGAGGGCATTATACCTCCAAACACCGATATTTTGCTAACTCACACGCCTCCACACTCGCACCTAGATCTTTCCTTTGGCTGCAAATTCCTCCTCCAGGAACTATGGAGATTGAAACGCCGACCAATTCTTCATGTTTTTGGTCATATACATGGGGGCTACGGTCAGCATATGGCATATTTTGACAAGTTCCAATCGATATATGAGAGTATCATAAAAGGAGATGCAAGCATTATCAGCTTGTTGTTTTTGATATATGAAGCTATGAAAGTTTTACTCTGGAGAGCTCCAACCCCAGGCATCTGTATGGTGAATGCTTCTATGGTTGGGGGCGTTAGAGATGAACTGGCGAGAGATGCAACAGTTCTACACATTTAGTTTGATCGGGCTGAATCTATTCCAACGTGTATCAAAGTGCGTATTATACACCTCATATCCACCTCAACGATGAGGCGTCTAATCAAGACTTAAAAGGGCCCTGCAATCCATTGGTTCCTTGAAGGGACACATTAATCTGATTACCCATGTATAATGCGAAGTGCTACTTTACCAGTTCTACTGTCAACTACTACCCTGCACATTCTTTTTTTCCTTTGGGCGGAACCTTGCATCGGAGATCTGTGGTCACTCAATACCTAACACTATTATGTGCAACCCCATAGATAGGGGCTCAGATATGTTGTCTTACTCTATTATCCTGTCTAATAATAAAGCAGGATCGCCCAGTATCGCTGAGCCGTGGGTGCTGGACAATCGGCTAGCAAATCTGTAGCCGGGTTGAAAATATATCATCAAGCCATACCCACCATCCGTAACGTTACAACGGGCACATTCTTCAAATTGCTTAACGCCATGTTGCAAGTCATCTGTGCCGAATCGAAACCAAGCACCGGTTGTTGCCGTGGTAGTCCAATTATTCTGTTTAAAAGCGGGAATTCGCCTTATGATGTGGACTCCAATACCAGTGTCACACGAGCCACAAGGGCACTTTTCTAAGCCGTTCTTCAGCGTACTTGAACAAAGACATCATATCTTCAAAATAATAGTTAAACTACCATACTACTCCATCATGCCAAAATAAATATGGCATCAACAAGCAAGGCGTTTCAAGAAAGCGATGTGGGTTTTTATTGAGCCCCTGGATTTGAGAGAGTCTATACTCCCGGATATATCCCTTTGTTTCAGAGATATATCGAATTTCGTCTGATGGAGCCAGAGCGGCGAAGATGTGCGACTCACCTGGCGCTGTGGATTACATTTGAAGCTTATTCAATTTACCCCTGTTCCCCAAGGCACGATCACAGCAAAGCAAACCCTTCTACATGGCTTTCGGAGCACTGCAATACCTTATGCAACCAGCGTCATCAGCGCAACGCAGTTGCTTTTTGGAAAACAAGTTACTTTGGAATAAATAACCCTAACAACACCCTACATAGGATACCCTGAGATTCAATCTGCAATGATAGATAACTAGTTACCAGGGGCAAATGCCATCACCTCTCAACTTCTGCTTTTATCAATCCAGGGATTACGTATACTGGATCCAGTACCATAAATGGAGTCCAACGCAGCTGTGATACATATCTAGCCTTGGTAACCACACGGTTATATTGAGGTAATGATAGAGTGTTTTTATCTGGTCGCACTTCGGCCACAGCCAGCATGTCAGTGAAAGGGGCTGTACTTATGTCTTTAACGGATCTAGGATGCTGCCATACCACTCCTTTCTCAGTACCCGGGATCAAAGAGTGAAATAAAACGGGACTCTTTGTGTCTGCCATGCTTTTATAAATAGTTACTTTTGCCCCGGCCAGCCAACGGGATACATCTTAGGCTGTTACATCCACGACTCGTTCGATTATTTTTAAACAGCTTTTCCAATCGGTTCTTGCAGAATACGATGGGAGGGTTCTACTCACCATCTAGTCTTACCATAAGGCGCCTTACCTCCTTTTCCTTGTGGCTATCTGTACTATACCTCTGCCATGCAGCGTCAGCACTCAAGCTACGGCCTCGTCCTGGGTCCAATTCAACACGCCTAGCTCATCCAATATCAAGAATCACAAACCTGTATGGGTGTCAGGGAAACGAAGATAAAGTCCACCATGCTCTCCTTGGGATCACAATCGGGGTACGCCAAGCAAGAAATCTTTAAGTTGATATCAACAGTTCAATGCATAACGGCAAGGGATTAACATGGACGAATAGCTCAGCAATGCCCGTTATCGATTGACAAGACTACAGAGAGTCTTAGAAAAAAACCCAGTCAGAGAAACCATCCTGAGCGGCATAGATCGCTCAACATTATACACCTTTGAGAGTCTCTATGGGACCTCTTATCTTCTAAATACTCCGGGAGGCTACATTGGCAGAACTCGGATGGAACATGTCATAGGTTTGGCAGCGTGAACCCCTTGCTCCCGCTAAATCAGTGATTTTCTGAGCTGAGCAAATCAAACAAAAACCTCTGCTTTCTAGCTATGATGGACCGACTGATTGAACACATACCCGACTCGGGCTTTGATATATGGTGTGACGACAGCTTTCTGTCCCTGACAGCGCCCCCCGATGCACCACTACCGCCGCAGCCTCATGAAAGTAGGTCCGGATACGCCAATATCTGACAATATATACAATACTGAGATTTTACCTTTCTTTTTATAGATCCACATGGGGATACGGTCTACTGGGACAACAGGCCATTAGAAGTCAATGGCCAAGCATGGGTCTTGATGCCAGTTCCTAAGTGTAATGAAGACTTGCAAGCCTTCCAGATGGACGGAGGGTTCCGCGAAGTTATCGTCTTATGTCCCAGGATGTTTGAACACTACTATGACTTGGGAGAATATCAAGTCAATATGGCATCCCGCCCCCCGGTGTTCCCCAGAGGCATACACATTGACAGTTTTGCTACTTCGTTGATGTTTGTCCTGGTCCATGAAGTATCGCACTGTAACCTCTTCCTCCAGGGTCTTGCGACCAGTACGATAATACCCCGAACCCCAATCAGCCGGGCCATTTCCTTTCAACCTTCTAACAGGTATCTTTAGGTGATGTCCCAGCAGATACCGACGGTTATGGCTGGAATGAGGCAGTCCGCCATGCCGACAACAACCATCTGTATGCATTGGAAAATGCTGGTAAGTCGGGGTGTCTAACTATCTCAACGATGCAACATGCTGACCCATCTCGTCTAGACAATTTTGCTCTTTTTGTCCTTGGTAGCTATGACCCCTCTGGTCGCCATTCTTTCTATCGGCTGATAGTTACTGACAATCCCAAGCCATGTATCTGTCCAGAAACGACTGGAGCACCGGGCTGAGCGATGATATGTTTGCAGATGCTCCCGCCGGTCAATTTTCGCCGTAAGGGGCTTTGGGAGGCTCCTGAGCTAGGTAGTTGATTAACGGCATGGAAGCGAGTAGGAAAGGCGTGTAACAGCCACTGTTAAGCAGAATAATAATACAAGCATAGATAGAGATGCCGCCGTCTTCAACATTTTGTTCCTCTTGTTAGTTATCGCCATAGTTAACGATGTAACTGACTACGTAGGTCTAACTACTGTACCATGGGGCCACCCAAAGCCCAAATCCATCACATCGCATTATTGATGCCTCGACCAAGCGTCAACAGCTTGAAGCTTCCACGATCACACACCAGACGATGGGTGTTGGCTGGAGGCTTACTCATTTGCTTTCTCAGCGCTACCAATACAAAAAAAACAAAGGATTCCCGGCGGTTACCATCCAACCCTCATTGGCGACAGCTTCTGCGATGGGCGCTACACTGTAGTCCACAAGCTTGGTTCTGGTGGCTATTCCACAATCTGGCTTGCCCGAGACCAGCAGCTTCAACGCTATGTGTCACTGAAGATGCTGGTTGCAGGTGCTTCACAGGATACACATGAGAGTAACATTCTCCAGCTGCTCTCAAAAGGCAACCTGAATGGTCCGGGAAAGCAATGCATACCTACTCTGCTGTACCAGTTCTTCAGCCCAGATGGTTCATGGATCTCCAACTTTCAGCGCATCAGCATGCCTGAATTCCGGCGTCTGCACCAGCGTATGTGAGACATGGGTCGGGGTGAGACGCCGGAGACTTGTCAATGGGATGTTGCTGCCGGGGAGTTCAAAGCCCTAGAGGATATGCTGAGACCTATGATGGCGTTTGAACCGGCAGAAAGACCAACCGCGAAACAGCTCTTGGAGTCGGAGTATATCGTGAAGTGGGCGATGCCAGCGTGGGAGAGGCAGGTGGAACGGAAGAGTGCCTTGACTGAACATTGATCTCTCCATCATTGTTTATCTGATGAACACGGGTGTATCTGCAACGCCGAGAGACGGATCTATGATATCGAGTCCGCGGGCATTGCACCGACTACGCCCGTTACTGAACAAACCCAAGTAGCTAACAAACCGAGGAAGAACTAGTAAAGAAGTAACATGTAGATGTACAAGATGATGCTAGAAGGCCAGAAAGGTCGAGAATAGGCGGCTTCTTGAGCGTCGATGTCATCACGTAGCCCTAACTTTGGGCATCAGATTATAGAGGGAGCCTCGGCTCTAAGTTGTTACTATTCGTTAACTAGTTAGCTTAGCCTGGCCCAGCGACTCTCAATAACCATCCAATTGCTCTGACAGCGTCACCATACCAACAACTCCATACCCTCCAACTGCAACTGCTACAGCTGCACCAGTTTATATCACATCGAGTGTTGTGGCTTCAGAATGAGCACAGCAGTCGGCGAAGACATGTCTGCCCCCGCTCGCGCCTCCGTGCTGATCGCAAATCTATCCTCAGTCTCAAAACGCATTGCTGCAGCATCAAACGGCCGAAACAACCACAGTGAAACCAGCCCCAGCTCCAGCGCCGGCCCTGTTGCTGCGACCTCGACCAGCGACAGTAATAATAGCTCTGCAGCTCCTCCCGTGCGCCTCGTCGCAGTATCCAAACTAAAGCCGGCCTCTGATATCCTTGCGCTTCACTCCCCACCTACATCCCACCTGCACTTCGGAGAAAATTACATGCAGGAACTCCTTGAGAAGTCCAAGGCCCTGCCCCCCGAAATCAGATGGCACTTCATCGGCGGACTGCAGTCGAACAAATGCGTTACACTTGCACGCGAAGTACGGGGACTATGGGCCGTTGAGAGCGTGGATACAGAGAAAAAGGCGTCATTGCTGGATAAAGGCTGGGGCGAACGAGCGGAATTCAAGCAGAAAGAAAACGACGCCAATGGACCTTCGGACAGACGGCTACGCGTGTTTGTGCAGGTTAATACATCGGGAGAAGAGAATAAATCAGGCATACAGCCAGGCGAGCCTACGCTGGAACTCTGTCGGTTTATCAGAGAAAAGTGTCCTCGGCTGAAACTCCAGGGTTTAATGACTATTGGGGCCATCGCGCGATCTAAGGCTACTACGCCGGAAAACGAGAATGAAGACTTTGCTTGTCTACGGGATACAAGAGATATGGTGGTAGAGAAGTTATCGTTGAAGGGGGAGGACACATTGGAATTGAGTATGGGCATGAGTAATGATTTTGAGGGCGCAATTGCGATGGGCAGCAACCAGGTCAGGGTTGGGAGTACGATTTTTGGGGCTCGTCCACCCAAGGGCGAGGCAAAGTCATAATTTAAAAGAGAGCCATCATTACCATGAGGCCCACCTGTATAGTTATTATTGTAAGAATATAGATTGAAAACACTAGCCACACTGGCTCAGAATTTGATATCTTTATTCAGGGGAATATATAGGTGGATAAACATTGAGTGCTCAGTACCATGGTTAACTGAGAACTTTGGCATCCATGAATTCTTTATGACTCCTAGTCACCGAAGATATCGCCAACGGTCCCTCGAGAGATTCTGTCCTCCATCAATTCAACCAAGGCTCGCGGCACATCCTCTTGGGTCGCCCGAATGGTGATGCGGTACATCTACATATGTGTTAGTGAACTAGGTCAAAGACAGAGTAATGCTAATAAAAGAAATGAAAACATAGCTTACCTGTTTCTCATAGTTGGGCTCAAGCCTGAGTAAACATCCGGTCTTTGAGCTTTGGGTTTGGTAAACAGCACATCCAACAAGGTTCTTCTGATTCGGGTCGACATTTGCAAGAATCTTCCATTTGAAACTCTCGACAATCGACTGGAGATCTCTTTCGCTTAGAGGACGGCCCTTCTTTGCAAGGCCAAACGTCGATTGGCTTTCCAAGGGTCCGCCGCCTATTTGCCGCCAGCGCTTAAAGAAATCATCCGATGTCAGGGATGAAGCTTCAATGTATCTATGCATGAGGATAGGTAGCTGCAGGGTATACGCTTGCAGTGCACCGGCGAGGTATGATATCCGAATGGTTGGCGCCTTGGTAAACGGGCCAAGGCACTCGAAGCAAACAGTTTGGTGAGTTTGACCAGATGCAACAACATCTGGGTCAGGTATGTCCTTGGTATCAATCTTCAGGCTCTCAGGTGAAGGGTTATCCAGCGTTATCGTGAATGATCCGATTGAATACGCGGATTTATTTGCAAAGTAAAGCTTACAGACTCCAAGGTGAGCTCTGTACTCGGAACGAAGGCCAACCTGGATTTGAGCATCCTCGAACAACACTCCCTCAGTCGCGAAGAAGAGTCGGTTAAACCCAGGCTCCCAGTCCGGAGATAAATGAGCAGCACTGGCCAAGTTCGGCGCCGTCTCGCCGGATGAAGCAAAGTCCAACCCTTCCAGATCGCTGGATGTTGTACCTTTGGTACCTGTCTGTTGTGCGGCAACCGGTCCGTTGGCAGCTGATGTGAAGGTGCGTTTCAATCCCGTATTCTGTGTCAACATAAACTCCTTATCATCTGCGTTGGCATCTTTGCCTCCAACGACCCACGTCCGCTTGTCACTCGTTCCGGAGCTTTTTTGATGTAGTCGGGACAATAAGACTGAAATTCTCTCAGAGAAAGGTGGCATCTCGTCGCAGACGGTCCGCAAGAGGTCATCAGTGGGTAGCGTAGCAAGCATTAGGTATTCGTAAGCCCGTTGTTGCATCTCTGAATCGGGCGAGTGGCTGTATACTTGGAAGACTCGAAGTATTTGCGGTTTGATCTCTGGGAAGAGATTTACAAACTTGATAAAGGATGATAGAAGCAGGGCTCGAGTGTTGTCAGAACAGAACGCCATCTTCGAATAGAGTGCCAGGAACTGCTCGATTGGTGAGCATCCTTTGTTATCTGCAATGAGATGGCCAAATTCGCCCAGGATATAACCACCGATTTTCACCAGACTGTCATGGCACTCTCCCTTAATATAACCCAAAATGTGTTGTGCGGCATAAGCTTGGAGCTCCTCGTTATTTGTAACTACCTGAACAACTCGCTGCCAAACTTCATCACTGACATGGTCGCCGGCCACAGACAACAGCTTGAGCGAGATATCAATATACCATTGAGCGTCCGTAGCATACTTTTCTGTGAGAATAGCAATTTTGAGTACCATTTCCTCCCGAATGGCAAAGTCAGCGCTTTGAAGGTGCTTGAGAAGCTCGTTAACGATGGGTCGGGCATTTGAGGTATCGCACATGCTGTAAAGGAGATCCAACCCCTTTCTTCGAACACTGATATCCCTGTCTCGCAAAGATCCAAGAATGATATTTTGATGCTTCTGTATGGGGTCAAGGGTCTCTGCCCTGGCTGCGAAATGAGTCATTGCATCCAATCCAAGGTATCTCACGTTTGTTTCCCGGGATTGAATGAATTTCCCAAGACGGGAGGAGATCTGCATCATGAGGGTGTGTTCACTGTCGAGGTGGATTAAGAGATTGATGGCTTCAAAGAGCACCGCGTTCTGCGCATTGTTTTGTTGGACATTTTTTGGCATATCCATGGCGGAGTTCATGATTTGTTGAATACTCTGCCTTATTAGATCTCTCACATGGACATCCTCTAACAGATTTGGAATGATGATGGTTAGCTACCAACATGTCTTAACTCCACGATTTGGGATCAACTAACCCGAGGGAGGATAATACTGCAACAATCGAAGCAGTTTAACTTGCATCCAAGGACACCCAACATTGTAGTAGATGTAATCGGGCGCAATATCATGGTCAATAACAATCCTCTTCAGTCGCTGGGCTGCTTTGACATAGCTTCCCTTATATTGATCAGGGTTATCCTGGACAAGCGCCATGACTAAGGAGGTGACAGAGAGGGCTACGCCCATGTCTGGATCGTCCATTAATGAGACGATGCGCTCAGCCCACTCCTGCTGGACAATTCCTGGGTATTTACGGTATAGCCGGAGAAGGGTGAGGGCAGCCTTCTTCTTGACAAAGGCTTTGGATGCACTGCATTCAGGCTACGTTAGTAAATTTAGGTTATGCGGATATATAACCAGGGACATAGCATACGGGGAAATTAATAAACGATGCACATCCGCACTTAGAGCTTCACCCATTTCCCTTCCACCAACATTGGCAACCGCATGTAAAGCAAGACAATTGTTTAATTCATGGTGATCCAGCAGGTCCTTTCGGATACTGTTCACTACTAAGTGGAGTAATTCATGCTGTTCGTGAAGAAAAAGCGTGACGGCCAGGTACCCAATTTGCTTCTCAGAATATTTGGTAGCAGATATCAAGTTGACGGCTTCCAAATGACCGAAATCAACATCATAGCCTTGAATATAGACGTATAGAAGTTTGCAAACGTATTTCTTTTTTTGATAGCCGTTCAGGCTTCCATCCTTGAATTTCTGTCGGATATTGGCCAGCTCCTTATTGATGCGTTTCTCCTCCAGTTCCCTAGCTCGAGCATTCCGCAGATCAGCTATGAACTGAACCAGTCCGCGCATAGAAGACATAGCGACTCAGTTCGACGCGAGATTCTCAAAATCTTTTTCCGTGGTCTCCTATTCCTTTTTGGCCTCTCTATTCTTCGGTTCGGTGCCAGCTTGGATGTGTCAAGTTACGGTTCATGTGCATTCCACAGGCGCATTCTTCTTCGTAATCATTGCCAGGCATACAATGTCAGCATTTTGATGACGGTATAGGTATCGCAAAGGGCGGATCTGGTGAGCTATCGATCGCAATCCGGCGCCTATAAGCCGCGCAACACTCGCTGAAACGAGGGACGGAAGTCAACAGTTCGGGGAAACAGGACAGACAAGGCACGCGTCTCCTAGCTTTCCTATCCAAATATACAGCTCTATAAGCTTCTCGACCTTCCGCTGTATGCGTCCGCGGGACGACGGAGTGTAGAACAAGAGGCAGGATGTTTCCTTGCTTGCTTGCTTCCAATGCTACCTGGCTGTCTGTTCCCCTGGCGTCCGTCCAAATCGGGCGAGCTCGATACGGAAAAACATTTTGCCGGATTATCAAATTGCCCTGCGCAAGTCGGCTGGACTGTCCGTGCGCCCTACCAAACTTCGATTTCGTTCTCGCTAGAAAAAAGGACGACCAGAAGGCCACTATCAAAATCAAAGGAAGAGAGGGAGGCACAAAGCCCGTTTTCTCATATCTGATTACTACCAGCACTTATTCCTGGAATTATGCCTACCCCTAACCTGAAATACTACGCAGAGACAAAATAAAACACAGAGGAAACACGGTCTGATGGACATTGACTCCTTGATATACTGAGTAGCTAACCTAACGACGAGAAGGTGATATAACTTTGCAAAAAAGCCGAAACCAGAAAAAAAGTAGCAGACCTGGCCTTAAATTGACGAAACAAATGAAAAATGCCGCCCACAGCGTCGCAAACAACCCTGTCCGAGTACCCCTGAGCACCGCATTTAACCTTCTTACTTTACACCTTGTAGGTGAAGTCGATCTCTCCGGGGAAGTTTCCAGAGTCAACGGCCCTCTCGCACGTACATGAATCTAAAGAAATCTCAAAAATTAGCTTGTCTGCCATGCTCACACGCAGAAAGAGGTGGAGTGAGGTAAATCGAGCCATGCCGGGTCGAGGATAGAAGATGAAACGTACCAGCCCCCCTCTTTCCACAAGGGCATGCATCACCGGAAATAGGATGGTTTTCGGACATGGCCCTCTCACACGTACATTGCCCAGCCGGCCGGCTTCCTATTAGTCGTGCCACGAGTGCCCTTGTTAGATTTATCTTCCAGCAAGCGAGAAAACAACCCCCTCGACGCGCAGTCGCGGCACGGAGGGACAGGGACAAGGGGGGAAGATAAAGATATAAAATCAATGGCAAAGGACCGGAAATCAAGCAAGAAAAGGAGGAAAAAGGCCAGAACATTAACCTACTGCAGGAACAACGTGGGCCAGACATGTCGTTTTCGGTTTCTGCCTTGGTGCAGTTGCAGTGAAGAGCCTGTTCCTTGCCACAAGAGCACCTTGCTTGAGCGGCACAAACACAACCCTCCTCGGATGCGTGACAGCAGGACTGTGGTGGAGCAGTCATTTTCGCGTGTTTTTATTTTGTTTTGATTTCTGAATCTGCTCGACCGGGTATTTTCCCGTTATCTTCTTCGGGAAGGCGGATAATAGGTATCAGTATCAGATGGACTGCTGATTTTCAGCAAAGAAAACATCAAAGGATGAATGTAAGAAGGGAAGATGGGCGGTTTCTTCCGCCTATTGCTCGAGGGATAAGGTCTTTTTATATGCCCTCCCTTATTTCGACCTCCTTCCTTTCCTCCAGTGCGCAATTACCAACATCTCAACTGCGATTGGATTAAAAGCTATATGCTTATTAAGCATTGAGGTCATGTGACTTGTTTCGTCATAATAAGGCAGTTTGACAAAGGTGAACGGGAGATGCGAATGCCGGATGGATTAGAATTTAGAGGCCAGGCTTAAGGCATGGGTTGGAACTGAGGAGGCTAAATCCTCGAGGCTAATATAGTAAGTACGTGCAGGAGCTAGGGTGCGATATGGTCATTAAGGAGGCAATAGTTGGGTTGGATGCAACACCATTACCAATCCACTTGTGGAATGAACATCATCTCAGACAAAAGGGGGCCTGAGATATAGAGGAAAATAAAACATAGGAAACAAGTAGCGCCGTAACAACCATCAAAATCAACCGCTTATTCAAATGAAAAGGGGGGGGTGGAATAGAGAATAAAGAGGAAGGTATATCGAACGGTAGAAATGGAAACCAGGAATAAGGAGAAAAAAAAAAGAAATGCTGATGCGGAAAGTGAAGCTAGAGAGATGCTTTCAACGAAAACGCCATAAACCCCATAAACGAAGCAGTATGTTTAGCCTTGAAAGACAAGCAAAAGGCATCCTGAAAGGTATGTGCTAGAAAGGTAGGCAAGGCCAGCAGACTGTGGCAGGTAAAAAGGGGGGTCATATGTTGTGAACGTAATAGACAAGAATAGTAATAGCAGTAGGTGGTTAGTAATAGTAGTGGTAAATGGATCTCCAGTAAGGAAAGCTCTCATTGCCGTGAGACGTATCTAAGTCAATGTGTCGCGTTGACAAGATGTCATATCGTTTCTGTATTAGATTGATAGAAGTAGCCTCGCTGCTTTGGGGTGGAGTAATCCGGTTCTGTGTAGCAGCTTAGTTTTTGCTGTATGGTTTGTTGCAGCCAGGCTGTGCCATGATTGTTATAAGCACTTTGCATATCGGAACTTTTGCTCGACGGATGAGATGTTGGATTGTTCGTGCCAGTAGATGGGCTTTGTCGAGGGTAGGTGATTCCAAATGAACTTAGGTTGAACTGCGGACCGAGCCCCGAGAGCTGATCCTCTTCCTGTGCGGATGGAAGGGGCGCAGACTGCAAGGCTACAGCGGCTGCACCACTATGGTCTGCCTTCGGTGGCGATCCTTCACCTATCCTTGGCGTAGCGGTCACAGGCTGTCCTACCGTCTTCTGCTTGAACTCTTCTGCTACAGAACCTATTGGCTGGTTAGCAAGTGTTGGGGGAGGGGTTGTTTATGTTGACACTCTCATGGTTTTTTCTTACCTAGGCCAAATGGATCTCTCCGAGTAGACGCATCCAGAGATCGACTGCCATATGCATTATTGATGCCCGTGGAGGAGTTTGTGTCTGTGTACTCCAATGGCGGAGTATGGCAAGGGATAGTACTGCGCATAGGCAGATTCAGTGATCCTGCTCTCGCTCTGAGCGAGGTATTGTACATGTGAAGCTGTGGGACAGAGGGGCGCATGGCCCCCTGCTGTTCGCCAAAGCTTCTGGGTACAAAGTTCATACGGCCATGAATGGAGGGATTTGCAGAATGCATGGAACCAAAGCTGCATATGCTGTCGCTGGATGTTGACATGATAGATATCGAGTCGGAGCCGCGGCTGAAGGCAGAACTATCCCGACCGAAATAGCTACCATAGGCTGACGCAGAGCTCAAAGGGGAAGTAGCGTAATCATCTGCTGCTGTCGTTCCAGCCCGCGCTGAACCGTATGGGTCATTCTCTTCTGGCGGAAAGAAAGTGCCTGGGGAGACTAGAGGTGTGGTATAACCATGATGTTCCGTCGCGTAGGACGACTGTAGAGACTGGGCCATATCAAAATCATCAGGAAGTGCCCGAGATTTCAAGACCCGCTCCCGATCATCTAGAGATAGACGCTTAAGCTTTGCTCGCCTTGTCAAATATTTTTATATTAGCGTTATATTATTGCGATCGTGAATGAAAAGGGAACATACCTATTCTGAAACCAGACCTGGACTTGCCGTGGACTCAGTCCAGGAATTTCTCTGGATAATCTCTCACGGTGAGCAGCGTCTGGGTGCGCTTGACGAGTGAATTCACTCATAAGATATCGAGTTTGGTTATGAGTAAGCCTGTAAGGGTGGGTTAGCAGAATTCGACCTCCATATCTCAGACCTATGGGGGAACCTCAGTACCTAAACCGCTTCATCTTTTTCCTGTCAATCTTTTCCCCTCCTGTAGGTTTGGGTTCGTCATCTGCGTCATGAATTTCCACGTCCTCTGTAGCTGGGCTGTATATGTCCTGCTTGCTATCAATATGACCGCTATCGCTTTGCTGCTCCCCGTCACCGGGAGTCTGGGGGGTTCCAGGACATGAACTCGCTGAACTCGACTGCAGAGCATCCGTTAAGTCACTGCAGGAGAGGTCCCCCTGGCTCCCCTTGTGGGAACCCATATAGCAACTATCACTAGGATTTTGTGAGCTGTGTCCTTGTTCAGCTGCCTTCAAATAGGCCAGACCTCGAATATCACACTGGCCCGGGGCTGCATCTGGCTCTTGCTTCAGCGAGTCGGCGATTGGCGATTCACAGAATTGCATCATCATTGTAGACGGATGATAATTGTGCAACTGTGGCGATGGCAACTGGCCTCCTACCCGCGTGTTGGTCCAACCAGAAACATCTGTATAGACATCATGGGCCGACATGCTGTATTAAGAAGGGAGCAGAAACAGGGTAGCAAACTAGAAGAAACGGGGAAAGGGTTCAACGTGGGAGGGACTATAGTAGCAGATATATATCGTCAACTCGTGGTAGCAACGATTAAAGGTATCTGATGTTGCCGGAGGGCCACCTATGTTTCAGCCATAGATATGCCAATTGCCTGTCTGTTGTCTAGCTCTCTGAAGAGATGCTCCACTGGGTCACTGCGGTTCAAAACAATAAGATGAAGAGCTTGCCCCCACAACGTCGATGTTGAAGGAAACTGACAAGTGTTGTCCGTAGTCAGGAAAAATCGATTCTCCTGTTGTGTAGTGATTGTGAGAAGCTGAGACGATCAGCAGGGAAGACTCAAGGCTCAAAAGGGACCCGATTCTCTGGGATCGAGGGCAACTTGTCATAATAAAGTTCGACTGGCCTACGACAAAAGAGGGAGGTAGTTGAGTTACAGGGTAGTTGGAGGCACACCGGTGGGAAAGTTAGAACGCTGCCGTATTTATCAACAGCGGCGGATAATTGACCGATACAGGCAGACATCTAAAAAGGCGGCCAGGGGGGGAAAACCGCCGTGAGGAGCACAAACGAAAAGGAGGAGAGTTCCAAGGTTGGCGTAGCCACGGAAAAATGACGACTTTGCATTCATTTCTTTTTCGTTCCCATTCCTTTTTTTCCCTGTGAAAAGAAAAAATACGGGATATCCGAATACCTTAACACCAGATACAAAAAAAACACAGGAGCCGGGGTGCAACGGTCTCCTAGGAGTTTTGGGCTTGAATGATGAGAGGAGGGGGCCAGGATAAGCATAGACAGCCACCTTGTCATGCTCAGACCAGCATCTCGGAGTAGTGCCTAGCTTAGCTTAGCACATGGGGGAAGTAGCGATGCATGGATTGTGGGTCATTCAAGGATGGGGATACCAAAGTCTCACGTTGATGCGAAGATCACAACACTCTTAAATCATTTAAGAGGGATGCTGCATTTGATCGGATCCAACTCCTTATCGTTATGTACGTGATCACTGGGGGTCGCGTGCACCGACCACCACATAAGATCGTTTCTCAACATAAACTAGTCTGTTTTATCTTTTATTTCCTTTTCTTTGCAGATAATATCAGATTTCCAGAAACCGAAAACGAGAGCGAGGGGCGCCCTTATCATATTGGCTGTAACACAGCAAGAGAAAGCATTTTTTTTATGCTTTGCAAGTAAACAAGGGAGAATTGGCTGTATGTGCCAACCTCGTCTCTCCGGAAAATAGACGAAGAGCCAAAAGCCCCTAAAAGAAAAGTGGAAGATTTACCTGTAAGATGCATGTATTATTCTGGTCCTGGGTCTGAAGCCTTGGAGATCCCTGGGAGGCCGGGGTAAGACCGCTTCGGAGACCCTGCAAATCTTATGCCTCTCCTGTGGCCAATACCGGCTAGCAGAAGAGAAGGTCGAGAAAAGATAGGCGTTCGATAAAGCATCCAGAGTCATGCTCCCTCTTCCACATTTTCATCTTTCCCAGCTCTATCCGGGCGTGGCTTAAGTATGGGGTGACAGGGGCGCAAGTGTAGCTGGAACCAATGCGGGGAATGCAGAACAGCCCGTAGGGTAGCATCATAGACGGGCGGTTGTTGGACAGAAGTCCTGAAGAGAGATTGGCCACAACAGCACGAGAACAAATGCTGGCACACAGTTCGTCGCAAAGCCCATGGCGTTGAGCGGGAGCCGCCAGTTGGAGATCAGGTAAGGCTACCACAAACCAAAAATCCCACCCCCCCCTGGATTTCTGGAAGAGGAATAGAGGCTATGCCCGCGAGAATTGCAAAACCGACTAGTCACGAATCGAAAGAGACGCAGAAAGGGCACGGTCAGATCGGACCGCCCCCCGAGGTTGGCTTAGGCTCTCCAGTGAAGATGTCCTTTCTAATACAACTTTCAAACATCGTGAGGATATATCTTGCAGAAGTACTCCGTGATGACTGCCAAGTTCCTCGAAAAGCTGGCAGTTGGCCCTTCTCTCTTGGGTGAGCGAGAAACAACCAGGCGGGATGTGAAGACGGGTCGTGTCATAGGTTGGCTAGGTAGCCATCAAGCACCGCCCACTCAAGCTTTCTTCCTATCGAGGCTTCCCGCCATCAATCGACCCAAGGCAAGCCAGATGATCCGCAAATGTAACAGGCAGTGTAAATAGGCAGCTGGCCGGTAAGGTATGGGGGCAAGCAGGCTGGCAGGAGTGTGCTGTATGGTGGGTCACTCAATTACCGTATCTCATGCAGGTATGTAAGAAGTACGTACAACGTAAAGGTCCCATCATGCAAAAAATAAAATAAAATAAGAAAGAAGTCTCGAAAGGAAAACATCCATGAAGATGACAGGGAAAGAGTCGAGCCAAGGGTGCAACAGCCCGAGTAATTGGCTGATCTAAAGCGAAGGCAAATCTTTTGCACACTGGAAGGCCAGCCTAGCAGCTGGAGGATGGAGAGACAGGGATGGACGACATTATTAACCCGGCCCGGAGTTAGATGCGACTCTTGCAGCTATGTCTGTCCGCCCGCATATGCATGCCGGTGTGAGTGATGTGTATGGATGGATGACTATTTTTCAGCCGTTTCCAGGCCCAAGGGATCCGGAGACACGGGAGGAACAAGAAAAGGACGAAGCAACAGCAGCTCGTTTCCACCAACCGCGGCGGCCTTCGTTGGACATCTCAACCTTGCATCGAAGCGAAATGTGCAGGCTGCAAGAGAGTGAAGGACTGCTAAGGGCTGGGAACCGGGATATTGAAACCGTCCACGTGACTTCTCAAGTGTTATTCTTCTGTTTTTTTTCTTTTTTCTTCTTCGTCTCTTTCTCAACCTTCATCTTCCTTGCAATCGACGTCTTCTCGGTCTTCTCGGCGGCCCCAGAAGCCATATATCCCGCCGAATCTTGTCGGAGATGGCTGGAGATGGAGATTGGATGGATAATTATAGCCCACCCGGCGACGTCAGCGATCGGAGGACAGGCTAGGCGTATAAGGTTGCCGCAGATCGGGGCTTCTGTGATGGTTCCATGAGCCAGCCTATGGACCGGTCAGAGAAATGGCTTCTTTAGTGCCCGCTGCAGACTTTGTGGCAGCGAAAAACGAAACTCTGCTGGAAAACCGCGATTCGGAGTTCCACTGTCTGGTAGTGATCTTAATATTAGAGGCTCTGATGTGGGAACGAAGTCACGAAACCGTTGAGACAGTTACATGCATGCAGCCAGGATAGCCATGGGAGCTGTCAGAAGTAAAAATCAGAGAGCAAACGGAGTGATTGACAGACTCGACGGCACACGGCAAACAGGCAAGCTAGGAGCTTTGCGATGCGCACTGGCTCTGTTTCCCCCCTCCCCCTTCGTCGCCACTCCAAATTATGTATGGAGCACCGAGGGAGAAGGATTAGACAATCTGAATATTGTCAGAGTGCAGCAGAAGGACTGTTGCGTACCTGCAGATAGCAGAGCCAACACAGCTTCAAGGATCGAAGTTACGGACATCTCTCCTGTCCGACGGAGTTCTCCGTTACGCGCTTGACGTGTTTTTGCTGAATTGATCAACCTTTTTTTTTTTTTTGCGTCGATTCAGCCATGGATACCTTGCATGGCTGTGTGTTGGTGGTGCTTGCTTGAAACTTGCCCGTTTTGCGGGATCTTTGTAAATAGCCGGTTGTTCTGTTGTTCGGGAGAATCCATTGCTGTCTCACGCTAATATACACAATGATGGCAAGCTCCGGCCGGGGTTGGTGATAGTCTCTTGTCCCTTGAAGAAAGATAGAGGAAGAAAGAAATCGTCTCCTATCTCCTCCCTCAATTTTTTTTCCTCCTTGCTCCTTGACCATTAAACCAATTTCGAAATCGTTTCAGCCCTGCCGCAACGAAATATTCCGTCAACCTCGCCTTGATCCTCATTAAGCAGGTGCCAATGCTTTCCTCTTCAAATAACACGTTGTATAACTTCTTTTTCAAGTCTCCCGGGGAATAATAGGTAGGCTGGGCATCGCTTGAAACCATGTAGATATCGGTCCGGAACCCAGTGCCGGGGATTTGATCCTGGCTGTTACCGCCGCGTCTGCGTCAACTGTGCCACTGCTCACACTGCTCACATATAGCTATCGTCACCACGTAGCATGCATGTCCTTTAGATTCTGCATATCACTGCATGACAATACTGGTCCTGCAATCTAGTCGAAACCAATATAACCCGAATGCACGTAGGAATTGAGCACAGAATGGTTCGTTCCTGCACAGTTAATAGATCTGGGTTACAACCACGTGGAATCTCGTGAACCAGTATTGCTTCATGACTCGTTTTTTTTTAAGCCGGGTTGAAGTCACCCGAAATTTGTTGAACGATCTGCATATATGAGCCGATTTAGGTAAAGGATACAAGGTCAAGTTTGACTGGGCTGGGGTTCTGGGGCAATAGTGTCAACGTTGCTTCCTTTAGTTTCATCTTCTTTGGAGATGTCAGCAGTATTCTCAGTCTCTGACTGTTGTTTTCCTGACGTGGAAGTTGGTGCTGGCGCGGTCTCAAAAAGCACCTTCAAGTTTTTCCCGTCCTCTATTTTATCCAGTTGACTGAGTTTACTCCTCGAAGCAATTCTCAATGTCCTCCAAGTTTTGCTTGCCTTGGCTTTGATGGATTGTTCTTTTTCTTCATCATCCTTTGCCATGTCAATGTTAAAGTCGTCGTCTGTTATGCCACTCATATAGAAGTCAAGGCTAGGAGTTGAAAACCTACCACAAAAATGTCAGCAAAAATCACTATCTCCCACATTATACCATTGCTGCCATACCTTTCAGGCTCCTTCAGGCGATTAAGATCCCCAAGATTTGACTCTACAGAAAGGAAGCCAAGGTCCAGCGAGCCCATAGGAGTTGAGCGAAGCCGCCTGTTCGCTGTGATTTTTGCAGCACTTGACTGAGTATCCAAGTGACTCTGTACAGGTACAGGTGGCCGTTCGATTGGTGGGCATCCTTCTGCCTTCCATCGAACCCAGTTTTTATCTCTCGTTAGGACAGTGTCTACCATCCGGAAATAGAACTTTCCATCTGCGCCCTTTTGCAGGTAGCTCGCAATGGAAGATCTCATTTGAGTTGCCCATTTCGCCTAAGATGGCAGACTTAGCCATTGTCGGAGTTCGTTTGCTAAAGCAGGATCTTTTTACACTCACATCTTCATCGCTTAAAACATAACCGTAAAGAACGGACTTGTTGGTAGAATCAGCCAACTTGGCTTTGGATCTTGGCGTTAGCGAAAGCAAGAAATCAAGGAGAATTAAGGCCTGGACTAGAATATGTCTGCGGAAAGACACGTCATTGATCTAGACCACAATTAGCAATAGATATATGTACCCAGACTCTGTTCGGCATACCTCGAGTTCGAATAAATCCCGACTAGTCAAATACTTGGGGTTGAAACTATTTGGCAAATCGGATCCTCCTTCACCTCGCTTGCGTTTTGTGCCTCGTCGTAATTCGTCTGAGCTCTTTGTTGTGCTACGAACCTCTAACTTTGAGCTTACTTTTCGGAAACTTGAGAGGGTCGCTTCTAGTCCAGATTTCAGAGATGCAAAGTGTGTGGTGTCGAACAGTCTAGTTGGCTTAGAGAAACTCTCTTGAAGACTCCAAAATGCAGCATAAAGGGTATCAAGCTCAAGTTCCGGCTGAATACTGGAGGCCTTTGCGCGTTGGGTTGTAGCGTCATTGGTCGATTCCAAAGGTGTCTGAGCCGTTGTAGGCTCTTGCTCGGTACTCTTCGCATTGGAAACTGGAGTCTCGTTCTCTTGTATGTCTATATCCATCACCTCATCGCTTTCCGCCTGCATTTTCTGTTGCACATCGAATGTCGTGACATTTTCGGTGTGGTATTCGCCTCGAAGATTCACAGAACTTTTGTCACCTAAGGGGAAAGATTGGAAAAGGAAGATGAAAACACGGCCACAAAAGACTGTGTCTTCAGCACGAGAGAGCCTCCGCAGCAGTTCGTTGCATGACCTGAGAATGATCAGGCTCTTTTGTTTGAAGTGTTTCTAGACATAGATAAAATCAGCAACTACGCCTTGTCTAAGTATTATGAAGTCGATGGGACTCACAGCAGTATTGCGCTCTCGTCTAGATTCAAGATAGTCAAACACTTTTCTGCATCCGTCTATAGTTTGGCTATCCAGAAGTTCCTCTATAAGCCAGAAGATAAGGCCCGGTTCGCATTTTTCTAGAGAACGCCTTCAGTATAAGTTCTCCCAATGTTGCGCTTCTCTCACAGTCCATTGAAAGACGTACCGTTGTCCGAAAAGATGGAGACAATATCTAAAAGGTTCCATATCTGCATAAACGAGGGCTCGTCGATAGAGGTTGTAGCCTACGGGTGAGTATGTTAGCAGAGGCCTTCCCAAGGGACTGGAGATAGAGGACGAACAAGCAAATCATAAAATATTTCGCGAAATGCAGTCTCGACCGCAGCATACTGAGTCTGCTGATTTACCCCCACGGATACACCATAATCTCCTGCTAGCACACGCTTGATAACGCCTCCCAGGTTGGCTTCAGTCACTGGCGGCTCGATTGAAGGCGCATTCTTAATCGCGGCAGCTTTTTCCAGCAAGCTGCGTATAACATCCCCGTATACCTTGACGGCTCCCACATCCTTTCCACCCATCCTCAGGACGCTTTTATTTCTGCTTCTGCCGGCGAAAATGTGTGCTGTTGACCAGGGCGAAGCGGCGCAAACAGTGTGTTGTGGTTGACTATCTAATGTCGTTGCTTTCTCTTTTTGTCCTCTTTTGAGACTTTTGACCTGGAGCTTTGCCGCACATGATCCGTGCGCCGCGCCAAAACCTCACCTAAGCCAAGTTAAACCACCAAATAAATATCAAATCCAATTTAATTCTACGAACAAGCCGGTGGTCTGCTGTTTCTAGGTACCGCCGCGCAAAAGAACAAGGCGCAATCTCTTTAGCTGTAATGACCGAATTACAGATGCGCCCGGCAATGGCGCGTAACCTCGATGTCCGACCGACGGTTAACGACTTCCAGGACGAGAATCCCTGGGTGTCTCTAGCTAAAGCTCACTGGCTGAAGGCTAGCAAAGTGCGCAAAGCGAGGCCAGAGGTGGTCAAGAATGAGATTTGGGATCCTCTGCAGCGCGACGGATTCCCTCTTCATTCCCTTTTAATACTAGAAAATCTACACATTCTTGAGAGGTAAATGCACACGCCGGAGCTCTGTGGTTGAATGTTGATTTGACTAACATTCTTACGCAAAGGTTTCTTTGGCCAACATTTACAGAAGATGCATCGAACTACCATGTTATGCTAATTGCTGTAATTGTAGGAATAAAGAGAAGGGAGCATTTACCCATTTGGAGTACGTATACTTTTGAGAAATCCCAGTTATGTTGGACATATCTAACGCCAGACGATACACCTATTTAGCCCATTTCTTTGATCGCCCTACGGATTTCTCAGTCCTCTTCAGACGTATACTCTCTATGAACCTCGACAATACACTACCACTGCCTTCGAAAATACATCTTCTGTCTTTCGTCATCGGTGCTTTTCAATCTCTTGAATGCAGTCAGATTCGCAAAGAGTGTGCTCCATTGGTTTCCATAGCTATATGGGACAATCTTTTCAGCAAGGAATCGAGGGATAACTTGCTTCAGCAATCAGTAGCACTGAAAAAGGCGTGGCGATTGGCCGGCAAACGATATGACTCGGCAGATGAGCAAGGGAAGTCGAGGATACGATTTGAAAGGTCATGGCTATACTCTATGCTCATTGACTTTCTCAAACGTATAAATCCCGCCCAAGGCGAACGCAACAGTGAAGATAATATTCGATTTTGTGAAAGATTTCTGGAACTATTGGTGGACCTTGAGAGCCAACTTCCTACTCGACGATACGTGAATGAATTGTTGAAGGATCTTAATATTTTAGCTGTTCTTCGCAAGAGCAAGCTCTATAACGATGATAAAAATACTCTTTTTAGGGATTTTTATGCTCTGCTACGACGATTTATCAACTTCTCTATTGATGATCAAACCGGCCAACATCTGTCAGCGCAAGACGCGTACAACATCCACTGTCAAGAGTTAGCACGTCTTCAAAGGACTGCACTTAAGCATTTCAAAGATGACTTGACGCTACTTGCATTAGCAAACTACGGATCACTTGAGCAACGGTCCGAGCTTGCGGAACATCTCCGCAGCATTGATGATTCGCAATTGAAGCAGCTTTGCCAGCTATTGGGATTCAGAACCTTCTATCCCGAGCACACAAATATTGTACTTGACCGAGAGCTACTCCTAGAAATACTCCTTTTGCATTTCGAAAGACGGCCAACTTTCCAAGAAGCCACTGCAGATGTCAGCATTCTTCCTACCGAGGAGTCATTATATGACCCCGCCTTGGTTCGAAATGAAACATATGATGGCTCTAGGCCTCTCGCGATTCCAAAACTGAACCTCCAATATCTCAGCCTAGGTGACTTTTTGTGGAGGTCATTTCTTTTATATCGGTCCGAGTCTTTCTATGAAATCAAGAGCGACCTGGAATCCATTGTCAAGCGAATGCAGCCAAAATCAGGACAAGATGGCAAGGTTTCATTCGACGGGTTCTCCAGAATGGCTTTGCCTATCTCAAAGCCTGCTATAATCGATGTGGCTCAGGCACGTGTAGGCTCTCTTCATCCAGCCTATGTTCGCTCAGAAATAACTCTTGAAGTTGGCCGGCTTGGTGACACTCTCCGGCAAGAGTGGGAATCACTTCGGCCGGATGATGTTGTCTTTTTACTTTCAGTGACGCCCAAACAGGTAGATAAGTCTAGCATTGCAGGCAGCCAACGATCGGAGTCCAGAAACAGCATTAGTATCTCTCACATTCGAACTGGCACTGTGGTTCAAATCTTGGATGAGAATGGGCGCCAGTTACGGGACACTTCACCAGGCAGAGCTAACGGCTATCCCCAACGACCTCGTCTAAGGAGACTCATAGTGAACTTGGATGCAGTTTCTTATAAAGCTGATCTAGACAGAGTACAAAAGGGCAAACCAGACATATACGGCTCCATTAATGTGCTTGTACGCCGAAAATCACGAGAAAACAACTTCCGACCTATTTTGGAGACGATGCGATCATTGACCATTACTGATGCAGAACTTCCGTCGTGGCTCCAGGAAGTTTTCCTGGGCTATGGTGATCCAGCCGGTGCGAGATATACAGAGCTTGAAAATCGTGTGAAGTCTGTTGATTATCGAGATACTTTCCTTGACTGGCATCACCTTGTAGAGAGCTTCCCAGGGCAGAAAATGGAGCCACCGGAAGGCTCTACGACCATCTTTGGCCCCCCTTACGTTCTTGAAATGGTTGATGAATCGCCAAAAGCCGAGACATTGAACCCTTCCAAGAAACGAAGAAGAGACCAGGCGGAGTCTGTACAGCCAACTTCCAATTCTATCAAAGTATCTACATATAAACCTCCAAACCCTGGCCCCTATCCTATGGATGCCCCGAAACTCAACCAAGTTCGATTCACTCCTGCTCAGGTTGAAGCCATTACCTCTGGGACTCAGCCAGGGTTGACGGTGATAGTTGGCCCTCCAGGAACCGGCAAGACGGATGTGGTTACCCAGATTATAAATAACATCTACCATAATTTCCCCCAGGAGCGTACCCTGCTCATTGCCCACAGCAACCAAGCACTGAACCAGCTATTCCAAAAAATCGTTGTGCTGGACATTGACGAGCGCCACTTACTTCGTCTTGGTCATGGCGAGGAAGAGCTCGAGACAGAGTCTAATTTTGGCAAGTTTGGCCGAGTCGAGTCATTCCTTGAAAATCGATTAAAATTCCTCTCAGAGGTCGACCGTCTCGCTGCTTCAATTGGAGCCGAAGGAGCTCATGGAAGTACTTGTGAAACCGCTGGGTATTTTGATACTGTCTACATACGTCCCGCATGGATCAAATTTTGGGATAAGGTGCGATCTGATGGTTCGACAACTGAGGAAATCATCAAACACTTCCCTTTCCACGGGTTTTTCTCCAACGCCCCTCAACCCGTGTTCCCGGCAGATGCTTCGAAAGATACGCTCATCGACATTGCCGAAGGGTGTGAGAGACACATAAGGAAACTCTTCTCTGAGCTGGAGGATATACGGCCATTTGAGATTCTACGACAACAGCGAGATAAGGCAAACTACCTACTGATTAAAGAGGCCAGAATTATTGCCATGACCTCCACCCATGCCGCTATGAGACGACAGGAGATATCTGATCTGGGCTTTCACTATGACAGCGTGGTCATGGAAGAAGCAGCACAGATCACGGAAATCGAAAGTGTGATCCCGTGCATGATGCAGAAGACGAAGAACGGAGAATTTCCCCTGAAGCGGATTGTGCTATGCGGTGACCACTTGCAGAACTCACCGATTGTCCAAAACATAGCATTCCGCCAGTACGCCAATTTGGAACAAACGCTGTTCCTACGGTTGGTGAGGCTAGGTGTGCCTACCATCAACCTTGACCAGCAGGGTCGGGCCCGCGCCTCCATTGCCGAGTTGTTCAAATGGCGGTATGAGAAGCTAGGCAATCTCCCCATTGTTGAGAATCAAGAGGAGTTCAAGCTTGCCAACGCCGGCTTCCGCTACGACTACCAGCTCATCAACGTGCCAGACTACCAGGGCCAAGGTGAAAGGGAGCCGACTCCCCACTTTATTCAGAATCTCGGCGAGGCCGAATATGCAGTTGGGATTTACCAATATATGCGATTACTGGGGTATCCGGCATCGAAGATTTCCATTCTAGCCACATACGCAGGACAGAAGGCATTGATCAAAGATGTTCTGAGCCACAGGTGTGCAAAGAACTCTCTTTTCGGTATGCCCAAAATCGTCACAACGGTAGATAAGTATCAGGGTGAACAGAATGACTGTAAGTGTCCATCAATAAATCTTTAACATCGGCCCGCTCCTGCTAATTTTGCTTTAATTTTATTCTAGATATCATTCTTTCGCTCACCCGCACTAAGTCTGTGGGCTACCTGCGAGACGTACGACGGCTTACTGTAGCACTATCTCGAGCACGCTTGGGTCTTTACATTCTAGGCCGTCGAGAGGTTTTTGAATCCTGCTTTGAACTCAAGCCTGCATTTGATATCCTGGGTCAACGCCCAGATAAGCTGATGCTTATACCCAATGAGATGTTTCCGGCATCCAGGGCGGTAGACGCTGCAGACAACGAGGGCACTCCCATGGAGAACCTTGAGCATCTTGGACAGTATGTATTCGAGATGACGCAGGCCAAAGTAAAGGCTCTTGGGGTAGAGACGACCGTTGTTGAGGCTGGCGATGAAAATGACGTACCAGCAGGAGAGTCCGATGATGAAGACGATACTGCACGCGAAGGCGCTATTGAGTAGCTAACCAAGACATGTCACTTTGATGTTTAATTATGTGGATTTTTGAATTTATTACATGTATGAACAGAGCCACTGTTTTCCTCCCGAGTGATTTACCCACGGGGCAACCCATTATAGAACTACCAGTTAACGGGTATTTCTCTATATCTAACATATCAGTTATATATTTTCTAATCTCCGGTATGTTAAAATTACAAAAAGGCCCTGTTAATTGGCCCTGTTAGCCGTGTTCCGAAATTTTCAAGGGCAAGGACCAGCTGCTGTGGAATCATTTTCAACATTCAGGAGCTGTCTCGCGGGATATCTCAAGAAGGGTCCATCCAAGGAAAATGTGAAACGGTCAGAGAAGGTCTAAAGGGGTAAGTAGCTCGCGAGGAACTGCACCTCCAAGGCTTCTCGAAGAAACAACGAATTAACTAATTAGTTAACTAGTACAGTTGAGAGCTCAGAAGATCAGGACTTCTTTTGTTCGATGATGTTTCTCGGGTCCCTGAAGGCTTGGGCGATGTACCTATCACGAAAGGTGTAAGCGAGAGTGCCAACTTGCCGGTGCATCCACGACCATCTTGATCCTTACTTTGTGTGGCTGCCTCTCGCCACAATCTCATCCGCCTTGTTGGTGAATTTTATGGTCGTGTATGCTAATTTGTTGCCAACTGGAGCCATCGTTAGATTCCCAAGAAGCACTTCTCCCATCTCGCCAAAATGGACCAATGACATCTGCGGACAGCCACGACATCGCGATCGTCCAAGCAGAAAGTATGGAGCAGAACGGTGGAACTTACACTTATCGCAAGTTACCTCCTAGAACAGTTTAGTTAGAAGGTACCCGTCTTTTGTGAGGAGTTCTAGCAGAGATCACCTTACCGCCAGTATTTTATCGCCAACCTTCCCGCCAGAGCCTAGATATGTGACTGGTAGGGTAACGTTAAGTTAGCCAGAGAAGCCAAAGCGATCCCATTCTCAACGGTTCATAGTTCCCGTTACCGTTCAAGTCAGTAGATACGCCAGTCGCAAAGAGGCCATGGGAAGCGACGGCAAGCGAGCCTCCGAGATCAACTAGAAATGGTCTGTTAAAAAAAGCAAGAAACAAACAAAGCAGGTGAAAGAAGAGGCAGTAGTAACTGGGACACGGAGTACACGCATACCCATGCTGGCGATGGTTCCTCCATGAAGAATGCCCAATCGATTCTGAAGCAGACAAGCATCAATCATCAGCATGGCAAAGCGTGACCCATGATGGTGACATGGTGTTAAGAGGCCGGCGGCATACCGTGTGCTCTTTTTGCACATCCAGCTCAAAACGGACAGTTCCTGGGCGAGCAGCAGTGATCCGTAGCTACGTCAATACCAGAGCAGATCAGCATCTCTTGTAACAGCCCTTTTCTCCCCCATGATGTCAATGGTCCCAGGGTGTTCATGCTGGAAAAGAAAGACCCCCCAGCCATTCGATGTCTGATGAACATGCAGCACAAGCACGCCATGAGAGACAAAACATACACTGTCCAGTAGCCTGCGCATCTCTCGTCAGCCACGTATCCAGGTAGAGCAGGCCATCTCGTACAGAGTACTCCGTACACACCTGGGTTCCAGTCCTGAGGTCGCGCGGAAGTTCGCCCATACCTACATACAGCCAGCCAACCGGATGAGCGTGGGAGCTACCAAACAAGGGCCCTGGTGCAGCAGATAGTTACCGAGTTCACAAACTTCAGCGTCGCCATCGTCTCCTCCTGTCTCTCCGTCCGTCTGTCTGTCTGTCACTACCTACAGGCTACCCGGCGTAGACAGGCCCACGTCGTCGTCGTCGTCTTTAAGCATCTCGTCGGACATCTTGAAATATCGCTGACTAAGCCTCCTTCCAGCAGTCAAGTTTAAAAGGCGGCCGGCAAGGGGGAAGAACGAGGTCATCTTGCTTGCTGTACGGAGTTTCTCTGCTGCTTCTCTGCTGTACATACTCTGGCTCCAGGCTGCATATGCTTGCTGTCTGCTTGCTCGTTCGTGCATGCGTCTGCACCCCATATAGTCATTTTGTCTTAATTTTAGCTGTCTCTCCCACCGGCGCTAGCCTCGGAGACGCCCATGTTGTCTACATTTATTACCTATTGACCACCGAGATAGACAGACCAGACAGACAGACAGACGAGCAATAGACACAGTCCCGAAGCTGTCACAGCCTGCGAAGACAAAACACGAAGACAGCAGACTGGAAACACGGCCAGCCGCCGATCTAGGCTTCCCTCTGCCTCTCCTATGGCGGCCAGGAAGAAGCCCCTGTCGCCGGGAGAAAGACGGCCAAGCAGCCTAACTCGTTAGCCACCGTCCGGACTTGCACAGGCTGCTTGCTAGCTGTAGAGCCGTCCAGCTTGTTACTTATCTTACGGACCTCGGGATGGCGAGACAACAGGACCGTTCTGGCTATAGCAGGCGCTGATATAGCAGTAGTTAGCGAGCTTGGGGGGAAAACTGCTCTTGAAGCCGCAGAAGCAAGCAAGCAACCTCAAGGACTGGAGCAAAAGGCCTGGCCAGACGCCAGAGAGCAGCTCATCGGACGGGCGGTAGTTTGTACATGCGCCCTTCGAGACTCGTGGAAGAACAAACTAGTACAGCCTGCCATTTGCCTCCTGCTGGACAGAAGCAAGAGGCTCGCTCTCTGCTTGTCCCCCATGTCGGTGGCTTCTGCGCCGCGGGAACCGTAAGCTAAATCAAACTACATGGAACCCGAGGTTGCTGCAGGGCATTTACTCTATAGTTAAGAATCCACGCTCCCTGCTGTGGGCTGCTGCATGGCCTGCTGGTGGAAAAAAGCTGGTTAGCGGTACTGCCTCCCCTGCTTTGCTCGGGTTTACTAACACAAAGGGGACCGCTGGGAGGAGAAAAAAGTTATATATAAATATACCGCGACCGGCCACTCCCCTCGCCCGGACGGGTTTCGTCTTTCTCTCTCTCTCTCTCTCTCTCTAGGCGCCTCCCTTCGACCCACTGAGAGACGCAGAGGGCGCTCGATGTCAAGATGGTGTCGTTTTCTTTCCTGCAGCGACTGGAAGTCCCCCATCCGCCTGGACAGCCTCGCCCGACATGGCTGCTGAACAACGATATCAAGCCCATCGAAAAGGCCCGGCGCACATGGAGTACGTTCGATTCGGACCAGCCCTGACTGACCCTGTTTTGAGCCCGATGGAAGGACAGGACTAACTGCTTGCATTAACTAGGCTGGTATGAGTACTTCTCGTTCTGGTGCGTTGGTGCTTTCAATATCACCAATTTCCAGCTGGTAAGCGGACCCTTTTGCTTTTTGACTCAATCGACAGGAGGATTCTAGTTAGTTAACTAACGGTTGCTCTTCTTTACGGCAGGGCTCTGCACTGCTCGCAACAGGTCTTAACTGGTGGCAGACAACGGTTGCGACCCTCATTGGCCATATACTGGCTTCTCTGCTCATCGTCATCACCAGCTTTCCTGGACTCGAATACCAGATCTCATTCCCGGTTGCTATGCGCATTAGCTGGGGTGAGTAGTTCAACTCTACGGCCAGAGTGATCAGCTCCTTTTTCTGACTCTCTATCTTTCTTCTCTCCAGGCTTCTATGGATCTGCATTTGTCGTTCTCAACCGCATACTGCTCTCGATTGTCTGGTTCGGCGTACAGTCATGGCAGGGTGGACAGATGGCATACGTCTGCATCCGTGCAATCTGGCCCAGCATCGACAGAATACCCAACACTATTCCCGCTAGCACCGGCATGACGCTGCCCATGTTCGTCGGATTCATCGTCTTCTCCCTCATCCAGGTCCCGTTCTTGATCCTCGGCCCAGGCCGGCTAAGATACATGCTGCACGTCGGTGCCATCGGCGGCTTTATCTGCCAGCTCGTCCTCGTCTCATGGGCTGGCGGCACAAAGGGCCCACAGGGATTCGGAGAAATTCTCGATAGCACAAACAAACTTAGCGGTAGCGATGCCGGCTGGATGTTCCTCCTCGGTATCGGCTCGACCATGTCCAGCATCACTGCCGGCACCCTCAGCATCGGTGACTATGCTCGATTCGCCAGAAAACGGTCTGACGGGATCTGGTCTCAGGGGATGGGTGCATTCCCCGCCTGGATAGCAAATGTGATTGGCATGCTGACCATCGCGGCAACTCAGAAGCGCTACGGATCTGCTCTATGGAGTGTCGCCAGCTTGTTGATGGCCATTCAGGACGCCGACCCCAGCTCCAAGACTCGTGTCGGCGTCTTCTTCTGCGCCTTTGTGTTTGGAATCACACAACTGGTGCTCAATATCTCAGGCAACTCCTTCTGCGGAGGCACCGATATGTCTGCCTTGTTCCCCAAATACATCAACATCCGACGTGGGCAAGCCCTGACTGCCATTCTGGGCACCGTGATCAACCCCTGGTACCTATTGAGCGGAGCTCTTGTTTTCATCTCAGTGCTGTCTTCCTATGTCGTCTTCCTACAGCCTTTCGTCGGAATCGCCGCTGCCCATTACTTTGTCATCCAGAAACGACGACTCAAGGTACCGGACCTTTACATTACTGGAAAGCAATCTATATACTGGTATGACTTTGGTGTGAACTGGAGGACCGTCCTTGCGGTAAGACACTCACTAAGAGTCAATTTTATTCTACATTTATCTTCTTATGCTAAATTATCCGCTTAGTGGCTTGTTGGAGTCACTCCTCACATGCCCGGCATGGTCCACTCTGTGAATCCAAAGCTCCCTGTCACGGCTGGTGCATCTCACCTCTATTACATTGCCTCCATAACCGGCTTCTTCATTCGTAAGTTAACACTCCTCTACCTTCCCATGGCAAAGTCATGAGAATATTTGGCTTACTGACCCTATTTTCCAGCATTTACCGTCTCAATAGCGCTTGACTACCTCGTACCCGTCAAGGTACAGAAGGATTTCATCCAGTCCGTGTCTATACGGGAAGCCCAGGACATCGCCAGCGAGATGGCCGAGTCAAACGAGAAGTCTGCTGAGGGTGCAGCGCATCTGTCTCCGGACAGGGAGAGCAGTGTTGAGCACAAGATCCCAGAGGCTAATTCACACTCTGTCTAATAATACAATCTCTTTACCAGGATCAACTTTGCAGCGATTGTTCAGAGCATATGTTTTCCTTTTACTCCTTTTTGAAGCGACTATAACTGGTTATTTAATGAGCGTTATATTCGCTAGAATTGACTTTTCGAAAGACTCGGCGAGCCTTCCTTTATATATACTAATGCACCCCATGATTTCCAACATATGCAAAAGTTCCAACAGTCTTAACAACTTTATGTATATCAACCAATAGATACCAACCTCTCACATTACCCAGTTGTATTTGTAATGTGTTACCATTCAATCCTATTGTTGGTTTATTGTATTATCTGTTTCTCTTATTGGATGTTTTTCCTTGAATATTAAAATAGGGATGGGTGAAGGAAAACATATGCAGAACTCATTAATTGCACCAGAAGCCGCATTCGAGGATGTTAACAAGAGGGGTCAAGTTATCTTCAACGCCTTTATTTGGTCTAGGATACATACAGGATATTCCCAGTTTTCGTTAATTGTTCTTCCAGACTTATCACGAGCAGCCAAGCCTCTCAGATCTAACTCATACTCGCCAGTTTTCTCTCCATTCGTCCGAAGGCTCAATGGAGTCTATTTGTGTTACGTAATCAGCGCCCGCAGAGCCGCCTTTTAGCTTATTCTTTCATTTTACGACTTGACAGTTCGCTCAGCGTCTTCTCGCCGGGACAGGATTATGCCCGCTATGATCGATAGATAAGTCAGTCTGTGTCTGTACGGCAGGGCGTTCGTCTGTCTAGCTGTACAAGATGGCGACTGTGCCTTTTCGCCCGTTGGAGTACCTGGAGGGCCGTCCAGGCACCACATTCCTCAAGCTCTACCAGCAGCCCTCGACAGCTCTAGCAATATTTCGAAGGATGCTCCCACATCTCGGTATGGCTCAGTTCAAGGACTTTGATAATGTGTACTAATAGTACTGCTAGCAAAATGCTTCGTCATGGCACTGCTATACCTTAAGGACCCTCTTCCAGCAACCGAGCTAGAGCTGTGGGTGAGATCGGACAGTAGACGGTATATACGAAACTTGCACCCAAAAAATGAACCAGGACACCTGCTAATATGGTTATTGCAATAGTGAAAGAGATAACTCGCTTTCAATACTTGGCCGTCTACACATCCTATCGAGCACAACGACCTCGAACCATGTTCGCGCTTACATGGTCACCGAACCGTTTTCCACTTCTTTGCGGCAAGCTCTCATGGGAGAAGACCAACAGGGCTCGTTTGGAGTTATATCAGTGACTCCCGACAAGTATCCGGTCTCCGTCGCAGATTTAGACGAATATGCAAGACAGCAATGGGAGGCCGTGCTTGGGTATATGGTTGGGATGAGCTCGTTGAGCGGAGGACGGGAAACCATCACTCTCAGCAAAGGGGTGAAGCAGCTTCTTCAGGCCTGCCATCTGGTGGAAATTCGAGATCGGAGGGTTGAAATTACGAAAGAAGGATTCGCCTTTGTTCTACAAGACGTCAATACCCAGGTCTGGCATATACTCATTCTCTACGTCGAGAACGCAGAAGCTATAGGCATGGAAAGCGTCGAGGTTCTCTCGTTCATTTTCTTGCTCAGCAGTCTTGAGCTCGGCCAGTCTTATGAGAAAAAGGACCTCACTCCCACACAGCTTCGAACACTTGCCGATCTCACCGATTTTGGCATTGTCTACCAACACACGCCTGCTTCTGGGTCCACCAGATTCTACCCTACCCGGCTGGCTACTACACTTACCTCCGACTCTTTAGCCATGTCAGGCCCGATATCAGGAGAACCCACGGTCCCAACCACAAGTGCAGGTACCACAACATCCGGTGATGCAGGTACTGGATTCATCATTGTTGAAACAAACTACCGTTTGTACGCATACACATCATCACCTCTACAGATATCTCTCATATCCCTCTTTACAACTCTAAAATTCCGATTTCCGAATCTTATCACCGGCAAAATAACCCGTCAATCCGTCCGCCGAGCCATCGAAATGGGTATCACAGCTGATCAGATTATATCATATCTCACCACTCATGCCCATCCACAGATGCGTAAGACGAAAAAATCTACGTCAAATGTTTCTTCTTCGGTCTTGCCACCTACCGTTGTCGACCAAATTCGGCTTTGGCAGCTGGAACGAGATCGAATCAAAGCAACATCAGGGTTCCTTTTCAAGGAATTTGACACCTTTGCAGAATTCGAAGCTCCTTGCAAGTATGCTGAGGAAATCGGTGTATTGGTTTGGAAATCTGATTCAAGGAGGATGTTTTTTGTTACCAGACATGAACAGGTTGCTGCGTTCCTACGTAGTAGAGCGGCGTCAAGGGGTTAAAATGAACGGTTATTAAAAGCTAGCATGGCTTGCTTCTCATGATATCATTTTTAATGGAGAAAACGTGGGTAAGCATTTGCTTTACAACGGCGCACGATTGGGTGGAATGACACTGATGTACAACGTATTATTTGAATAACTACCTGGAGCAGGGATAAACTAAGTCACGTCCCTTTTAACCATCCTCCCTCATTTCCTCTTTTTTCTTTTTGCCTTTTCATCAATTTTTTCGTCTTTGTTATCATTGTTATTTCCCGCAAATCATCGATTCGTCACAATATCTTCGAAGGTTCCAGGGGGGGGAAATATGAACCAGGACTTTGAATTCACAAAGCGTCAGATGCGGCACCGCTTGGATGTGGTGGCCGCGTTTTCGTGTGTTTGGGAAGACACCTAGCCGAAGCTCTTTCTGACAGAGCGAAGAATATCCATGACACTGGCTTCGCCCTTTCCGCCAGTCTTTTCGGACTTTGGGCAGCCCTTCTCGATCTCCGTGGCAAAACGCTGGGAGAATTTGCGACCAAAACGTCTGGAGTAGGCCTCTTTGAATTCAGCCAAGCTGGCACTCGCTTCAGACGTGAGACAGGCTCTCTCCAAGACCATGAAGGCGCGCTTGATATGGTAATCCTCCAGGTTGACGGACATGGGAGCTTTCCCTTCGAGGGTGTTGCCGGGGATCCCATACCCAGTGAAAGGATCAGGCTTGTTGAATGCTCCTTCATAGCGGAAACTGTTTGTCAAGGTGACGAGTCTTCCGAGCCAGTAACCGTATGGCTTCGCGATTTTGACCTTTTTGAAATGAAATTTCCGCGTCAGCTTGTGAATGAGGGTTATAGGATTATGCCAGTGAATGTTATTGTACTTACAACTTTGATATCGACGGTGTCACTGGAAGCTGGGGTTTCGATGGAGGCACTGCGCTGAGAGACACGCCCGAACTTATCAACAGACAAGGTGTCTGCATGAGGATCCTCGCAGTAGCACTGGGCTCCTTCACGAATTGGGTACATTGGAGGCTCAGGCTCGAAGTCTGACTTTTGATGAATGGCCCCAATGGTCTTGCTCTTCGGGAGTTGGCGTGGACGAGTAAGATTAGGCTTGCGGCTGAATGCTTCAACAGACCCCTTTTCGCACTCATCGATTGTTCTCTGCATTTCCTGTGGCATTTGCGTGGTATCCTCGTTGCCTCCTTCATCATCGTCAAGTGCATAGAGTGAACGGCCGGCCGCCTTTTGGGCCGCGATACTCTCCGGCCATGGGAAGTAACGTGCAGCAGACTTGGGGAGCGGAAGACCAGGCTTGTAAGTTGCCTTGACTGTGGCCTGAGACGAGGTATCAGAATCGGGTGAAGGGTTCAAAGGAGCCTCGTTGCACTTTGTCTCTTTTCCTTTCGCATCAGCAGCTCCACGCAAAGCCTTCAAGTCCTGATACCCAATGAAAGGCTTCACACCTGGCTGAGAAGGTGCACAGTTTTCCTTCCTATCATCGTCTGATAATGGCCAGCGCAGAATAGTATTAGCTGCAGGCTGGACTGGCTTTGGGATGTTGGAAGTCGTTCCACGAGCCAAGTACTTTGGTAGCGGAGGTAAAGGGGGCTCAGGAGACTTCACTCCGGCAGGCTGGATTCCAAAGGACTGCTTCGAATTAAGGGTGCCCTGGGAACGGACCGGAAGTGAGCTGCTCCTAATACCTGCTCGGGATGTCGCTGCGCCAGCAACGATGGGCTTCACGTCACCGTCTGCTTCGTCTGGCTGACGACGGATCAGTGGCTGCAATGCGGCTCGAGCAAAGTGATGGAAGGAGTTCGCCAAGGATGATTTCCTGCCAGACTTTCCCGCGTCCTTGTCTCCCTGAAGCAGAGGACGCGATGAAGAGGGAGACGGGGTCTCCCCCAGATAACGAGCTCGAGGCATCTTACCCCTTATCCTGGTTGCTTTGTCTGGAGGGATAAAGGCCCCTTCAAGGCCTGGTATAGTCAACTTAACAAAATAGCAGTACTGCAGAGGTAGCAATGTGAAGAAGAAGGTTGCTATGAGTGAGAGGAAGGTGAATGAAAGAGAGAAGAGAAGTTTTTTTATATCAGTTCCTTATTAGGACAGAAAGAAAAAAAAAGCAGGACGCTGTATTGTGGCACGACATAAGCATGCGGGACGCAGAAGGGCGGCTTGTATATAACAAAAAGTAGGGCTAGCTGGCTATCTAGTTTGGCCATAGCTAGAGTCATAGCTATCATCACTAAGAAGGAGATATCCATCGTTTTTGTCTATCAGACTAGTTTGGCCCTTCTGGAAGTGCATTTAGCTTTGCCTCCATTATCTATTCACTGCTTGTCATGATTGTTCCTTCAGCCACTTTCACAGCGCTCCCCTGGAGATAGACAGTCTCAATCTCCTTCTTGTTGCCCTTAAGGGTAACTTGAAGCCCTATCTCGCTTCGCTTTCCCATCTCAACACCTTGGATAATGGTGTAGGTTTCCTTGCCCTTTGCAATGATCTCGGGATCTGTCAAGGTGAGATAGGAAGCTAGTCCACTTGCAGCACTGCCGGTAGCGGCATCCTCCAGATTTCCTGCCATCATCCTGGATCGAATGACTTTCTTCTGGAGCTCCTCATCCCAGACGTCCCGGACATAGAAATAGACCGAGACATGGCCATCGACGTCCCAGCCCTCATCCAAATAACCACCGGCTGCTACTCCCTTGGCTGGGATGGACTCTGCGGCCGTTGTGACCTGAGCCAGGACTTCGAGGCTAGGGAGGTGGACGTGTACTGCTGTCATCCCCTTAACGACAGAGACGACGGGGAACCCGGCTTGGTACACTTGAGCGTCCAGCGAAGATCCCAGGCTTGGATGGAGCCTCAGGAGTTCTGACAGTGCCATCCTAGTAGAATGAATACGCACATTGTGCGGGATGGAAGCAGACACTTGGCTTGGATTCTCTGGCACCAGAGAAATTGGTATATTTCCAGCCTTAGTCGTGAGTGAGGTTGATTCGCCCACTTGTCCAGCAGAAGCTTTATCCTTTGAGTGAACGAGCAGCCACGACGCAGCGCCAATTGTTGGATGACCGGCAAATGGAAGCTCCTGTTCGGTTGTGAAGATGTCTATTTTCCGGGGCTGGCTAGGGTCAGAGTTCGCTGGATGAAAGAAGATCGTCTCTGAATAGTTGAATTCCGTGGCTAGCGTCTGCTTGTGCTCCTGAGTAATTGGATTGGAGTCGGATAGGAAGACGACGGCCAAGGAGTTGCCCTTGAACCGCTTGCTGGTAAACACATCCAATGTCACGTACTGTAAAGAGGCGGACATCTTGACAACTGCCTGTTAGAGAGGTATACCACAGAAACGAAAAAGGCTATTTCCTGATAACGGTCGAATTTATATGCAGACTGCGAATGTCGTTGATTGGTAATATTGTTTGTCATTTCTCGTATTTGTTGGCGGAGCGAAAACAGGGCGTGTCGACTTGAGGGGAGCCGAAAGTTAAAAAGTCCCGAAATGCCGGGCTGGCAATGCAGCATATATACGTATATTATTATATCAAAGTCATTAACCAAAACCGTTTACTCAGAATCGCTGTCAACCACAAAGCCAGCCATCACGTTCGGTCGTCGTGATCGTGTCGTCGTGACGGGTTCATCGTCTTCGTCATCGTCGTCAATGTTCTGTTCAATTGTACCTGTAGGTTTCGATGGCCTATCAACCGCAGTTGATGTCCACTGGAAATCGGGGGCAGATGATTCCTCTCCCATATCAAGTATGAGGTCGTCCTCCGTAGACGTGGGTGGAGTCTGCGCTTTGCGTCTAAAAGGAGCAACTAATTCCTCGTCCTCTTCGCTTCCAGAGCCCAGATCTTCACTCCTTGCACGCTTCCTCTGACCGGTACTTACATCTTCCCCGTCACTCTCACTCGAGATGGTTTGTTTTCGTTTCCTTCTTGCCTTCTTGGTACTATCGCCCAGCACAGTGCTACCTAGACCATCGATATTCATTGCCTCCTCCACAAGCTCAGCCTGCCTCTTGCGTCGTTCCGCCTCTCGAGCAAAGAATTCTTGATCGGCTTCGTCATCAGTTTCATCATCACTGGCATTGACGAAGAGACTGCTTTTGATTTTCCTCTGTCGTTCCAACGCATTCTGTTCACGAGCAAGTCGTCGAGCATTCAAAGTCTCCTCGTCCAGCTGGTTGTCTTCATCAGCGTCCGTCTTCTTACGCCTTTTCTGCTTCAGTTCCTTCAATGCTTTTGACTTTGATCGGGGATTTGGAGGGAAAAGGATTTCATCAAGCTCGAGATCCTCTCCTTCGGAATCATTGCCAAAGTTAACCTGGGTTGTAGCCTCGTCATTCGTGGATTTGGCAGCTACGCGTTTCCGAAGTATGAGTTTGTGAGGGTCGACACCGTCAATCTCGGTGGCAGGGTCGTCACAATGTCTCTGAATGGAGCTGCGCGTCTCTTCGAGTTCTGTAGATGGAATAGAGCCTGGGATGCTCCAGTGTGTGCCAAGTACATCTTCACCCACCAGTTCTAGGCCGGCTAGTGTGAAAAGAAGACGTAAGCGGCCATTTCTGAACAAGGCCGTTTTACGTTTCTCGTCAGGAGCAGAGACTTCTATAATGATGTTAGCATAAGGTAAATTCAAAGTGAGCTGCGAACAACCATACCTATTGAGGGTGTGCTAGGTGTGATATCTGCAATGTCGGCAGCATCTTGTATTCCCCGTGCTAAATCTGCGAGTTCCCAGCTTTTCCTATCCTTGAGGGCATTATCAAGGACCTCACATAACCACCGAACTAATTCCTCACAATTATCTGCAACCAAGACAGATACGACGATTCGGATCTTTTCATCGGCGGTCCTAGTATAATTTTGCTTCAATTCTAGTTCTGCAGCAGGTCGTGATGCCACTGACACAGTCTGCTTCTCTTGGCCATATTCCAGATAGTGTACTGTGGCAGGAATTTTGCTGAACAGTAGCTCCGTGATCAGCTCTGGCCGCTCATCAATCTTTTTGAACAGCTTTTTTAGAATTTGACGAACAAGTTCTTCCCACTCTCCGAACGCTGGGTTTGACGGTAGTAGCCCCTCTGGTCCCTTAATCATCCTAGTGAAAAGGGCGATTATGTCCAATCTAAATAGTAGCACACTCAATTCTTGTTTAAATGCAACTCTGTAGAAGAATCGGTGTGCTCGTTTCAGCTGCTCGGTATTCAAGTCGCGATAGTAGGACGTCAGTGCAACAAATGTGTTGACCGAGTTCTGAGTGCAAAATTTGTTACAAAACCTCTTGAAATCAAATGATCTCTCTGCAACGTTTCGAACAGCTTCCGCTCTATCTTTTTCTTCTTCATCTTCCGAGTTACCAAATTCACCCTCCTCGTCTTCCTGGTTCCCCTGAGCCCTGTTTTGCGTCTTCTTTTTCCGCCTTGATATTCTCTTCGAACGGACTTGCATGTCCACGTTTTGTTTCGAGTATTGCTCTAGCATGCGTAAGAAAACATGAGCGAGCTCTGTGCAAGCATCAAGGTACCAAAATCCTTGTCCTTTATAACCGCGAAGGGTAGACAATATTCTATCATGTGTTGATTCTTCATAGAAAATGCGACTCAGGATATTCTCAGCAATTTCTTGATCTTCCTCAAGAGAAGATTTGCTCATCTCTTGAACCGTAAGCAATGTTTGTGTGAAAGACAGCATTCCAGCACTGAGATCCTGCCACTCCTTGTTATCAAGGCTAGCTTGCATATATCGATTCAGGGCAATGAAAGTTTCCTGGTTTAAAACACTTGCTACTAAAGCAAAGCTATCAGGCTCAATATCCCTCGCGGAACCAGTGGCCTTTCGGCGAGCCTTCTCTTGTTGTTCGCGCCGGGCACGTTCGGCGCTTAAAAACCAAGAGCTGACGAAAAAGAAATGGCGAGACGAAGATTCACTCAAACGATCGGACTCTCGTTCCATAGCTTTTCGTATACTAGTCATCAAGGGATTGAATCCTGAATCAAGAAACTCTTCAACAAAAAGTCGAAGATAATTGAGGGCCGACGAGGTCAAGTGAACTTGCACATTGAAATTGTTCGACGTTTCATCAATCACTGGCCGTCTTCCTCTCGGTTTGTTCCATTTTTTGGTTTTATCCATTTTATCAAACGCCGCTTGGTCATTAAGCAGAACGTCTTGGCCCGATACAGAGGACACTTTTGCAGCGTCTCTTTTTACCCAAATCATGGTCCCAAACCTACCATGACGGGTAGGGGCATTCTTTGAGTGATCACGATTTAAATTGCTTTCTGCAGCCATAAGTCCCTTCAGTTCATCTATGCGTGTTGCACTCCGTTGGCTGTCGTCTATAAATAGCTGTCGCACGTCAACACCCTTAACAAGATGAAACAGTATCTCGAGAAGAATAACGTCCTGGAAGGTAAACTCTTCTCCGATATTTGAGCATAATGTAAGGATCAAGGCAAAGACATCTTGGTCATGGAATGCATTGATTGTCATTGACCTCGAGGCCTCATCTTCATCTCCCTCAACGGCTAGATTTGGAGTCGCACCTAAAATCACCACGTTTCTAAACAGATATAAGACAAGTTTCAAAATTCCTTCATCTCTAGATGACCTTTCTTCCCGGGGGGTAGTTATACTTGGGAGACCTATGCGAATAATCGACCGGAGGATGGAGTTAGAGGGGTGACCCAGTATTCCTGTTTTATAAGAGACTTGGGCAAGTTGTAGATAAGGAGTGTGTCTGTGGTGATTAACAGTCATCTCGCTGTGTATTTCGATCGGCCATGTCAACGGCACGAGGAGCTCTACTAATCAGATATTAGCCATGCCCCAAAATGAACGGGCCAGACGATGGCTCACAGCACGCCAAAGTTATCCTTGACTTGTACTTGTCGGTCGGCTTGACTTCATCCCATAGAGCCAAGATTGGTACTAAGTCCCCGTTGACAAGATTACTCTCAGCAATGCATCTCGAAACATCTAGCCGGTTCAATTTCTCGTCGTAGAACCGCAGCCATTTCTTAAGGTCACGCAGACAACCCAGGGCATCGTCCCCAAGTATATAACGCCCGGCTTCGTCGTTCGCGGAGCCGCCGAGCTACAATGAGACAGTCAGTACTAAAATGTTTAGCGTAGTCTCGCTATAGAAGCAGGGTGTCATACCGCCGTAACCAAGCCGTAGATGAATGAGCGCACTTCAGGGTCAACCACCTGGTCGCCCGGCTGCGCTACAAATGGCTCACCGTCCATTATTTTAGAGAAGGTAGAAATTCAATGAATGACATGTGGCATTTCGCTATTAACATGCCATCACCTTGGCCCGCAAAGGAGGATTGGAGGATTTAATGTCATCGTTCTGTCCTATATTTATCGTCTGTCATTGTGCTGATTTCTTTCCAGTTCAATTAAACGCCAAACGCGCAGACGCGTCAAAGGCGGCCTGGGCGGCAGCATCGCGTTTCGGAAGCGGCTAAACTATATCCCGCCAGTCCCGAAAATAGCCGCACGCCAGGAAAGTGACGTCGCCGAGGCTCAAAGCCACGTGAAGCTTCGCCAAAGGGGCTTCGGACCTGAACAACCGAAAGAAAACAACCAATTTCTCGTCATTACTCTGGCTTAGATTTGCTCCTATTTTGTCCTTTTTAATACATTGCAGTATCCATAATGTTCCGAAGTGCGGTTGCAGGGCGTCTATTGGCGGCCACACGGTCAATTGGCGGGGCTCGTGCCTTTAGCTCAACTCCTGCCGCACAGGTGGCCGCCGAAGTCAACAGTATAGGAGTCATCGGTGCCGGGCAGATGGTAAGGACAGTTGATTAATAGCAGCTTTACCTTTACAATTAGTACGTTTCATCGCTAATACCTACTCTGCATAGGGATTGGGAATTGCCTTGGTTGCCGCGCAGAAGGCAAACATCCCGGTCACTCTGGTTGACAACTCCCAAGCTTCCCTAGACAAAGGACTCAAATTCGCCGGTAAGAATCGCCCGAAAACCACCTTCACGAGCTAGATGAATAGGCCTTGTGCTAATGCGAGTGTAGAGAAACTGCTTGCCAAGGATGTTGCAAAAGAGCGCATTACACAAGAAAATGCCGATAAAGTCCGCTCGATGCTCACCCCTACCACAAAGCTCGAAGATCTCTCAAGCTCCGACTTCATTATTGAGGCTGTGCCCGAAATCCCAGATCTTAAGACCTCTATTTTCTCCAAGCTCGTTAATATTGCCCCAGCCCACGCCATCCTTGCCACCAACACTTCCTCCATCTCGATCACTCGAATTGCCGCAGCAACCACCGAGGATCCCAAGGATCTTTCTGGCCCATCCCGAGTTATTTCCACTCACTTCATGAACCCAGTTCCCGTTCAAAAAGGTGTCGAGATCATCACTGGACTGCAGACTTCTCAAGATACCATTGACACATCTCTTGAGCTGATGAAGCGTATGGGTAAAATTGCCGCCCGATCCACAGACTCCCCTGGCTTTTTGGCCAATCGTATCCTCATGCCTTATATCAATGAGGCAATCAGCTGCTTAGAAAATGGAATTGGTACTAGAGAAGATATTGACAGCATCATGAAATATGGAACTAACGTCCCCATGGGTCCATTGACTCTTGCCGATTTCATTGGTATTGACACCTGCTTGGCCATCATGAACGTTCTACATCAGGAGACTGGGGACAGCAAGTACAGACCTGCTGGTCTGTTAAAGAGAATGGTTGATGCCGGCTGGGTGGGAAAGAAGGCTGGAAAGGGTTTTTACGATTATTGATTAGGGATTAAATGCCGTCACATCAGTCAAGTGGTGGTGCGAAGCAGCTGTTGGAGTTTGTAATTTATAATGACAATAAATACTCCATGCTATATACAAGTCAGATTAGGGAGAAAATAGAACCTTAGTGAAAGTATTCAATATATATTTGCCATTTTTGATACAGTAGGTCTAAAATCGGATTTCGCTAAGAATGATTCTTTGAGGGCTTAACAGTATGACGTACCGTGGACAAGCGAATATTGGCGAAGACAATTCTTCAGAGTAGAAGGCAACTGTAGACTGGAGAAAGAGATAGCATAAGCTAATGAGGTATAGCATGACGGTATATGTACAAAAACAAAATTGCGCATCAATTCACAAACCCCCTCCAGCCAAAGACACCAGGTCTAGCCCCCTGAATATTTATCGATACACAAACTGCGACTGGTTAGGAGCACGCCCCAGCCCATTTCTTGACCTGCCCCGCGCTCGGCTTCCCGTAGCCATAGTACCTCCGCCCTTGCGAGCATCAGAGCCGCGACGTCTATACCCAAATTCGGTAAACACAGGGGGCGGCGATAGAGGCGATTGGGGTGTTTCTCTGCCACTTGTAATTGAATGTGTTGTGCCTGAGTGGCTAGAGTTGTTTGCAGATGAATATCTGCTGCTAGAGGTTACAGTGTCCTTGATGGCGTCGGGGCCATTGATCAAAAACATCCTATGCTCTTCAAGGAGACCATAACGTTTTTCAACGGCAATCTTGAACCACCGACGGTCCGAGATTACTGTGGAACTCAGCTCGTAAAGAGTATAGTTTGTCTCGCGTTGTAAATCCCCCAGCTTCTTCATGATGCCACTCTGAAGCGCCGAGGATTCCAAACTGCCGTGGTATTCCAGTTCACTCAACTCCTCCTTATGAGTTTTTTCCAGTGCATCTTGTTCTCTCCTATGCGATGCATTAAGTTTGTCGAGTATTACCTTTTCTCTTTCCTCTCTATTCGGCTTGCCCTTCAAATGGCGTTGCATCTGAACAAAATTATCATCTTCATCCTCCTCCTGGCGAGTACGGAGTTCAAGCTTTGTGGCGCTTTGCTGAGCCTCCAAGGCGCCTTTACGAAGCTTAAAATTCGATTCATAGGCTTTTTCTAGCTTCACCCGCGTCTGGTCGAATTCTACCTGTTTTGAGACCGCTGCGACCTGGATCTGCTGCGCGCTATCTTGATGTCTATTAATGATCATAGACTGTTGAATCTTGTTAATCTTAGCTAGCTCCGCCTGGAGCCTCTGGATTTGGTTGGCTATCGATATTAGGCGTTTCATTTCTTTGTCGTGTTGAACTCGGCGTCGTCCGTCATCTTGCCTTCTTTGTCCATCGCCTTCTGGGTGAGTTTTGGTAGTTTCTTTCCGCAATCGCTCCTCGACTTCTCGTCGCTCGCTGCGCTCGTTTTCTGCATTTACGGAGGCTGGCTGCGTTATTGTGTCAGGCTCCACTTTAGGTTTTGTCCCATGTTGATTAGGTTGAATGCAGCCGCAGGTCCCACCCCTGGCGCCGCAGAAACAGCTGTTGCACTTAGTTAGATAATCCCATAGAACAAACAACGGGTGTATCATACCAAAATTCAGCACCGCAGTGACAAACCACGAATCCGGAGTCAGCGGTTAGATCTACCATTGCCTGGCATTTGTAACAGCGTCTCCAGCCGTTCGAGGCAATACTGTCTACTCTTTCCGGATAAGGGGCTTGAGGGCAATGTTCGTTGCTCTGATGGGCCGTCCTTTGACAGGCAGTACATATCGACCATTTGCATACCGGGCATTTTTGTGTCGGAGCGCCCAGCTTGATCTTTTTTGGAGGAATCCATTTTCCACAGCTTGGTGAGGGACAATACCATCTGCTAGTTCGGGGTATAGCGTATTCTTGTACCTTTAATTTGTATTCCTCCCGGAGTATGGAGTCCACATTGTGTAGGATCAATTTTGTCGGTATATCTTCCAGGCAACATTTTGGAGGGAACTTGATCTCGTTATTCATAGCCGTCTCTATCATGCCAGAGAAACACGATAAGCAGTATTTGTGCGCGCACCCCAAAGGGACTAAGTTCTTGTCGAGTAACTCCACAAAACAGCTTGCACATTCTCTAAACGGTCGGGTAGCTGATTAGTGACTAGTCAAACAGCATGAAGAACGGGATGGGACAGTAAGGATGAACGTAGAAGTACTTACCGAAAACTGTTGCGCTCCAAGAGCCGAAGTTTGAGGTTCTTCGTACCCCCCGTTGCTTTGACCCCCATACGGCTAAACGTCGCTCCCGTTGCAGTGGACTCAGGTGAAAAGCATCGATCTAGATGGTTGTCTCCAGTGTGATCCTTTACAGCGGGTGCCTGGGTCCGTACCGGCAGTGAGGACCGGTCATCCCCCATGGATGTACCATGACTGTATGTTGATGATGGCGGCGGCGGTGACCGTCCACCTCCATTCTCACCGTGTTGGCCTGCAGATTTGGGAGGCCGTTCTGTGTCCAACGGCTGACTGATTATTTGAAGAAGCTCCGGAGAGACGTCATCGGGGAACACATGGAGTTCCTGCGGACATGGCCGATCTGCACGGTGGGATGGTAGCTGGCCATTGTCAAGCAATAGATCCTCTAACCCGACCAGCTCAGGCCACTCTGCAAGCCGGTCAGCATCGTCCGGGCCTTGCAGAGGAGCTTCGAGGTCGCGAGTCAACTGAGGAACCGACATAGGGTGATTTCTGGACAACCAAATGTCGTTTTCTGGGGTTCAACATTCAGCAAAAGTTTCATTCTACCAAAACGAGAACCGACGACGTTGGTAGTAGGAATGCTGGATTTCAGCGACGATATCCGACAAGTATTGTGAGAAGAGGTTTTAAAATCGCAAAGCAAGACTCATTCACGTGGGGGGGAGCAATAAAATATAAGAGTAAAAACTCTTGGGGCGCATCCGCGGTCGTATAAATCTGGGGGAAAGCGGAGTCTGGAGAAGGACCGAAAGCCAACTGAAGGCCATCGTTAGGCTGACAAAACGAACCGTAGGAGGGGGCCCCAAGGAGGGTGAGGCTCGCTAGTCTCCAACTGCCTTGACTCGACTGCATCAAAGTTCGTTTATTTATGGAATCCCAAGGCGCCACTCGGTGGTTGGTTGGTCGTTGTCTCTCCGTTGAATGCAAAAAGGAGCCTTGTCTGTATCTGTATGGCGGAGGCCTGTCAACCCCTGTCAGCTGGGGCCGCTGCCAATCGATCGCTATGCATGGGGCAGTGCGATGGAGCAACGAGCGACGATCGAGCATGTCTGGATGGATGCAGCGTTCCGTACCTTTTGTTAGGCCCTTACTTGGTACGCTTTGTGAGGGATAAAAGATCCACACTGGTGAAAGGCACCAGGTAGATCACGTACTATATAATATGCACGACACATCTCCTGGACTGTGAACGGAGTGCGTCTGGCATGTATTCACGGCCGGGTTGCAAATAAACCAAGGGCGGCGTGAGCTGAGTGTAGTTTTGCGCCAGGTGAAAATTCAGATAACAAAGCTGGGCTTCGTATGGAGCATGCCGCCCTAGAAATAATTCTTTTGCGACACGACTTGCCCCTGAACACCGAATGGGCATGTCGCAACCCTGGACTAAATTGAGAGCGTCGAAGTTATTTTTATGTAAGATGTTGAAGGTTGGACTAGTTGTTATATGTACTTCAGCTGCTGTTGGCTGCATACCAGTGTGGTGGAAATACAGCTCCATGTCTAACAAGGGGTCAGTAACGGCGTCTCAGGAACACCTATCAGACAATACCCCTTCCTGGCTGAACCATGGTAGCGAATGGCCAACAAGTTTTGGCTAATGATATTGTGGTTACGGAATATGTCCTGTGTATGTTTGCTGAGGACCGGCATTCCTCCAGTCACATGCATGGAGATATCGTGCTAGAGCAGCCACAATTCACAGCATCGAGGAGGTGGATAATCGACGGACTGGCGCCAGTTCCTTATCAGTAGCTAGACTGGGGTTGGATAGACTAAAGAGGTTGGATCGGAAAATTTCCAGCATGACCTGCGATAACAGTGCGGAGAGTTCCATATCCACCAGCTAAAATAGGGCGAAACCATGCTAATTGGCATCGCGTGTGTCCTGTGGAGGCAACAGCCATAAATTCGTAGCAGTGCGCGGTCCCCTATCGTTGTTACCCACACCGGGCCGGCGCACGAGATCTGTTATCTACCAGGTTATGATGTAACAGGGACAGAATTTGAGTAGTTTGTCCAATAAACCCGGAAAACAGAAGCTTGACTAAATGGCGTTTGGACGGTTCATATATCCTGGGCTGCTGCCGATGGTGGTCAATCGCATGAAAGTCGTAAAATCAGAGACTGGGGATAGGCTTCGAAGATGTTAATCTAATACTCCAGGTAATATACCTTTGGTCACATATTCATCCAGTAAACTTTTTCCAGGCCCAGGATGAACCGTACTCCTGGTATTGTTGCCGAGTAATCGCAATTTCTTTCATGGTTTCTTGGTTGGCCGCTAGCCTACTTGCCCCTAGCCAGGTCGAACGGATGGGACTTCTCGAAACATCAGCCACTGGATTCTAGAAATATTAAACACGACCACAAGAGCAGGGAAAAAAAGGCTAAGGGGCTTGCTTACTCTGGGCCAGCCTTCACGCGAACGAGACACTCCGTCGGTGCAAGATGCCGGACGCCGGTTTCCCTAGAATTAAGTGCATTAGCAACCTGGCATTCCAGGGTATCCCCCTTTTCTCAATACATAGAAACTTACAATCGTTCTATAAACCCTGGGATCAATGCATTTCCTCCAACAACAAAGATATTTGCCAGGAATGAGGGGTGAAGGCCTGTGGGAATAACAGACAAGCATTGCATTATCATGTCAGGAATCCCCGGCTGTTGGAGCCCAATATCCCGGGGGCTGAATAGTATCTCCGGCACCGTAAACCGCTCATTTCCTAGAACAAGCACGTCCTCCGCTGCGGATGGATTAACTCCGGTAATGAGTCCTTTCCTTTTCTCAGCAGCCAATAGGCTATCGTGCGGTCGCATAAACCCCTTTTTATGTGCATTTGGGTCCGGTAGCACATAATCAACTACTATGTCAGTGGGGCCCCCTTTTCGTCCTTTCCACGTCTTTTCCATATCCGTGTTAAAATCCTGACTGACGTAGCAAACTGCTTCTTTAACGCTGTTGACAATATGCGTTTCATCCAACATATTATATTGTCGAATTGAAACCAATTCTTTTAGATAATTTGTAAGATGCTTCCCACCAAGTTCAAGTCTCCTTATCGCTCGTTGAATTGGGCGCCCTTGGTACACGGGAGTTACAGTCGTCTGAGAATAACCCGAGTCGACAACTAACATGCACTCAACTGGAAGGTTTGGTGAATTCGTATCCTGGCTAGGCAGGTCTCCAAAGAGGGATCGGACATCATTCCAAGCATTGAGACAGGGAGCTGTGCAGGCAGGACCGTTCGTAAGTATAGAAACTCCCATAATATTGCTCTCATATAGCACTGACGGTACATACCAAGGTATCGTACATACCCGCCAAACCCCCATTCCTCCATTATCATCTCGTCCATATTCTTTTGCAAACTGCTCAAGGCGTTTGGAGCCTCAGTTAGAATCAAGGTTGTCCCAAGGAAATCCGAACATTGTATATCCGGTCTACGAGCCGTCTTCTCATCAAAAAACGTATGTTCCCAAATCTCCCGTTGGGCTTCCCAATTGACCAAGTATCCCTTCTCGACCGGACGGCGAAAGTTGACCTCATTCCAGTCTGATATGTGGGTTTCGAGCTCTAAGCCGGTATATATCTGATTATCTCGTGTTTTTGCAAGTGCATTTGGGACGACCACGCATGAGGCCAGGGGATCGGAGCTGGAGGTCGAGCCATATCCAGCTTTCAAGCTATACCCCCCATTGTCGATGATGAACGTCCTTTCGGGAAGATTCTCCGATGCAGGAGAGGCAGCTTTAGTAGCTCGAGGAGGTTTCTTTGGAGCCATTATTACCCTTGAAAGGAAATATTTAGACCATACTTCTGGAATACCTCCAACAGCTAGAGAATTATGTCGTCGTCGTTTGGATGTTGATTTTATAAAAACTTGAAAAAGAAAAATAACATCGGAATATTATTTTGCCCCTCTTATCGCTTATCAGTGCTTATGTAATATAGAGTGAACTTAAAGCATTCCCGCAGTAACATAAAAATAAATTTGATTAAACGCACCTTAGGCTGATATCAATACAAATCGTGGTAGCCCGGAGAAATATAGGAAGAAGGCAAGTCATCATGGCAGGCGACAAGAAGCTACTGGTTATTTTAGAATCGACGCTGGGGCTTTCTACACAGTTCATCTCATCTCTCTCGCTATCCGCTGCGTCAACCTCAAGCGCAACACCCCGCAGCGCCGAAGAAATCGACAATAATAAGAACCTCCCGCTTCCGTTACTCTCAGCTGCCGCCCAGACCCTCAAATCGAATACCGGGAAGATCTCTCTCTTCGCGATTAATACTCCCTTTACTCCGTCTGCAATTACTTCGGTCCTTGCACAAATCAATGATTCAGCTCTTCCTTCGCTGGTCACAGCTGCTTTTCTCCTCCATCCAGAACATTATACCAAAACATTCCATGCGGAAATTAACACATTGGTGAAATCGGCCCTGAGAGAATACATTGCACTGATTAATGATATCAAGAAGATTGCTGTGGAGAATGGAAAAAGCCTGGCTGACGAGGATAGAGTTGCAGTGACAACTTCTGCGGGAAGAGTCTGGAAAGTATGCGACCAGCTTGTGGCTGCTTCTACAGACGGGGTTGTTGGGGTGGTGATTCAGAAGGCGAATGAGTTCTTGGAGCTTGTACGTGATGGTATCAAAGAGTTGGAAGAGTGGAATCCAGAGGAATCCGACGATGATGATTGGGGGCTAGTTGATGACCTTGCCGATGAAACTAAAGAAGAAAAGGATGAAGACGACGAAGAAGATCGAGAAGAGATGGTTGCGATGCTATCCGGGGAGAAGAAAGATCTTCTTCGTTTACTTACTCCAATTGCTAAGCTATACACGGCCGTAACAACACAGAGGTTAAAACCACTGAGGCAGTACCCCATCCTCCCAAAGTACGCTTCTAATCTTGATAAACTTATGGACAATCTCAAACAGATCCCGGACCTTGTCGATGAGGCCGCTGGATCTCTATACGAACATGACATCCAAGCTGTGGCTTCTTACACAAGCAAATTAAAGAGTGGTGCCATTTCCACAGTTGAGATAGTTAAGAAGCCGTGGTACCCCGAAATTGGAGTTAACACCAATACAGACGGACAAGCTGAAACCGAGGATAAATTCTCAAAATGGGCCACAGTTTGGCTGAAGGTTCTTAACGAGTTGGGGAAGCCTGATGTTGCTAATGGAAAATAATATAGATCTTGTATGCGTTTGAGTAATAAGATTATAGAAGATTCCTCAGTGATATATTTGATATACCTTGTCGCTAGAAGCGTACATAAATCAACTAAATTGGTTCAAAGCGTACCTCACCCGAAGAGAAAAGAATAATGTACAATATGTAGAATCTATCCCCCTCTGACGATCTGCCCCGTTCGTAAAAGAAAGAACAAAAGCCACCAAACATCTCATTCACGCGCTAGCCTTCCATTCTTTCATCTCCGCTTCACTGATTCGATTCTTTAAGTGGTCAAGTATCGCTTCAGTTCCCTTGGAAACAACCTGCCACCTAGGAACCCTGAATTTGTTTCCAGCAACCTCGAAGCGGCGCAATGCATTTTTTCCCGGGGGAACATCATCAACTCCCAGAAGACCAGCTCTCGGGGGCAAGGCATCGATATCATTGTTGGCTACGTCAAGCACTTGCAGGCCTTCAACAGCTTCGTA